CCTCCCTTCTGAATACCAGGCGGGGGGGGGGAGGCTCCTGTGTTCGAATCCTGATTGTGGGTTTCTCCCTGGGGCATCTGAGGGGTCCCTGTGAGAACAGGATGCTGGACTAGACGGGCCATTGATCCAAGAGTTCAGAGTCAGGAGCTGGTTGTGAGGAGACAGAGGCGTACCTAGGGGTCATCCAGACTGCCCCTGTGAGAAGAATTTTAAGGTCTCAGATATATAATAAATGTACCAACCAAGCACGTACATGGATCAGCACAGGAAGACCGACCTGGAACCATTTTTGATTCCCAAACTGAGCAAATGTTTTCTCTGCAAGGAGGGAGGTGGGGGAGCCTCCCCATTGTCTTTTCCTTCACAATTCCCATCTTAAGGGTATGTCTGTGTATCAATAGGGTGAGCCTGTGACCTGGCTCAGGAACTAAGTATTTATCAAGAGAGAATATTATGAAAATGACATACAGGTGGTACATAACCCCAGTCAAGCTTGCAAAAATCTACCATTTGCCCGATAATAAATGTTGGAAATGTAAAGAAACCGAAGGTACATTCTTTCACCTTTGGTGGACGTGCCCAAAGATTAAGGCTTTCTGGGAAATGATATATAATGAATTAAAAAAGGTATTTAAGTATACCTTCCCTAAGAAACCAGAGGCCTTTCTCCTGGGCATAGTCGGCCAAATGGTGGTAAAAAGGATAGAACTTTCTTTATGTATGCAACAACAGCAGCAAGAATACTTATCGCAAAGTATTGGAAGACACAAGAACTTCCCACGCTGGAGGAATGGCAGATGAAACTTATGGACTATATGGAACTGGCGGAAATGACTGGTAGAATCCGTGACCAGGGAGAAGAGTCGATGGAGGAAGACTGGAAGAAATTCAAAGACTATCTTCAGAAACATTGCAAAATTAAGGAATGTTAAAGTGATGTTGGACTGAAAATAAGTGGTTTCCAGCTGCACAGGTTAAAGTTAATGATAGATTAAGATTAAAGATCAAGATTAAAGATGTTTAAAGAAATGGAAATTTGATATTAAAAGGGAAAATTTTAACGTTATATGATATTAAGATCAAGGATTAGGTTTAAAGAAGTTGAAGTTATATATTTTAACATTTTATTAAATTAAAGATTGGGATTAAAAAAGTGGAAAAGAAACTGCTGGACAAATAATTTGGATTGGAATACAAAAGAGGGAGGTATGAGGAAGTCCAGAAAATAAGTAATCTAAAAATGGAAATGGAAAAGAGAGTTTGTTTTTAATTGTTATGTTTTTTGTTTTTTTTATTGTTGAGTTTTGTATTGCTTTTTGTGTGTGTTTTCTTTGTTGTTTAAAACTTTAATAAAAATTATTTTAAAAAAAAAAGGAACTAAGTATTTATCATTACAAAAGACTGGCCAGGCTCCCCAGGGTATCCAATCAAGTGAGCATTAACAGGTAACCTGTCAGACGAGATAAATAACGCACTCAGACTTCTGTTGTAGTCCGCCTTTTCTGTGATGTAGGTATGATGTATCTGGGGGGTGGTATAGGTTACACCCCTTCTGTGATGTATGTATGATGTATGGAGGGGTGGTCTTGAGCTCCAGGGAATGCAATTTAAATTGTCTATATAAGGGCGGGCACACCTGGTTTCTGGTTCCTCCTCCTTTCCTGTTGCAACAGATCAATAAAGATCAGGCTTCTTAGCTGCTTTGCTTCTCAATATTCTCTGGTTGGCCTCTGTTATTTTCTCCTACCAATAGGGAACCTACATAAGGACTCTATATGGGCTTTTGGGTACCCCATAGGGAAAAAAGGGAAGATTTTTGTTTATAAAACCCCCACCAAGGGCGCAGGCCCAGGGCAACACAAAAATGGTGCCTCTCCCTGCCAATACAGCTCCTTGCCCGTGGGTGGGGAGCCCCTGCCCCTCCTTTTCGAGGCAGGTTTAACCACCAAGCAAGAGAGATGGAGGGCTGGCTTGGAGGAGGAGGAAGAGGACGGAGAAGGAGAAGGAGAAGAGGAGGAGTTTGGATTTGATAGCCCGCTTTATCACTACCCTAAGGAGTCTCAAAGCGGCTAACATTCTCCTTTCCCTTCTTGCCCCACAACAAACACTCTGTGAGGTGAGTGAGGCTGAGAGACTTCAGAGAAGTGTGACTGGCCCGAGGTCACCAGATTACGAGTCCACCGCTCTTAACCACTACACCACACTGGCTCTTTGACCCTCGATGGTGAGCAGGCCCCAAAGCGCTCGTCGGTGGCTCAAAATGCCTCTTGTTCTCGGTGGGCGCAGGATGTTGGACATAATATTGTGCTTGCTGACTGGGAACAGTTGTGGACCACGGGTGTGGGGTTTGCGGCATGCAATGCCTTGGGAGAGAATATTGTGGAAATGATGTGCAGGTGGTGCATGACCCCAGTCAAGCTTGCGGGAGTCTATCATTTGCCTGACAGTAAATGTTGGAAATGTGGAGAAATTGAAGGTGCATTCTTTCACCTTTGGTGGACGTGCCCAGGGATTGGGGCCTTCTGGGAGATGATTTATAATGAAATAGAGAAGGTATTTGAATGTACCTTTCTGAAGGGACCAGAGGCCTTTCTTCTGGGCGTTGTCGGCCAATTGGTGCCAAGGAAGGACGGAGCCTTTTTTATGTGTGCTGCAGCGGCAGCAGGAGTACTCGTCGCAGAGTATTGGAGGACACGGGATCTACCCACTCTGGGGGAGTGGCGGATGGGGGTGGTTGACTGCGTGGAGTTGGCGGAGATGGCTGGCGGGGTCCGGGACCGGGGAGGGGAGTCGGTGGGGGAGGACTGGAGGAAGCTTGGGGACTATTTGCAGAAATATTGTAAGGTTGAGGAACCTTAGAAGGATGTTGGATGGAAACTGGGAGGTTTTTAGCTGTAATGCTTTAAGAGATATGAAAAAAGGTTTACAATTGGGCAAAAGTTTAATGGTAAGGATTTGCTGAGCCGGCGAACTGAACTGGAGTGCAGGGGGGGGGGAGGTATGAGGAGGTCCGGGGAAATAAGTCTAGGGAAGATAGGTTTGGAAAATTAATGTCTTTTTAACTGTTTTATTTTGTATGTTTCTTTTTTATCCTTTACTTTTTTGTTATACTTTAAAAAAACTTTACTCTTTTTTCTGTATTTTGTATTTCTTGTATTTTTTGAAACTTTGATAAATATTATTTGGGGGAAAAAAACCCAAAATGCCTCTTGTTCTCCTGAACCCGCTGGCTGTTTGGAGGAGGAAGAGACGGAGGCCGCGGACATCCGATCCCTGTGGCAGGTGCCCCTCAGCTGACGCAGGGGAGCTGGACGTGTCCTTGCCAGAGAGATGCAGCTGCTGCAGAGATGATCCTGTGTGGGATTTGCCCAAATTCCTTTCAGCTGGCCCACAGGGGGGGGGGGCTCTCTGTGGGAGAGGCGGGGGGCGGGGTTGTTGGACCCAGGGCTTCGGAGCTTGGCAGGGGCAAATGTATCCCTCCTCCCACCCAGCTTATCTACATTTGTCCTTGGCTGGAGCCACACTCCTTGGACCAAGACTCACGGCTCCAGAATCTGCACCAGGCATTTCTGCAGCTGCAACAAAGCAAAGTGTTTTGTGTGTGCGAGGGAGATCAGCTAAGCCTGGCAGGCATCACAAGACAGACCTGGGGTGGGTGGGCGGGAAATGAGAGCTCACTTCTGGCCACGAGTTTCCTCAGATGCAGAATCGAGGATCCACAGTCTATCCTGGGTTATGCCTTCCTTCGTCAGTGGCAGGCCAGTCCTGTCAGGCGCTGGTCACCTCCAGGATAGAGTGCTGCCATTGCTCGATTGGGGGCCTGCCTTTGGGGTTGGTCCAGAAGCGGCAGCCGTTGCAAAATGCAGCTGCTCATCTGCTCCCTGGGGCAGGCCCGTCTTACCCATAGAGGCTAGCGGTGCAGGGTGCCACGGTGCCAAGTTCAGGAGGGTGCCAGGCGAGAGTCCGGGGAACACCGAACGAGTGCGCTGAGTGAGCGAGGGACGCATCCTCGTTCGCTAGGCACAGGCTCGCTCGCTCGGTGTGCTGCCTGCTGTGGCCACCGCGGCATGAAGCGTTCAGCTGAGCCGGGAGGCGCCGCGTCCAGCCTCCGCTTCTTCTCCACTGGAGGAGCCACCCTCTAGCCGCTGCCCGCCTTCTGCAGCCCTAAAAAAGGTCAAAGACTCTGGGAAAGGGGGGGCACTGGAGGGATCTTTGCACCACCGTGCCGGATATGCTTTAGATGGCCCTGCACTGGGGCAAACTATTGCCAACACGTCTCACCACTGGGAAGAGTTGCCTGGGCTTCTAATGAGCTCCTGGGCTAAGTTCAAGGTGCCATTTTGGGTGCATAAAAGCCCTACGCAGCTCAGGACCAGGACACCTGGAAGGCTGTCTCCCCGCTGCTCTGCAGGTGAGGAGGGCCTTCTGCAGGTACTGCCTTCTCAGAGGTCAGCTTTGCACAATGCAGAAATTAGGCCTTTATTTTATTTATAATAATTTTAATTAATTTTCCATTAAAAGCATCCAATCAATAACAAATCAAATCATAATCCAATTCCAGAAGAAAACACAAAACAAAACAAAAAATGCACAAAAAAGCCCAAATTACAATCCAGTTACAATTAGTGTTGTGTCAGCTACCCTTTGGAAATACTAATAATAACAATAACAATAATAATAGATGCACCTGAAAATTCAAGTCTGCCACGTCAGTGGTTAACAGTCATAGAATCACAGTACAGTTGGAAGGGATACCCAAGGCTCATCTATTCCCACCCACTGCAACACAGGGAATGAGTTTGCATTCTGTTTTTCTCTTGCAATGCTGCTAAATAGGCAACATGTATTTGAACAGGATTTGGCTGCCACACATCTCAGGAGGCAAGGAGTGAGCTGGTCTCTTAAAGGGGCTGCGGCAAGTTGTAAGTCTGCCGCTGGCTCTGCAAATACGAAAAAGGGAGAAGGCTTGTACTGCACGGTGACACACCCAGGAATGCGTAGCCCGTTTGAGAAGTGCAACATGCATGTGTTTTCTGCGACCTGGCATTGGAGCTTGGGGCATTTCTCTGCTGCCATGAACGTACTCACCCGAGAGGGAGCATTGCCCAATGGCTACTGCCTTCCCACTGAAATATCCTCCTCTGGGCTGAACTCTGTTCACTGTCTCCAGACCCCTCTTGCTTCAGAGGGGCACTGGGCTATAAGCTGGGGAGTCACGTCACAGATCTACCATTAAAATATTTCCCCACAAGCAATTTCTCCAATAAATCCCCCACCTTGGACAAGAACAAGCATAAAAGGGGAATAGTGTAACTGTAGAGGAAATTTCAGCTTCAACTCACAAGACCCTGCATATGAGGGGCCAAATTTTTGCTGCTGTGGTGTGTGGCATGTAGTATTAGGGCTGCAGTTTTTTAAAAAATTATTATTATTATTATTATTATTATTATATTGCCCAAAGCAACTTACAACCAAAGGCAGGGAGGAACAGATATTGATAAGCTGGAAGGTGTGCAACAAGCTGATCCAGGGCCAGGAAACCAAGCCTGATGAGGAACGGTCGAAGGAGCTGGGTATGTTGAGCCTGGAGGCGACGGATAGGAGATACGAGAAAGGAGATGAAGGGCTGTTCACAGGGAAGAGGGAGCAAACTTGTTTTCTGGTGCTGGGAAGACACAAACTAATGGATTCAAGTTACAAGAAAAGGGAAGAACTTTCAAAAGTGGAATGGGCTTCCTCGGGAGGTGGTGGCCTCTCCTTCCTTGGAGGTTTTCCCAAAGAGGTTGCCATTTGCGAGAGATGTTTGAGCTGTGATTCACGCACTTGAGGGGGTTGGTCTAGATGACCCTCAGGGATCCCTTCCAACCATCCAGTTCTATGATACTATGATTAAAATACTCCCAGAAATAAATAAACGGGCTTCTCTGTGACAGTCACTGGAAAGGGCTCCGGGGGCGGCCATCCCACAGAAAGTTTGGCATGTGCCCTGCCCAACCGAGTCTAGCCCAAGCTGCCATTCGCCAGGCGAGCCGAAGGAGCGCTCCGCAGTGCCAAGGGGGCTGCCCGGGAGAGCTTGGCTGGGGATCGTGTCCCTCCTGCACCCCCCACCCCCTCCCAAGACAGGCCCTGGCCCAACCCCGCCGGGATTGGGGAGGGGGGCAGAGCCGGCCGCCTGCCAGGGGCCCATCGGGGCTCCGAGCCCGGATTCTGCCAAGGCGCACCAGCGGCGCTCCGCGTTGCATTTCACGGCTTGCAAAGGCGATGGGGGCAAGCCGTCCTTTGCATCTCCCCCCGGGGCGGGGGCGGCGCTTGGATCCTGCCCCGGGCTGCTGGAAGGTGGAGGGGGGGCGGGGGTGGAGAGAAAGAGCAAGAGGCGGTGCCAGCAGCCCCCTCGGCTTGCAAGCGCAGCGCCTGCAGCTGCCGAGCTGTCCGCGCGTGCGACGGGGCGCGAGGAGGAGCCTGCGGAGGAAGGAGGGAAAGAGGGAGGGGAGGAAGGAGGGAAGGAGAGAAAGAGGGAGGGAAGAAGGAGGGAGGAGGAGGAGGAGGAGAGGAGAGGAGGGCGGGCGCGTCTTGGCCAGCAGCGAGCCGAGGAGGCCGGCCGGGCGCCCGGACAGACGGAGGGACGCGGAGCCGCCGCCGCCGCCGCCGCTGCAGAGGCCCGACCTTGCGCGCCTTCTCCGGCGAGGATGAGCCGGGTGTCGTCGGTGGCGGGCGGGGCGCCGTCCTCGCCGCCGTCGTGGCTGCCCAGCCACGTCCAGGTGACGGTGGTGCAGGCGCGGGCTCTGCGCGCCAAGGGCGGCCCGTCGGGCGACGCCTTCGTGGCTCTGCAGCTGGGCGGCCAGAAGTACCGCACGCCGGTGGCGCCGCAGCGGAGCTGGCCGCGCTGGGCCGACGAGTGCGCGCTCCAGCTGCCGCCCACGCCCGGCCCCGACGACGCCGACGACGACCCGGCGCTCCTGCTGCAGATCACCGTCTGGCAGCGCGCCCTCGTCGGCACCGACCGCTTCCTCGGGCGCGCCGCCGTCCCGCTGCGCCAGCTGCTCCAGCGAGGCGGATCCCACCCGGACCAGTAAGTGGGGCTGGGATTGGGGCCTGGGGCTGGGATGGGGGGGTAAGGCGACTTGGCGAGGGTGCCCCTGAGCCCGCGCAGAGGGCGCCTCTCTCGCCCGGGGACGGGGAATGGCTCACCAAGGACCAGGAGTGGGGCGGGGTGCTTTTGTTTGGGGCGGCAAGAGTGCCTCTGAGGCCGTGCAGAGCGCGCCTCCGACGCCCTCGGGGGTTTTGCCTGTGGGTCTGCAGTACCCGAGCATGGGCAGAGCGCCGCGGGAGCCGAGGGCGAGGCAGGAGCGCCGCTCCGCAGCCGCCGTCGAGTTTTCCGTTCTGCAGAGCGCACTGCGGGGTTGCGCGCCGGGTGCGCAAATGGGGCGGAGGAAAGGGGGCGGCGGCAGCTCCTGCAGTGGGTCGGGAAGGCCAGGTTGGGGGGGGGGGGGCGCGTTGCATGGACGCCCCGGGTCTCCGAGGCCAAGCCGGGCGAAGTCGACAGCAGCTGGCCCAGCGGGAGAGGCGTCCGCCCGGGTAGCTGCCTTTGCGCTTCCCGGCGGAGGAGAATTGCAGAGTCACTCTCTTTGCGTCCGGTTCCTGCAAGGATTGCTCCTTGCACCTCGCAGCCGCGAAGCCTCAGGGCCTGCTCCCCCCCCCGCCCTCCCGGGACCCTCCGGATGCAACTTTTGGACTGCAACTCCCATCAGCCCCTGCAAGCCCATAAGGGGGGGCGCAGTCTGCCAGAGGGGTTCTCTGGGACGCACAAGGCGCCTGGACCCAACCCAAATGCTCTTTTGGCTGAAACTCTCGGCAGGCCTTAGCTTTGGGGGTCCAGTGTTGGAAGATTCCCGACAGAGAGAAGAAAGTCCTGGCTGAACTGTGGAACTCCCTCCCACTGGAGGCCAGCAACCTAGATGGCTTGAAAAAGAAGATTAGACAATTAATGGAGGAGGAGAGAGGGCTTGCCAGCACAACTAGCCACAGGTGTAGAACCTCCACAGCCAGAGGCAGTGATGCCTCCAAACACCAGTGGCTGGGATTTGCAGGGGCAGAGTGCTGTTTGGCCGGTGTGCTCCCAGGACGTTTCCGAGCACAATTCAAAGTATACCTGAAGGAGCGTCTCCACCCCCATCGTTCTGCCCGGACGCTGAGGTCCAGCTCCAAGGGCCTTCTGGCGGTTCCCTCGCTGAGAAAAGCCAAGTTACAGGGAACCAGGCAGAGGGCCTTCTCGGTGGTGGCGCCCGCCCTGTGGAACACCCTCCCACCAGGTGTCAAAGAGAAAAACAACTACCAAACTTTTAGAAGACACCTGAAGGCAGCCCTGTTTAGGGAAGCTTTTAATGTTTGATGCATTACAGTATTTTAATATTTTGTTGGAAGCTGCCCAGAGTGGCTGGGGAAGCCCAGCCAGATGGGCGGGGTATAAATAAATAAATAATAATAATAATAATAATAATTATTATTATTATTCCTGCCGGCAGGATGCTGGACCAGAGGGGCCATTGGCCTCGTCCAATCTTTTCCCAAGGGGTGCTGAGAACGGGACTGAACTTTCCTGCATTTCAGGAGCCCGAGTGCTGGGTTTGGCACCGCGGTGGTCCAGCTTGCCCAGTTTTGTTCTCTCCCTGGCAAGCGCAGCAGCCCCGTCCCCACTTGTGGTTCTTCAGGTCTTCAGAGGGATGAGGGAACATGGCGTTAACATCATGAGAACATAACAACCTTGGAAGACCCTGCAGGATTAGGCCTGTGGCCCTGGCCAGCCCAGCTCCCTGTTCTCACCAGATGCCCCAAAAGCAGGTGCCCCCAACTTCGGCCCTCCAGATGTTTTGGACTACAATTCCCATCACCCCTGACCACTGGTTCTGTTAGTTGGGATCATGGGAGTTGTAGGCCAAAACATCTGGAGGGCTGCAGGTTGGGGATGCCTGCCCCAGAGGGAAACCTGCAAGCGGGATTCGAACACAAGAGCAACTATCCCGTCCTCCTGGGGTTTCCAGAAACGGGGATTCAGAAGCCTGGCTGTCTCTGACGGTGGAGGCCAAGCAAAGCCATTCTGGCTAGGAGCCATTCATAGCCCTCTCCTCCTCCAGGAATTTGGCCAGTCCTCTTTTAAAGCCACCCAGGCCATCGCTGCTTCTTGTGGGAGGGAGTTCCATAGTCAAACTGTGTGCTCTAACTATGCAACAGACCAAAGCAGCACTGAAGGTCCAGCCAGTCCCGGTTTCCTGGGGTGAGAAAGGCTTCCTGCAGCCGTGGAAAGGCTCATTTTGGGGAAGGAAGGCAGGCGGCGAGCATTTCTCCCCCTGTCCTGGTGGGGCAAAGCTCAGCCTCCCCCTCCAGCCCCCTCTTCCTGCTGGGGGGCCTGGGGGACTTCCGGTTGATCGCGAAGCCGAGAGCAAGCGGGATCCAGCCCTTAGGGGAGAATCCAGCTATTCGGGGGGAAAGGGGGGCATTGAGGCCTGAGCTTAGGGGGCTCAGCGTGTCAGCCAAGTGGGACTCCTGGTGTGCCCCCCAGGCCAGGATCCTTTCATGGCATCTGCTGGGGGGGGGGGGGAGGAATGGACTCTAGACTTGCTGTTGTGGCAACCGCAACCTCGGTTTACGGTGCCATTTGGCGACTGGCTTCTATATCTGAGTTTCTAACCCTGGTTTTAATGTGTTGCAAACCGTTTGGAAATTATAAAATATAAAGCAGCATAGAAATGAAATTAATAACAACCCCAGCTGCAAATTTCGCAGGGGAAAAGGTGCCTAGACATTCCGTTGTGGCCACAATGATAACCTACTTTTAAAAAAAAAGTATTTTTATTAACCAATTTCAACATAACAATTTGTCAATCCTCGTAATCAATTACATTATTTCCCCCCTTTATTCCTCTCCCTCAACCCTCCCTCTCCCCCCCCAAAGACTTCCCTCACCTCCCATCCCTGATTTTTTTACCTATCTTGTTTTCTGCATGCTATAAAATTGTACATATCCTTGCTTCGTCTATCATATGTTCAACTAATAAATGTGTGAATGTTTATTCCAATGATAACCTGCGCTTAATGGGCCCTTGGCGATTAGCTCCTTTCCAGCCCTGGTGTGGAAGAGCCCTTTGAGGTAGCCTGAGAAAGGCCCAGGGTGGCGCTGCCTGCGGGGCCCGGATAGGACCACCGGGAGCAACCTTCTCCTGAGTCAGGCCCCTGGCTCCATCTAGTTCAGGGCTGCCTACTCTGGCTGGCAGCAGCGGCTCTTCAGGGTTTCCGGCAGGCTCCTTTCCCAGCCCTGCCTGGAGATGCTGCCAGTGGGGATGGGAGAGGGACCCTCTGCTTGCTGCCCCTGAGGCTGCGGCCCTTGCCCACTCTGGGGCACCCCTCACCCGCCTGTAGCCTTCCTGCCATGGGGGCTGTTGAAATATCCTTTGCTGGTGACTAGCTGAGTTTTGGGAGGTGAAGAAGCTTCCTCTCGCTTGCCTGTCAGCTGTCTAATAATAATAATAATAATAATAATAATTTATTTATACCCCACCCATCTGGCTGGGTTTCCCCAGCCACTCTGGGCGGCTCCCAACAGAATACAGTGGTACCTCGGGTTAAGAACTTAATTCGTTCTGGAGGTCCGTTCTTAACCTGAAACTGTTCTTAACCTGAAGCACCACTTTAGCTAATGGGGCCTCCAGCTGCCGCTGCACCGCCGGAGCACGATTTCTGTTCTCATCTTGAAGCAAAGTTCTTAACCCGAGGTAATATTTCTGGGTTAGCAGAGTCTGTTACCTGAAGCGTATGTAACCTGAAGCATATGTAACCCGAGGTACCACTGTACTAAAAACACGCTAAAACATCAAACCTTAAAGACTTCCCTAAACAGGGCTGCCTTCAGATGTCTCCTAAAAGTCAGATAGTTGTTTATTTCCTTGACATCTGACGGGAGGGCATTCCACAGGGTGGGTGCCACCACCGAGAAGGCCCTCTGTATTGGGAGCACCTGTGTTTTGCAAGGGAGATCCGTTCCGCTCCCTCTCCCACCTGAGGAGCCGCCTTGATCCGAAGGGGCGTTTGATGTGCAAAACGGATCGTGGGCGACAGGAGACGGCGGCTCTGACATCCCTTTGGGGAGCTGCTCAAAGACCCGGCGCAGCTCAAAGGAAGACGTTCTCGTGACCCAAATACTTTGTGCAGGTTTGCTTCATTCGCGCAGCTCTGCCCCAAGGCTGATAGAAATTCTACGTAGCAATTTCATCTTAGAAAAAATAACGCTGAGTTCTGTGCCCGGTGCCAAATGTTGAAGCTGTTGAGAGGCACATGAGTCCCAGCATAGTCTAGGACAGCCTTTCTCAACCTGTGGGTCCCTAGATGTTGTTGAACTACGACTCCCATCACCCCTAGCTAGCAAGGCCAGAGCTCAGGGAGGATGGGAGTTGTAGTCCAACAACATCTGGGGACCCACAGGTGGAGAACCACTGGTCTAGGAGATGCTTTTGGAACTCAAGTAGCCAAAGGAAGTTGACTCCCTATGGGGCAGGCGAGCCTTTCATTTGCCAGGGGTGTGGAGCCTTCCTGCTCCTGCCCTGTGACTGAGAGCCTGCTTTAGCCCTGCACACCTCACTGCAGGAACGTTGTCAATTTGGTTAGCAAACTGCAACACACAACCTCTTTGGGTCTCTGTGTGTCCCTTGTGTCTTCATAATATCTTAAGGGTCAGGGGCTTCCAGAGATGTGGAAAGGCCTGTTGGTGGGACCCCCGTGGGAAGGTTTAGGAGTCTGCAAGGCCCACCCTGCATTCATCAGAATGGGGGCTCATTGGCAGAGCGCCCAGCTTCAGTCCCCAGTGGCAGCATCTTCTCCAGGCAGGATGGGAACGTCCCCTGTCTGAAACCCCAGACAGCCTCTGCCAGTCAGTGTCTGGAGGCAGTTGGATGGCAGCTAACGGATTGAGGTTGAATCCTGACAAGACAGAAGTTCTGTTTTGGGGGGACAGGAGGCGGGCAGGTGTGGAGGACTCCCTGGTCCTGAATGGGGTAACTATGCCCCTGAAGGACCAGGTGTGCAACCTGGGGGTCATTTTGGACTCACAGCTGTCCATGGAGGCGCAGGTCAATTCTGCGTCCAGGGTGGCTGTTTATCAGCTCCATCTGGTACGCAGGATGAGACCCTCCTTGCCCGCGGATTGTCTGGCCCGAGTGGTGCATGCTCTAGTTATCTCCCGCTTGGACTACTGCAATGTGCTCTCTGTGGGGCTGCCTTTGAAGGTGACCCGGAAACTACAACTAATCCAGAATGCGGCAGCCAGACTGGTGACTGGGAGCAGCTGCCGAGACCACATAACACATGTCCTGAAAGACTTACATTGGCTCCCAGTACATTTCCGAGCACAATTCAAAGTGTTGGTGCTGACCTTTAAAACCCTAAACGGCCTTGGTCCAGTATACCTGAAGGAGCGTCTCCACCTCCATCGTTTTGCCCAGACGCTGAGGTCCCGCTCCGAGGGCCTTCTGGCGGTTCCCTCTCTGCATGAAGCCAAGTTACAGGGAACCAGGCAGAGGGCCTTCTCGGTAGTGGCGCCCTCCTTGTGGAACGCCCTCCCAGCAGATGTCAAAGAGACAAACAACTGTCTGACTTTTAGAAGACATCTGAAGGCAGCCCAGTTTAGGGAAGCTTTTAATGTCTGATGCTTTATCGCTTTATTATTATCATCATCATCATCAATATCGTTATCATTAATTCTGTTGGAAGCTAGGGAAACCCAGCCAGATGGGCGGGGTATAAATAATAAATTACTCCTACTACTACTACTACTAGGTGTGCCGGTGGCCTGACTCTGTATAAGACAGCTTTGTATGTTCAGAGTCAGTTGTGTTTCCTCTGCCATTGTGGGATCCCAGGTGCCTCAGCTCTGTGTGCCTGTGAGAGTAGACTTGAGGGCTTCCTCTTGGGACCCTCAATGTCCATGTTGTTTGTTCCAGGACGAGTCCTGGAGCCCACCAGCCCCTCTCCAAGACAGCTGCCGCCTTGTGCTTGCAGTGAGCATAGTGTCTGTGCTGTCTCCCTCACCAGAGTTGGGGGGCCTTGCGTTGATGGGCTAGCCGTGGTCCTTGCCCCGAGCTCATGCAATTCCTCTCTGGCCTAGGCTTCAGCTGGAGGAAGGGCTTAATCCTGGAAGCCATTATTCAGTGGCCTGATCCAGGCCCCCCAAATCTCTCCTTCCTTGGAGGTTTCCAAGCAGAGGTTGGGTGGAGTTTCCTGCATTGGGGTGGGGGGCTGGACTGGATGACCTTTGGGGGTCCCTTCCAACTCTTAAAATTCTATGATTCTATGTCCGGCAGTCAGCAAGAAGCGTGCGTCAGAGCCAGTGCCCTGCTGAGCAAGCAGCCAGTTGATCTCTCTTCCCTGCCTTGCATCCGGAGGGAGAAACTTTCAAATTGTCTTTATTCCTTCAAAAGGCTTTAAACTCACTTCCTTCCTTCCCACCGCCAGCAATTTTCTCATGGCAGCTACTAATTGGAGGAATACAGACAAAAACATACGGGCAAAAGCCATACTGGACAAGGCAAAACCCGTAAGCACCAGCCTGGTGACAGATTAAAAACACGAGCTTCTGTTTGTAATGTCATGCATATCCCGGCTTTGGCCTGGGCTTTTAGGGAGGGCAGTGCCTGCATTTTGCAGGGTGGGGCTTGAGGGGCCTGGGTTGGGCAGAGGGGCCCTGCAAAATGCACCCCCCATGCCCTCACCCACAAGTTTGTAGAACTCCTGGCTGCTTTGTCAGCAGACTGGGGTGGAAGTAGTCCTGGGTGTCCTTGCAACCAAGCCCTGCTCCTCCATTCTCTCCTGACTCAACAAAAACAGCTTTCCTGTCGGGTTGGCCTTCCTGCAAACCGGCCAATGTTTCCATGCGACCAGATAATCTCCTTCGTCCTTTGCAAGCAGGTTTCCACCAGCGCATCTGCCTGGTTCCGTTTTGCATTCTCTCGCTCAAAACCTACCCTGCATGTGTTTTCCTAGCTTACGACCTGTTCCTTTCCTGCCTTGGTAGCGCAGGAGTTTGTCTTGGGTCCTGCTTGCTCCGCTGGGTGTCCTTGGCGTGGGCCCAGCGCCCCTCCTGCACCCCTGGCGTGTGGCTCCCCAGCTGACGTGGGCCTGGTGCGCAGCCTCTGCCTCTTGCCCGCCTGCGCGTGAAGAAGGGGCTGGTGGTGGGAGCAGCAGTGCCACTCGGGGAGCGCATCTGTGTCTGGGGCAAGGGAGCCCTTGACTTCAGTCACAAAAATGTGGGTTTACAGGGTTTGTGCCTGTGAGCTGCCTTGGGATGAAATAAATGGCTTTCAGCAGGTGGAAGCATTGCAGGGGGTTAGACTGGATGACCACATGGGTTCCTGCCAGATCTGCAATTCTCTGAACCTTGAGGCATTTAACTCTCGTATGGGGCTGTGGTTGGTCTCAAGTTGTTGGCCTCCAGTTCCCATCAGCCCAGTAGCTGGAGGGCACCAGGAATGTACTGCTTTGGTTTTTAATTCTGCCTTTTGTCTGTTAAGACCGCAGAGCGTCTCACAGCACATAATCTCATAAAATGCAAAGGCCCCATAACATGGAATTTGAAACCCGTATACCGAAAACATCATATGCTGCAGAAAGTGTCCCCAACTCCAGCGTGTGGCCCCCACCCTCCTGCAGCGGCCGAGAGCCTGAGTGAGTAAAAAGGCTTTGAGCTGGTGTTGGCACGTCAAGGGATGGCAGGATGGGGGCCTTGTTCTAGGAAGCGCTTCCGTTCAGCGACAGCAATGCTAGGTTGGCGGAGAGAGCTCTTGTGCTCTGGTCCTGCTGTCGTGTTTCCCACACAGGTATCCAGCTTCGAAATTCGCCAGGCGCATTTTGGACCTGGCCATCGGCCACTTGTGAGGAAGCGAAGATGCCTGGGCGCCCGGCGTCTCCCTCACCTGGAGGCGCACACCTGGGGATCATTGGATTCTAACTGTTTCCACACACCCAACACCCCGTCCTGTAGAATTCTATCCTTTGCGTTTTACCTGCACGATCAGAATGAACTTCAGGAACCAAACAGTCATCTTGGAAAATACGACTTTCTAGCCGTCTGTCCCAAAAATGGCAACTAGGCACTCTGCTTTGGCGACTGCCACCCTGGCTTAAGGCACTATTTGGTGCCCGGCTGATATATATGAGGTTCTACTGCAGATATCTGGTTGGCCACTGAGGGAGCAGGATGCTGGCCCTGATTCCGCAGGCTCTTCTCATGTGTGTATCCCATTCCTTGGAGGGGCTTGAGGGGGCTTCTGCTCTGACAAAAGGCCCGAGCTTCGAGGCTGCTTTGGGGCTGTGTGTGGGGTGATTGTGGAGGCTCGGGTGTGTTTGGCCAGGAGGCCGAGGCCTTGGCATTTGGGCAAAGCAGGCTGCTGGCTGGCTGGCTGGCTCCTTGGCGTCTCTTCCAGCTGTGCTGCTTCTGGGGGCTCCTCAGTGGGAGGACTCTGGCCAGGCCTGCTTGCGGGTCAGAATGAAGCTTCAGAGCCGTGACGCTCAAGAGTCCTTCCGTTCTGCCCCTGCGGGGTGGAGGAGCAGGGGAGATGTACAAGGCGATGATAATGTTGCACACCCAATGTGCTTTCAAGGTCTGCAGCTCCTGTCTGGCTCAGCAGCTTCCGCAGGGATCGCTGGGCTGGCATTTTTGCAGTCAAAACCACAGGAGGGTCTTGGTGTCACCTTGAAGGCTAACAGATGCAGGGGGGTCCTGGCGCAGAGTTTTGTGCACTGAGCTGTTCCTGGAGACCCCCGGCTTCCCAGCCACCGACCGATGAGCTAATACGCTGGCCTGAATGGTTGAGAAAGTGGTGACCCTTGGGAATCACTTCCAACTCTTTGACCCTGTAGTAGGTATTGTTGCGGCTGGGATATTGTTTAGGGGGTTCTGTTGAGGGGTGGTTGCTATTATTAATTTTTGTGCCTTTGTTTTATATCATGATTTATGTGGAAACCTTCAGTTTGGTTATGTACTTTGCGATGTTTTATTTCTTGTTTATGACTACTTTTGTCATGTGTTTTTGTAAGTCTCCTGGAGCACGGCTTGGACCCTGGAAAGGCGGCCTACAAAAAGGTGCTCGTGTGTTTGTGTGTGGCCACAATCCATTCCACCAGATGACTCTGGTCTAGGGAAGCTTCTGCTGTGACCCATTCCCGGGTCCCTCAAGGCCTGCCAGGGACTCTGCGTTTGGTGTGGCTGCGATTCTCCTGACTTCCTCAGTGGGCTAATGGATCTGGTCCAAATCTTTCCCCAGCCTCTGTGCCGGGAAAGTGGGACATGCACCTCCCGGCTCTCGCCAACCATCGATTTTCCTTGGCACACATGCAATGCAATGCGGAATATTTTCTTGGCAGGATTTGCCCCCGGGGGAACCCCTTGCGCTTTAAGTCTCCTGACCGGCAAGGCTCCCGTGGAAAGTGGAGGGCGGTTGCTACCTTGAGCTGGGGGATGATGGCTGAAGTAGCCCCCTCCCCAAATGTGGCTGGTCTCTGCTTGCTTCCTTGCAGTTCCTTGCCCCCCCATGCGCAAGCATCGTAAGCCAAGTATTGATGTGCCTTGACTGCTGCAGTTGATGGCAAAGTCCACCAGATCTGCAGCTTGTTTGAGTCTGGGGGCTCCCGAGAGTCTTAGGGCAGAGGCTGGCTCTCTGGCCTTCATCTTGCTAGGCTGGGATGTGCGCACATGCGCTCCTTGCAACCGACCTGTGGGGGCCACCGGATCTGAGTGTGCAGCCTTGCAGGCGACTGTAAAGACAGTGAAGGCCACTTCCAATCATTTGTGAGCAGAAAGAAACTGCCCTTGCAGCTTCCTGGACCAGCAGCCGGGAGGCCTTTCTGGCCAGAGGCCATGGGGCAACTTGTAAGCTGGAGTGGAAGCCCACTGAGGTTGCTCTTTTAGGAGTGATGAGTTGTGTATAAGTAAAATAAAGTTAACCCCTTCCTATGGGCTGAAGAATTAATATTTAATTAATATTTATGGCATCTGAAGAAGTGTGCATGCGCACGAAAGCTTATACCCAGAACAAACTTAGTTGGCCTCAAGGTGCTACTGGATAATTTTTTAATGTGTTATTAAAAGGTGTGTCTTACACCTTTTTCTTGATGTCATAATCAAACCTAAGTAACAGCAAAATGCTGCTAGCACTAAAGGAAAGCTGGCGGGTTGGGCAGAGGAGTAATAACGATTCCACCCTAAATTCCTTCTTAAAGGCCCCTGACGCTTGAAGACGGGATGGGGGGGCATTCCCCAGTTGGGTGCCACCGCCCTTCGTTCCCACCCATTGCCCTTCAGGCTGCTGCAACTATGAGCCCAGTTTCGCTTGGTGTGGATGAGATCAGTCAGGGATGCTTAATTTGATGGGTGATGTAAACACCTGCTGCATAATGTTACGCGTAGCTGAGCTGAACTGACTTGTTGCAACTTAATCAGGTTGTGCGTTCAGCCAAGACAGGACTAGCGCATGTGGTCTCTGCAGGTGTGCTGAGACTCCCTTCATCCCAGGTAGCCTGGCTGGTGGATGGGGGTTTGAGGGGGGAAGCTTTAGTCCAGCAGCTTCCAGGGGGCACCACGTTGGCTGCCCCTGAGCCAAGATGCATTTTGTACCCCCTCCTGAGTCATTGCTGCTTCTCCATAGGTTGTGTGTCTGTGTTTTTAAAGACATGTCTTTTATGGTTGTGTTATCTAATCAATAACAGGGCGAGCTCCCGTTGCTTTGTCCCAGCTCCTGCCTGTGAAAGTACACCAGCGCAAGTAGATAAATAGGTACTGCTGTGGCGGGAAGCTAAACGGCGTTTCCGTGCGCTCTGCCACTCGTCACAGTGTCTCGTTGTGCCAGAAGCAGTTTAATCCTGCTGTCCACATGATCCGGAAAACTGTCTGTGGAGAAACGCCGGCTCCCTTAGCCTGAAGTGAGATGAGCGCTGCAACCCTATAGTCGCCTTTGACTGGACTTAACCGTCCAGGGGTCCTTTGCCTTTCTTTTACCTTGTTATCTAATACCTGAAACCTGAGCATTTCTTATGAAATGAGAAGGTGGGATTAAAAATTAACCATAAATAATGCTTCCAGAAATCCTATTGAGTGCATCTGCTTGATGGGTCTGATCTGGCTTTTTACCCAAAAAATGCATTGTCCATTTTTCTGTTTACACATCGTACGATTTCCATGATACAAAATTTCTCTAGAGACTTCCCAGCCCAGCACTCTGTGGCCTTCCAGATGCGCCTGACTTTTGCTGCATATTTGTTAATTTTCTCCTTCCTTGGGGCTCTGATCTTATCCTGGTTCCGCAGCAGGGAGCTTACCTGCCTACAGAATGTGCTGGTGGAGCCACGGGGGATGCCCAGGACAGAGATTCTGGTCAACATGCAAGTTTCCTCTCTGCAAAACACCCAGAAATGAGCCGAACCCAGCTAGCACTGCCGGGTGGATCACACCCTCTCCATTCAATTCAGTGAATTGAACAGGGGCGCCCCTGGATGTTTTCCCTCCCTCCCTGTCCATCTGTCCGTGTTGGAGGAGGAGGAGGAGCAAACTCTCCCGCTGCTTCGGTCGGTCATCAAAGGGGATTGTTCCGGGTGGCACAGCTGCCCCTCGCCTGGGAATGGAAATGTCATTCTTCGGAGTGATCCCTCTGCTGTGTGCTGCAGATAAGTCGGCCTGGTCTCTGGCCTTGGCTGCTGCTGCTGCTGCTGGCGCTGGCCCGGCCGCCTCCTTGTTTTGACCCAGCATGAAAGATCTGCAAACAGGCTGCCCGACTGGAGCTTGGCAGGCAGAGCCCGGCTGTGTCTGCAGAGAGGAGGACGGTTCTGGCTTTCCATCTCCTCCTCCTCCTAATGGGGCTGTTGGGCAGACTAATGCGCTTCCTGTGTGCCTTGCAAAATGAGTCTGGCTGGCAGAGCCGGAGAAGCAGCCGAAGCCCAACTCGCTTATTCCCCTCGCGTGGCGAAGGGCTTTGTCTGAACTGTCAAGAAGATGGATTGAGTCTCCGCGTTAGGGAGAGCTCCCTAGGAGCACTTTGGAGGCGGGAGAAGCAGCCTTTGCCGCCTCCTTGGGGGGTTTCCGAAGGGCCAGGGCTTCTCATGAGCATCGGGGTCCTTTCAGAATCCGAGGGTCCAGGCGCATCAAGACCAGCGATGCTTCCCTCCTCCCTTAGGGGCCCACACTTGGAGAGAGGGATGCAGGGACCGCAGCCAAGCACATCAGTTGACATTCGATGACCGCAATAGTCCTCTGGCAACGAGGACCACATGGAGTGTGGGGTGGGTGGGCCCCAATTTGCACCTTGCTCTTACTTCTGTGTTGGCAGGAGCAGCTGATCCTTGCAGGGTCTGGGATGCGTTTGGACTCGGCCCTGAAGAAGCCGCTTGTTGCTTCCTCACCCTGCCTACCGTATTTTTCGCTCCATAAGACGCACCTAGTTTTTAGAGGAGGAAAACAAGAAAAAAATATTCTGAGCGAAACAGTGGATGTATGGTTTTTGTGGATCATGCTCTGGCCACAGACATGATATGTGATTTGACGGTTAGTTTGGGGTAGCCCAATGCAAAAATCCTGAGGATCCATGTGGATCCGTGCTTTGTAACCACGTTTTTGCACCATTGCGGCCCCACGAAACAGTGGATGCCTGGTTTTTTTGGTGCAGGCTATGTGATCTGATGGAGAATGTGGGGTGACCCAGTGCAAAAATCCTGAGGATCTATGTGCTTTTACCTCCCCCCTCCCAGGTGGCCTCCTTTATCGCTAGAGTCCCTTATCTCCCCTCCTGATCGCTTGCTGATCAGCGGCTTTGTTTCAACACCCCCTTCCCTCTTTCTAAAAAAGAAAGCACGATCTGCTTTTTGCCCCTGGGCAATTCGGCTCCAGGGACCACACATTCACTCCATAAGATGCACAGACATTTCCCCTTACTTTTTAGGAAGAAAAAGGTGTGTCTTATGGAGGAAAAAATATGGTAATTCTCTGCACCAAAGTCTGAATTTTCCCCAGCAAAAAGGACTCTGTTTTTTTTGGAAAAGTAAGGTAAAGGTAAAGATAAAGAGACCCTTGACCATTAGGTCCAGTCGCGGACGACTCTGGGGTTGCAGCGCTCATCTTGCTTTACTGGCTGAGGGAGCCGGCGTACAGCTTCCGGGTCATGTGGCCAGCAGGACTGAGCCGCTTCTGGCGAACCAGAGCAGCGCACGGAAACGCCGTTTACCTTCCCGCCGGAGCAGTATCTATTTTTCTACTTGGACTTTGACGTGCTTTGGAACTGCCAGGTTGGCAGGAGCAGGGACTGAGCAACGGGAGCTCACCCCGTCGCGGGGATTTGAACCACCGACCTACTGATCGGCAAGTCCTAGGCTCTGTGGTTTAACCCACAGCACCACCCACGTCCCATTTGGAAAAGCACTTTTCAACATTTGTTTCTGATTCCTTATGTTCTTATCCCCAGGTCCCCCAGCCTTCGCTCCTTTTCATCCCCATGATCTGAACAGCTGCATCAAAGACCCCCCCCCAAACACTGGGCTCCTCATCTCTCCCTGTTCCCATTTCAGGCCCTTCCTGCCTCTGGGGGAGATGGAGGGCAGCCCTCCCTGCGTCTGGGGCCAGGGAGTCTGGCTTGCTCCCCTCAGCCCTGCCTGGGGGGCGCCCTCCGTGGCCCCTCCTGTTCCTCTTTCCTCCTGCTGTTCAAAGGCAGGCTGCCTCCCCACTTTCCTTCCTCCTGGGGTCCCTGCAGGAGGACCCTGTGGGTGTCGCAATCGCCCTCTTCCTTGCCCCGCCTGGGCGGCTGTGGTGCAATCTTTGCACGGGGACGGAGGCTGCTGCAAGACCTCCTTTCCGACTCTGTGGGCAGAGAGGTTTCCTGGCGCTGTCGAAACCCACCACCACCCAGCGAGATCTTGGGGCGAGGGAGGGAATCGGCTCTGGGAAGCCTTTGAGCCACTTTCCGTCCCAGGAGGGCTCCTGGGATTCCTGCTGCCAGGAGGGTCTTGAGATCTTCCAAATGGGGGCATTTTCCTTAGCTGATGCCTCAGCTAGGGTGGGCATCCTTGCTGAAGGGTTAACCCTCTCCTCCCCTTGTGGTGGGGAAACTTTCTGTTTATTTTTACTTAAAAAAAGAGAAGCTTTTAATTCAGTTTTTTGCAAAAGAGCTGAAGGGTTAACTTGAGCCCAGGGGCACCTGTGTCGGCACCAGAGCTCCAGACAGAGCTGGCGTTCTAGGAGACCTGCACGTTCCTGCATTGGAACCTGCACGTTCCTGGGTTGGACTAGATGACCCTTGGAGCCCTTTGGAGCTACAATTCTAATTCCCTCCCGGTATGCCCCACAGAGGACCTTAAGGTCCATACATAGCAACACCCTAGAGGTCCCGGGCCCTAAGGAAGTCAGACTAGCCTCAACCAGAGGCAGGGCCTTTTCAACACTGGCCCCGGCCTGGTGGAACGCTCTGTCTCATGAGACCAGGACCCTGCAGGATCTGATTTCTTTCTGCAGGGCTTGTAAGACAGAGTTGTTCCGCCTGGCCTTTGGCTTAGAATCAACTTGATCCCCTTCCCCTCTTTCCTTTCTCCTTCTGTGATGGAACTCCTGTTTGGGGACTTCCCTGGCTTTTTTCTGGCCCACGTAGGACCAGTCTGGATAGTTGGCCTTGGTGAAGACTTGACGTTTTCATCCCCAAAAAAGTTTTTGAGTTTCCACTGAAATAAGGCTGCATTTTAATGTTTTTATGTTGTATTTTAATCTTGTTTTTTAATCTGTATTTCAATCAATTGTTTTTATATTGGTGTTAGCTGCCCTGAGCCCAGTCTTGGCTGCGGAGGCAGGGTATAAATAAAATTATTATTATTATTATTATTATTATTATTATTATTATTGTGACCCCATCCTCATTTGCTGGCTCCCTGGAGTGGAAAGCACACTGACTAGGTGCAGGTGGCACTTTCTTGCACGGGGGTTCAGTTCTGTGGGTTCCACAAAACCCCCGTATTACCCAAACCTTTGGAGCCCTACCCCGTGGCTAGTGGGTGAAGAGGGGGACGCCCCTCTCTCCCCCTGGGCATGACAGTGATGCCTAGGAGGTGTAGTTGGGGCTGCTCCCCCCACGCTCCCTTCTCATAGGCGGCAAGTCGTCGCTTGATGTCGCCGCCAGCTGGTGATGGCACAGATCTGCACCAGCGTCTCTGGGGAATCTGCGGCTGAGACTTCCGCATTGCAGGGGGCTGGAGTAGATGATCCCTGGGGTCCACCCCACCTTTGAAATTTTATGCTTCTCTACTCTCTTTTTTTAAAATCATTTTTATTGATTTTCCAATAAAAAACATCCAATTAATATATCCAATCGTAATACTCCAGTAAAAATAAAAAATTAAAATAAAAAATTAGAGTCCAAATTATAATTATTCTCTACTCTCGGTTCGTGTCCTGCCTCCCTGCTATGGCACTGGGTAGATCTCAGTTTAAGAATCCTTGGATACAGTGGTACCTCTGGATATGAACGGAATCTGTTCCGGAGCCCCATTCGCATCCAGAAGCAAACATAACCCGTGTCTGCGCAGGTCATGATTCGCTGCTCCCACTCCCGCGCATGACGTCATTTTGACCGTTTGTGCATGCGTGAGCGGCGAAACCCGGAAATAACACATTCTGTTACTTCCAGGTTGCTGTGGAGCACATCCTGAAAGTGCTCAACTTGAAGCATACCGTATTTTTTGCTCCATAAGGCGCACCGGACCATAGGGCCTACCTAGTTTTTAGGGGGGGGGAATCCGCTTCTCCCAGAGCTTCTGGGGCTGTCAGAGGAAGCCTGGGAATACCCCCCCCAACCCCAAAGAGCAAAGAAGCCAAGACAGCTAGTGGGATGGATCCCACTCGCTGTCTTGGCTTCCTCTTTAGCCGACCCCAGCCCCCAGAACAGGTCAGGGAGCGGCGGTCCCTTCTCCCTCCTGGGGAAAAGCCCGCAAGAGCCGCGTGAAGCTTGTGTGCAGCTCTTGGGGGCTTTTCCTGCCTGCCTCCCCCCTGCATTCGCTCCATAGGATGCAAAGACTTTTCCCCTTAGTTTTTAAGAGGGATAACGTGCGTCCTATGGAGTGAAAAATACGGTATTTAACCCAAGGTATGACTGTATTTTCCTCTTATCTCATGGGATGTTGACTTCCTTGAACACACGAAGCCCCCCACTAAGGTGGACAAAGGCCTGCTGTGCAGGGACTGGGGGGGGGGGATGATGACCTCCACCTGCAGGGCCAACCTTTAGCAAGTCCTCTTCTGGTGGGTGAGGGGTCCTGAAGAGCAGCCCCCCTCTCTGCAGGGGCTGATAGGGAATGTTCAGAGGCAAGTGGATGCCGTAGTTTTCTCTGAATGCCGGGGAATTGCAAGTGCGGAGAGGATTCTTGTGCTGATGTCTCTCTTGTGAGTTTCCCACGATGGGCATCTAGTCCGCTGTTGTCAGAACCAGATGCTGGACCAGAGGGGCTGCACACAACTCTCTCTCTCTCTCTCTCTCTCTCTCTCTCTCTCTGCAATTCTTCCAGGCCTCTCCTCTTTGCCTTGTGTGTGTGTTTGTAACTTGAAGCCTGTGAAATCATCGGCTGCCAATGCTTGGCATCCTCTTCAGGGCATTCCAGGCCCACCAGGCCGGACTCTGCTTCTCCCCTTTCCTGGCATTTCCTTTGGGGGCTCAGGGCTGCCTGCCGTGTCGCCTTCTGACGCCGGTGCAGCACCTTATTCCGCAGGTGCGTCCCGGTTCCCGCAGTGCCCCCCTCACTCCTCCTCTTGGGGTTCATGCAAAGCGCCACTTTCCCACGGCGCCTCTCCTCCCCGTCATGTTTGGTGCTAAGCTCCAAAGCCCAGGCATGTGAGCAGACAATGGGCGGCTGTTCAGGGCTTAAGGCACTTGTGCGTCGGCTCTGGTGGGACGGGGGGAGGCGGGGAGGGCCCCCCCCCCCAGACTCAGAAGGGGGAAGCCCCTCGCCTGTGCTCAGATGATGTGTGTGTGGCTTGGAGGCTGTGAGCCCCTGGACGTTGCAGCAATGGCCTGGGGGGGGGCAATTGGACCCTGTCTTCACCCGTGGGAGAAGAGTGTGCCTGTGTGTCTCTGTGGGAGTCTGTGTTCTTGCTGTGTGGGCTGCTGTTGCTGCTCTAGATGTGATTTCTGCTGATGGCAGGAGACGTTTTGCAAACTGCAGGAAAGAGGCAGGCCTCTTGGAAGGAGGGGGGGCGCCAGGGGGCTGCGACTGCAGAGGAAGGGTCTTCTTCCTGTGAGGCTTGCAACACTGAAAAAGGTACTATGATGCATATATGGTGGAATTGTTTAAACATCAAACAGTTTTGGGAAACAATATATAATGAAATGAAAAAAAATGTTTAGATATTCATTTAGGAAAACATCAGAAGGTTTTCTATTGGGAATAGTACCAGGAAGTTTAAAGGAAGAAGACAAGACATTATATTTATACGCAACAGTAGCCGCAAGGCTATTGATTGTGAAAAATTGGAAAAGTGGTACTATACTGACAAAAACAGAGTGGCTTGCCAAATTATTGGAGTATTACAATATATCCAAAACAATGGGAGAAATCGGAAGGATCTCAAAAGAGAAGATAGACAAGGAGTGGAAGGTGTTTAAAGGATACTTGCAAAATCATATTGAAAAATCAGAACTCCTATTAGAATAGACAAGTTCCGTTATAAGTACTGAAATGCTAAATAAGATGGATAACAATGTGTAACAGAAAAAGAAGTAGAAAATTGGTTTAAAAGTGTGTGAAAGAAAGTAATAGAAGTGAAAGAAATTGTAATTGAGTAGATTGGAAGTCTAACACAAGTAGGAAGTATCTGTGGGATTGAGGGGGGTATGTCTGAATATTTTTAAGGATTGTATGAAATGTATATTTGTAATATGTATGTATTAATGCTGAATTATTTTAATAATAAAATATTTGTGTTTAAAAAAGAGAAAGGAAAGGAGAGAGGCTCCATCCAGCCTTCTGCTGGGCTCTCCAGGAGCGTGTGGGAGTTTGCAGAAAGACTCCCTGGAATGCCCTGGAGGCCGGTCTGCCGCCTCCCTTCGCCCACCAGCAGCTGCCGGCTGGGTGTGCTGCAAGCGCCCCTCCCTTCCTGCCCCCCCTTTCTGCTTGGACTAAGTTCTGCTCACTGGCGTAAGGAGCCTGCGCACTTTGCTCTGAGGTCAGCGGTTGGGTTTTTTTGCTGAGAGCAGCATATTTCGGCAAGGAGGGAGGGGGTGGGCCAGCGAGCGGGGCTTCCCCCTGCCGCTGGAAACTCTCCTCCAGCCCCCACCCCAGCCCAGTCTGCCTTCAGAGCAGTCCGGCGGAGCTGCCCCTTCAGTTTCAGACTTCTCCCACTGTTTGAGGGCACAGGAGAAGGTTTTTTGGGTTGTTGTTTTTTGAGGACCCAGGGTTTGTTTCCGAACTCTGGCTGTGTTCAGATGTCAGGCTAAACCACGGTTCATCGCAGGGGGTTGCTCAGTCCCGCAAAGATCACCCGTGTTGAAGCGATGATTCTTCAACATCAACTTCGTTGGACTGGTCGTGGTGTGCGGATGCCTGATGATTGTCTTCCAAAGCAACTACTCTTTTCTGAACTTAAAAATGGAAAGCATAATGCTGGTGGTCAACAAAAGAGGTTTAAAGACTCTCTCAAAGCAAATCTAAAAAAAGTAGTATAAACAACAATTGGGAAACATTGGCCTGCGAGCAATTGGAGAATATTATTATTATTATTATTATTATTATTATTATTATTATTATATACCCCACCCGTCTGACTGGGTTTCCCCAGCCACTCTGGGTGGCTCACAACAGAATATTAAAAACACAATAAAACATCAAACATTAAAAACTGGGCTGCCTTCAGATGTCTTCTAAAAGTCAGATACAGTGGTACCTCGGGTTAAGAACTTAATTCGTTCCGGAGGTCAGATAAGGCCCCTGAAACGGACTTTGGACATGCCTGCTCTATTGTATTTATCTCGAAGTCTTCCCGTTAATTTTTCCATTTCGTCGTATTCCATCGGTTTTCCTTGCCGTTCTTCTTTAGTTGGTATTTCAGTACTTTTCCGTCTTTGTGCTAGCAATGTCCTCGCCGCGGTTGCAGCATACATAAACAGTTCTTTTCTTCTCTTTCGGGACGGGAAGTTCTGCAAGGTGCCATCGTTACGTGGCCAGGGCTGCCTTATCTGTCTGTCCGTCTGGCTGGCTGGCTGGCTGCCTTCCCCTGCCTGCTTGCCCACCCCCTGCAAGTTCTGCCTTCATAGGCGAAGGGGGGGGGGCAGAGGGCGGACTTGAGAGTCGGTTGTGGGATCACAAACCTGCCTGTCTTCCCTGGCTGCCTGGCCCTGTCCTGTCCTTTGCCCAGGCGGGGGGCCAAGACGTCCCAGGGACCTCCGTGCGAAATAGGAGCTCCGGGTGTTTATGCCAAGCAGAGAAGCGGGCACAGGGAGGGGGCAGGGAAGACCCCCGCAGTGCTGCTCCTGGGGCAGAGGGAATCCGTAGAGGGACACCTGTTTCTGCCTCCCCCCAGAGCTCTGCAAACTGGGATCTGTTCCAGGGTGGATTCGATTCAAATCGGTTTAAATCACGAGTCAGTAAGACTTTCTTTTTTCTTTTTACAGAAAGACTCATTCTTGCTGGTAGAATCTTAATATTGACAAACAGATGAAGGTTTATTATTTTTGGAATAATAAATGTTCAGCATAGTTTTTACAGTTATATCAAAAGTTACTGATTTGGTATTAGAAATACATAGACAGATAATTATGGAATTATCGTGGGGTTTAATAAGCTAGCTATATTTGGACGGCTTTTCTGCTATACTTTATTAGAACGAGAAAAATAATCATTTCCTTTATAACAATTTATTTAACTGAAACAATAACATTACAGCATAAGTAGCCATGTTTGTTAACTGATGTGGTTAAACAATTAAAAAACAACAACTTAGACTGAGTTTTAGCACACATGAAAAACTTAAAACAAACCCTTATTTCCTGATGACTAGCCTTTGGACCATAATGTAACTTAAATAGAAAATGATCTTTAGAAAGATTTTTCGTGCAAAAGCATTTTACTGTATTTTTAAAATCCGATTTAAATAAAAAAAACCCCATTGCTTTCCCCCCACCCTGGTCTGTTCCCAGAAGCACCCATCCTGCCAGAGCCAGAGGGGAGGCAGCAGGTGCCGTGGGGGGGGAGAGAAGAGAAAGAGCCCCCCCCGCCAGACAGTTGTTGCCTCCAGGCCTGGAGGAGACCCTGTTCCAAGCACTGCAAAACCGCCCCTCATCCCTCCCACCCCCTTTGGCTTTTGCAGGCAACGCAGCCAAACTGTCACATACGGAAAGCAATTCGTTTGCAGGGTTTTATTATTTATTTGCAGGGGTTTATGGTTTGTTTGTGGGGGTTGATTCCCTTTCAAGAGGGTGTTTGCCTTGTTGGGGCGTCTGAGCCGGGCCAAAGTCTCTGGGGGCAGCAGGCCAAGGCTCCATCCTTTGGGGGGGGGACTAAAGGTCCAGAGGGATGGCAGTTTTCTTAAACCATGGGTAGGCAAACTACAGCCCGGGGGCCGGATCTGGCCCAATCGCCTTCTAAATCCGGCCCACAGACGGTCCGGGAATCAGTGTGTTTTACATGAGTACAGTGGACGCTCGGTCGCGAACGTGATCCGTGCGGGATGTGCATGCGTGGGTTGCGATTTGGCGCTTCTGTGGATGCGCAGAGCACAGTTTAGCGCTTCTGCGCATGTGCGACCGCCGAAACCCGGAAGTAACCTGTTCTGATACTTCCGGGTTTCAGTGGTCCGTCAACTGAAAAAATGCAACCTGAAGCGTCTGTGACTTGAGGTATGACTGTAGAATGTGTGCTTTTATTTAAAATGCATCTCTGGGTTATTTGTGGGGCATAGGAATTTGTTCATTTCCCCCCCTTCAAAATACTGTCCGGTCCCCCACAAGGTCTGAGGGACAGTGGACCGGCCCCCTGCTGAAAAAGTTTGCTGCCCCCTGTCTTAAACAACTACTGTATTTTTTGCTCTATTAGACTCACTTTTCCCCTCCTAAAAAGTAAGGGGGAATGTATGTGTGTCTTATGGAGCGAATGCAGGCTGCGCAGCTATCCCAGAAGCCAGAACAGCAAGAGGGATTGCTGCTTTCATTGCGTAGCAATCCCTCTTGCTGTTCTGGCTTCTGAGAGTCAGAATATTTTTTTTCTTGTTTTCCTCCTCCAAAAACTAGGTGCGTCTTGTGGTCTGGTGCGTCTTACAGAGTGAAAAATACGGTAAATCAAATACCTGCCTGACTTTGCGTTCCTACTGCCGGTGCCTGGTGGGTGTGCTTGTTTTATTGAGGGGACGGAACCTGGATCTAGTGTGCGTTTTGCACCTGGAAAGACCTGAGCTCTGTAATGAAATAAAAAGAAAAGAAAAGGGGGGGGGGGAAATCTGGTGTAGCTGCTCTTGGAGAGAGCTGTGTTTCTGCTGGTCAAGATACGCAGCCTGGCTGATCCGGACAACATGTTTGTTTTGGCGGTTCTGAGTCTCCACCCTCCTCTGAGTGGAAAGACTTTCCCTGACTCACCCACTGCCCCTGTTCCTGGCAGGCCTTTCCATCGGGGAGGTTCCTCTGGGCAGCTGCTGCCCTGTTTTCCCTCTCCTGGATCCCTGCCCCCCCCCCCCAATCCTGGGCTGCCACAGATTTCTGGAATGGGGCTCCCTGTCCTTTGGGGAAAGCAAAAGCCACTTGGAATATAAATATTGTTGTTGTTTAGTCGTTTAGTCGTGTCCGCCTCTTTGTGACCCCCTGGACCAGAGCACGCCAGGCTCTCCTGCCTTCCACTGCCTCCTGCAGTTTGGTCAGACTCATGCTGGTAGCTTCGAGAACACTATCCAACCATCTCGTCCTCTGTCGTCCCCTTCTCCTTGGGCCCTCCATCTTTCCCAACATCAGGGTCTTTTCCAGGGAGTCTTCTCTTCTCATGAGATGGCCAAAGTCTTGGAGCCTCAGCTTCAGGATCTGTCCTTCCAGTGAGCACTCAGGGCTGATTTCCTTCAGAATGGAGAGGTTTGATCTTCTTGCAGTTCATGGGACTCTCAAGAGTCTCCTCCAGCACCAGAATTCAAAAGCATCCATTCTTCGGCGATCAGCCTTCTTTATGGTCTCACTTCCATACATCACTACTGGGAAAACCATAGCAATATAACAATATAAATATAGCAATATAACAATATAAATATAATAAGTAATAAAAATAAAAGAGGAGTCATGGAAGCGGGGAGGGGGCTATTGGGGGCTCCCAGCCACAATTGCTATGCTGGGTCTCCGCAATCGGAGGCAGCGATGCTTCTGAAGATCAGTTGCAGGTGGGAACTGCAGGTGACAGAGCTGCTCCTGGTCTTAGATATATGTTAAATGTTCATAAGTGTACCAACCAAGCACGTACACCGATCAGCACTGGAAGACCGACCTGAAACCATTTTTGATTCCCAAACTGACCAAATGTTTGCTCTGCAAGGTCAAAGGAAAATGGAAACGCCTCCCCATTGTCTTTTCCTTCACAAATCCTGTCTTAAGGGCACATTTAAGAGATGAATAGGGTGTGAGGCTGACCTGGCTCAGGAACTAAGTATTTATTATTACAAAAGACTGGCCAGGCTCCCCGGGCAATTCAATCAAGTGACCATTAAACAGGTAACCTGGCAGACAGGAGGTAAACAAAGCACTCAGATTTCTGCTGTAGACCGCCCTTTCTGTGATGTAGGTATGATGTATCTGGTGGGTGGTCTTAGGTTACACCCCTTCTGTGATGTATGTGTGATGTATGGAGGGGTGGTCTGGAGCTCCAGGGCAGGGAATTTAAAATGTCTATATAAGGCCTTGCGTGCCATTGTTCTGGGTTCCTTCTCCTTTCCTGCATGTGAGGGGAGCACCCTGTTGCAACAGATCAATAAAGATCAGGCTTACAAGCTGCTTTGCTTCTCAGTATTCTCTGGTTGGCCTCTGTTATTCTCTCCTTCCAATAGGGAACCTACGTAAGGACTCTATATGGGCTCTTGGGTACCCCATAAGGGAAAAAGGGGCAGATTTTTGTTTACAACACTGATGCCCAGGGAATTTCAAACACTTGCAGGGGAGGAGGAGAAGAATGTAGAGCTTTGGGTCTCCCAACTCCCAACCTTGGGTCTCCAGCTGCACTACAATTCCCATCATCCCTGTCCCCTTGTCCTGCTAGCTAGGGCCGATGGGAGTTGTAGTCCCACAACAGCTGGCGTCCCCAATTTGGGGGATCCTGCTACAGAGGGTTTCAGAGAGCGGCCTGCAGGCAACCAAGGTGGGAGGGCGATGGGGGCAAGCAGCTGCCAGGACCTCTGGGGTCTTGTGAGGTTGGCGTCGTTGTGTGTCTTGGGCACCCAGGTTGGCACGAGTGTGTCCCACCTGCACAGCTTGTGTAGCAGGACTTGGCCTGCCAGGGGAAGGGGACTTCCTGGAGCTGGTCCCAAACCTCTGTGGGCTTCAGTAGACGCCTGGCCAATTTGTACTCTGGGGGGCCAAAACCTCCAGGCTTCCAACTAAATCTGACATGCTGCCAATGAGACAACAATGGTGTTTGTGGCAAGGAACAAAGAATTGATTTCTACAAATAATCAAACGCCTTCAGTCCTCCCAGATCAGCTGCCAACCAGTTGTGGAGCGCATCCTGCCTTTGAGCAAACCATGCAAGGGCTCACGCAGCAGCTGTGTCCCTCTTCCCCTCTACACCCCCCCCCAAAACCCCCGCTTCCTGTGTTTTGGAGGTGCTGCTTCAGCATATTTTGTTCCGGGAATTTTGGGGCGAAAACGGCTTGCCTTGCGCCATGGGAGGAGCAAGAGGCTGCGCTGGGGCTTGTGGTGTTACAGGGTTGAGAAGGACGTGGGGTTGTTGTCTCAGGCAAGACCCAGAGGAGAACCTGGGGGTGGGGGTGCTGGGGGGAGGATTTGGAAATGGGACGTGCGAGAGCAGGAAGGGGGGCTGCAATGCCATGAGAAATCTGAAACGGGAACTGCTGTCCACTAAGCGACAGCAGTCCAGTAATTCAGCAGCGGAAGAAAAATGACAAAACAATTGCAATAGAGAAACGTTTTGCAATGGATTAAGATGTAACGCAGGAGAAAAGGTCTGAGTAAAAACACCGTGGGGAGGGGAGGAAGTCAGCTTATGAAATAATGTAATTGTTTGACTTGAGGGTTCCTTTGAAAATATTTGAAAATTTTAATAACAGTTACACACACAGAGAGAGCAAGTTTTGTTTTGTTTTCTGCATGTGTTGCAGTTTTCATTGCTTGGTTGTGTTTACCACATTGCTGATTCCTTGCACTTTTACAATCTTACCTTGCAAAAGAATACTGCTTCTAATATGCTTTTAATATTGAGCTTTAAATGGTTGTGACCCGCCCTGGGACCTTCGGGTAAAGGGTGGGTAAGAAATCAAGTTGTTATTTTTATTTGGCTTCCCAAATAGCCGGTTTGGGTTCCCAGGGCGGGGCTGAAGTCAGGTGGGGGCCGGTATGTCTTTCTGCCTTTTGGGATGAGGCGCCGCGTGAAGATTTCCCCCCTGCCGCTTGCAGATTTCGTTTGTTTAGTTATTTCAGAAAATCAATACCCTGCCTGATTGTAAAACAACAACAACAACAACCTCAGTTTGCCAAAAAGGTAAAACAATAATTTTTTCAAGGAGAGGAATTAATAACGATTTAAGACTTTTTTAAAAAGCTAAAGTAACAATAGACTAAAAGAAGGTGGAAACTTCCTAAACGCCCTGGGTGGGCTTGACAAAACAAGGGTGTTTTGAGCAGGCTCTGAAAAGAGGACAGTTGAGGCTCCTGGCGTCAAGAGGCAGGGAGTTGTTAGTAGTAGTAGTAGTAGTAGTAGTAGTAGTAATAATAATAATAATAATAATTTATTCTTTATACCCCGACCATCTGGTTGGGCTTCCCCAGCCACTCTGGGCAGCTTCCAACCAAATATTAAAATACCGTAGTACATCAAACATTGATGGGAGGGCGTTCCACAGGGCAGGAGCCACCACCGAGAAGGCCCTCTGCCTGGTTCGCTGTAACCTTACTTCTCGCAATGAGGGAACCTCCAAAAGGCCCTCGGTGCTGGATCTCAGTCTCCGGGCTGAACAATGGAGGTGGAGACGCTCCTTCAGGTATACTGGACCGAGGCCGTTTAGGGCTTTCAAGGTCAGCACCAACACTTTGAATTGTGCTCGGAAATGTACTGGGAGCCAATGTAGATCTTTCAAGATGGGTGTTATGTGGTCCCGGCGGCTGCTCCGAGTCACCAGTCTGGCTGCCGCATTCTGGATTAGTTGCAGTTTCCGGGTCACCTTCAAAGGTAGCCCCACGCAGAGCGCATTGCAGTAATCCAAGCGGGAGATAACCAGAGCATGCACCACTCTGGCAACACAGTCTGTGGGCAGGTAGGGTCTCATCCTGCGTACCAGATGGAGCTGATAAACAGCTGCCCTGGACACAGAATTGACCTGCGCCTCCATGGACAGCTGTGAGTCCAGAATGACTCCCAGGCTGCGCACCTGGTCCTTCCGGGGCACAGTTACCCCATTCAGGACCAGGGAGTCACCCACACCTGCCCGCCTCCTGTCCCCCCAAAACAGTCCTTCTGTCATGTGAGGATTCCACCTCAATCTGTTAGCCGCCATCCATCCTCCAACCGCCTCCACACACTCACTTATATATACCCACCCATCTGGCTAGGTTTCCCCAGCCACTCTGGGCGGCTTCCAAGTGAATATTAAAAACAGCATCATCAGACATTTAAAACATCCCTAAACAGGGCTGCCTTCGGTTGTCTTTTAAAAGTAAAATACTTGTTTATTGCCTTGACATCTGCTATCCACAGGGCAGGCTTAATGAAACAAGGGTGTTTTAAGCAGGCTCTGAAAAGAGGACAGTTGAGGTTCCTGGTGTCAAGAGGCAGGGAGTTCCAGAGGGCATGTTCACGCTCAGAGATTTGAGTTCTTGCACATGAGGGACGGATCCTGGAGGGGATAACAGGCCTGTGTGAGAAGGGGATGGGGCACTAGCCGGGGCCCTGGCCTGGCACATTTCTCATGCGTTTCTTGTCCCTTCTTCCCCCTCAGGTGGTACAAGCTGCACTCCAAGCCTGGCAAGAAGGAGAAGGAGCGCGGAGAGATCCAGCTTAGCATCCAGTTCACGCGCCACAGCCTGACGGCCAGCATGTTTGACCTGTCCATCAAGGACAAGCCCCGGTCGCCCTTTGGGAAGCTGAAGGACAAGCTGAAGGGCCGGCAGAAGTACGACCTGGAGTCGGCCTCGGCCATTGTGCCCAGCAGCAGCGGGGCCCTCGACGAGGAATTTGGCCTGGCGGGCAAGAAGGCCAAGGCCAAGGGCAGCTTCTTCTTCAAGAACAAGCTGCGCAAGTCCTCCCTCACCCAGTCCAACACCTCCCTGGGCTCCGACAGCACCCTCTCCTCGGCCGGCAGCCTGGTGGGCATCGGACCCTCCGAGGCGGGCATGGTGCCCTCGCCCAGCCGCCACAGCAGCTTCTCCACCGAGCGCTCTGGTAAGAGGGAGGAGGGCGGGGGGAATAGCTGGTCGAGGGCGATTACGGCATTGCGGCGGGTTGGGATGGATGATCCCTGGGGGCCCCTTTTGACTCTGCGATTCTGTGATTGAGTAGAGCCTAGAAAGGTGCGGTGTTTTGCTGAGGAAATACAGTTACAGGGGTGCCTCAAGTTGCAAACGGGATCCGTTGTGGAGGTCCTGCCGCATCCCAAAGAATTTGCAACTGGGGGACCGCTTCTGTGCATGCGCGCAGCACGCTTTAGCGCTTCTGCGCATGCGGCGGAACTCGGAAAAATACGTCTGGGTTTGCCACATTCCGTATCCAGAGGGATACGTAAGTGGAGGTACAACTGTACTTAAAAGTCACATTTTAAAAAAATAAAATAAAATGATATACTGCCCTTCTTCCAAAATCACGGGGCGGTTTACAACATAAAAACGCAAAATGCATAATATAATATTTAAAAAGCAATAATCCCACCTCCCAGGCACGTGAAAAAGGCCATAGATTGAATGGAAATGTTTTCACCTGGCGCCTAAAGATATTTAGTGTAGGCTCCAGCTGAGCCTCCCTGGGGAGAGCATCACCCAAGCAGGGAGCCACCACTGAAAAGGCCTGTTCTCGTGTGGCCCCCCTCCAGACCTCTCTGTGTGGAGGAAAAGGGAGAAAGGCCTCTGGTGATGATGTCAGGTCAGGTGGGGAGAGGCACTTAGTGTTTGAGAGATCCTAGAGTAGGAAGGGACCTCAAGGCCAGAGATTTACAGAAGATTGGAAGAAGTATATGAATTATTTGAAGAGCAACTGTAATCAACAAATTACGCTAGTAGGACTACAAGAAGTTTTGTAAGGAGAAATATACGAAGTGTTACAAAGCAGGTAAAGATAGAGATATTGGTTAGGAGTTTGAAATGTAATTGGGAAAATAAGAAATGCATACTAAGAGATTAGATTGGAAAATTTTCAGACAGCACTGATGGAACTCAAAAAAATTGAATAAGATGTAAAAGTATGTTTAATTACTGTTGAGAATGATATGTTAAAAAACTAATAAAAATTTATATATAAAAAAAGGAAGGGACCTGGAGGATCATCTGGTCTACTCCCTGCAACATAGGAAACACAGGCTAAGCATCTTCAAGTCCCTCAGCGGTTCCTCATAGGGCTCGGTTTCCAGACCCTGGGTCACCTCGGAAGTAAACACACAATGTGACTTTGTAGGGGGCATAAGGAGAGCTGGATCAGGCCGCAGCTTCTGGGAATCACAGGTGAGGAGAGCCCAGCTTTGGTGCTTGCCATTTGGGCATCGAGTCGGCCAACGTGAGAGCAGGATGCGCCCTTGATGTGCCGTGGTCCTGATCCAGCAGCAGATGCTCTCCTGAGGTTCCTGGGCTTCTGTGGCACTGGGCTCGGCCCCTGTGGGAACGAGATGCTGGACGAAATGGGCCCCCTTTGGCCGGATCCTGCTGCCAAAGGGCTTTTTGTTGGTTCTTATCCCAATGCTCCATGAGACCCTCTCCCAGCACTTTGAACAGGGCCTGGAAGCCGGTCTGCTTAGGGGTTTGGCAGTCGGTGCCTCGAGCCTCCTGGCTGGCAAATAATAATAATAAGAATAAGAATAAGAATAATAATTCCAAAGGGTAGCTGACACAACACTAATTGTAACGATTGTAATTTGGTCTTTTTTGTGCGTGTTTTTTTGTTTTGTGTTTTTTTCTTGAATTAGATTGATTTGATTTGATTTATTATTTATACCCCGCCCATCTGGCTGGGCTTCCAACAAAATATTAAAATACAGTACAGTGGTACCTCTGGATGCGAACAGGATCCGTTCCGGAGCCCCGTTCGCATCCAGAAGCAAATCAACCTGCCTCCGTGTGTTGCGATTCACCGCTTCCGCGCATGCACGTGACGGCAATTTGTCCATCTGCGCATGTGCAAGTGGCGAAACCCGGAAGTAACACGCTCCGTTACTTCCGGGTTGCCGCGGAGCGCAACTTGAAAATGCTCAACTTGAAGCAAATTTAACCCAAGGTATGACTGTAATGCATTCTCCTCTTCCAGGATCTGTTGTGGCTCAAGAGCTGGAAGCGGGCAGACCCAGAGGGGGTTGGGGGGCCTTGTGGGCGATGCGGACGGCTGGCCTCACCAATCACCCTTCCCCTCCTCTGTCTTCCTCTCCAGTCAGAGACTTCCTGCCTTCCCCCAAGCTGACCCACAAGAGGGCCTTCAGCGACGAGGCCTCCCAGTCGACCCAGAGCCTGAAGCCCCAAAACGACCCCGTCTCCCGGTCCTCCCTGTGCATCAACGGGAGCCACATCTACTGCGAGGAGCCCACGCCAAAGCCTTCCTTCCTCTCCGCAGCGCCTGCTCCTCCTGCCGTCGCCGCCAGCAAGCCGCAGGAGGAGGCCTTTGGATCTGAGCCCCCGGCTGCCCCCGAGCCGGACCTGCCGCCCTGGTCCAGCGGCATCTTGCCGAAGGCGCCCCCCAAAGACCCTCCCCGCTTCATCCCCTCCCCTCCCATCCTGGCGGCCCAGGAGGAGGACAAGCTGTCCGTCAAGACCATCGCCCTCAACAAGCACCGCGTCAGGGCCAGGAGGGAGGAGGAGGAGGCAGCGGCGGCGGCGGCCGCCCTGCACGCCGAGAGCAAGCCCATCCAGATCGCCACGCCCATGGTCTTCTCCGGGGAGGTCCGGAGGGTCCGGCCCCAGCAGGAGGAGGAAGCGGAGGAGGAGAAGAGGTTCTCCAAGACGGGCTTCTTCCGCCGGGGGAGCAGCAAAGAGGGCAGCGGGAAGAGCGGGGAGCCGTCCCCCCGGGTGGTGGTGGCGGCCGGAGAAGAGAGGGGCAGGAGCAGGAACAGCAGCAGCAGCTGGTTCAGCCTCCAGGATGCCAAGGAGATGCCCCCCAAGCCCAGGTGAGAGGCTGACCGGGGAGCACGGCTTTTGGGGGAGGGTGGGAGAGAGCTTCTGTCCCTCTGCTGGTGTTGCCCGTGTCTGCCAGGGAGGAGGGTGGCGCTGGGAGCGGCAGGTCGTGGCCCCCGGTCTGTGTGCTGCTGCCTCTTGGCCCTATGTGTTGTGCCTGCTGGGCTCCGGGCAGGACTTGGAAGAAGCAGGGGGCGCGGAGCCTGTGGAACGGGCCTCCTGCCCACGTTCAGTGGGTCTGGTGGGGGAGAACTGGGGTGAGGAGGCTGTGCTGGAGCAGTTGGGCTTGCGGTGGAGAAAGGCTTTGCTGAAGCAGGTCTTGAGGGGGGTCTGGAGAGAGGAGACAGGCAGGCAGCTCCCCCAGGGCGAAGGGGCCAAGGAGGACTCGGGGTGAACGGGGAGAAACAGGGCCAGGATCCGCAGATCTCCCCAGGGCGCCTCTGCTGCTGGAGGGTCCTGCGTGGAGCTGCAAGGAGGAAGTGGGGTATCTGGCTGCTTCCTTTCGGTCGGACTCTGCCCTCCTGCCCTCCTCCCTGCCAGGCTCAGATTTGCCAGGTTTCTTTTTTGGCAGGGCTGGAGCAGCTTGCAGAGTCGGAAGCGGAGCCAGGCGGCAACGGAGCCGTCCTAGGAAGCGGCTCTGCTATGCTCAAAAACCTGGTTTTGAGCATGACATGAACAACGTCCTCCTTGTCACTTTCCACGCCGCTCCTCTTAATTGATGATTATTTTATAAAATGTATACACTAATTAGGGACGCGGGTGGCGCTGTGGGTTAAACTACAGAGCCTAGGGCTTGCCGATCAGAAGGTCGGCGGTTTGAATCCCCGCGACGGGGTGAGCTCCTGTTGCTCGGTCCCTGCTCCTGCCAACCTAGCAGTTCGAGAGCACGTCAAGTGCAAGTAGATAAATAGGTACCACTCCGGTGGGAAGGTAAATGGTGTTTTCCGTGCGCTGCTCTGGTTCGCCAGAAGCGGCTTAGTCACATGACCACATGACCCAGAAGCTGTACACTGCGGTGCTCCCTCTGGCAGTAAAGTGAGATGAGCGCCGCAACCCCAGAGTCGTCCGCAACTGGACCTAATGGTCAGGGGTTACCTTTACCTTTATACACTAATTGGTTGCAAAAACCAACAATGGCCTCCATGTGGTTTGCATCGAGAGTAAAACAGAAAAAAAATTATTGGCAAAAGCAAAACTGGTGAAAAACAACAATTTAAAACATTAAAAAAAATCAGCAATGAACTGAAAACTAATTTGAGACCTGCATCAGCTTCCTAAACTTCTGGGGAGTTGCATCGCTCCGTATCCCACCGAGAGCAAGTGCGGTGGGGGGAGGCTTAGCCATCCTCAGAGCAGAAATCCAGCTTTCGTTTCCAGGTGTCCCTGGGGGGGCTCCTGCCTGCGAAGCTCACAGACCTCTTTGGAGCCATTGCAAAGGTCTGGGGTGGGTTGTGTGGGGCGTAACTTGGCAGTACAGTCGTACCTCCTTTTGCATCCGGGATCCGTTCTGGAGCCCCAGACACTCGACAAAGCGCCTCTCTGCGCATGCGCGAAGCACGATTTAGCGCATTTGCACGTGCACGAGCAGCAAACCCTGAAGTAACCCATTCCGGTACTTCTGGGCTTGCTGTGGACGTTGGACTAAATGGACCCTAAACGGGGCGGACGCAAAACGAGGTACCACTGGAAATCTGCGAGGGCAGATAGGCTCTGCTTGGTTGCTCTGGCTGACCTGTGCCTAGGGATGTGGCAAGTTTGGATCATGACCCCTGGGTATGGTGTCCCCGTGGGCCAGAGTGGCCTATCCGAGGATCTAAAGGCAAAGGTGAGCAAGGTCGCGAAGAGCAGACGGGGCAGTTTGGGGCTTTGGGGAGTTGCTGGTGTAACCTGTGGCAACGTGAGATTTGGCGCTCTCTAGGTCCTGCCGGCTTGGGGGCGTCCCAGGACACTCTGGGCCATTGGTCTCCAAGTGGGCGCCTGGCTGTGTGTTGCCATCGTCTTATTCAAGGGTCCGGCAGGAGGGGCTTCAGAGGCGGGTTGCCAGCTTGGGCCAAACCTCTGCACCGCCCCCTTTCCTTGGCGCCTCCTCCCTGAGATCCCCCCAGGGTGTTTCAGATGTCAAGGGGGCTTGGGGGGGTCATTCTGAGGGTCCTATCTAGGTTCTGAGCACTGCAGATTCTCCTCAGTCCCCCAACTGGGCTCTGCAATGGCAGTATTGAATGCAGTGTTGCTGCAGGTGGTCAGATGTTGGGGTTTGGCTTTGAATGCTGTGCTGCCGTCAAGTTGAAACTCGTTTAATGACCACATCTTTTTGGGGGGTGGGGTTTCAAGGCAGAAGTGTTTGGCCAAGTCCATGGGCAGCTTCCGTGCCGCCTTGAGGGCAGAGTCCTGTCCCCGTACACTGAGAAGAGCGGGGTCTTTTCCTGGTGCCAAATCTCAGGTTTTGTTTTGGGTGATGGCGTCAGCCCTGCTGACCTGCTTTTATGCTTTCCTTCTCTGTCCCGAGGCAGAGATCCTTCCGGTTGGCTTTCTTCCACTGCAGCCACCACATGGGGAAGTTGCTAAGCGGAATCTTCCTTCTACACTCCGATGCAGCTGTGCTGAGCATGCTGGGGGAAATGGCTGAGCGCTGCTCCCTGGTGGCCAAACCTGTGTTGTCACCTGCCCTAAATATCTGGAGTGGGGCATGCGTGCATCGGCGCTTTCCACCTTCAGCGTCTTCAGTCAGTACAGCTGCACTGGAGTGCAGAAGGGAGTCTTTCATTGTTTCTGGCCTTGGAGGGCGCCTTGATCTCCCACCTTCCCCTTCGGTTGTGGGCCTGTGGACCCTGCAGAAGTGCGCTGCAGACCCCTTGGGTTGTGTGTGGGTGTCGACGGTTTGAGAGCCACCCTCTGCTGGGTCGTGAGCTGCCTTTTTCCAGGTGCATTTCTGAGAAGCCGTGTCTGACAAAGAGCGTCCTGAAGGGCGCAGAGAGAAGGGAGAGAGAGAGAAGTTGCTCTTTGTCTTGGTGCCGGTTCTGCAGTCCCGTCCACCAGTGAGATCCAGGCCTGGGGGGCAGCTGGGCTGTTGGTCTCCCCCCAAGCCAAATAGCGATAAACCTGAGCTGAGCACCGGGGAAGTTATTTTTGGAGCATGTGTTGTTCTGGCGCATGATGAGATGCTGACTGGAGCATGTGACGCGCAGACAGGGCTTGGCTCACTCAGGCTTTCAGCTTTTTCCTGCCGTGGTTCTTTTGACGTTCCCCTTCCTGGGGGGGGGGGGCGAGTGGGGCTGCGCCTGCTTCTCCTGCAGAAGCAGAGGGGGTGTCGTGGCTCTTGGGATCCCCTTCAGCTGAGGATTGGGGGCCCCTGGGGGAGACACGGAGGTGCCCTTTCTTCTCCAGTGTCTGGCGATGCAAAGGAATTTCAGTACTGTTGAGTTCGGAGGGACCCCTAAAGGCTATCCAGTCCAAGCCCCAGCAATTCAGGAATCTCAACAAAAGCATCCATGACAGACGGCCGTCCAGCCTCTGCTTAAAAGCCTCCACGGAGTCTGCAATCTGTTACGCTGTTAAACAGCTCTTCTTCCTAATATTTATCCGGAATAATAATAATAATAATAATAATAATAATATAAAAAAATTATTATTTATACCCTGCCCATCTGGCTGGACTTCCCCAGCCACTCTGGGCAGCTTCCAACAAAATATTAAAATACAGTAATCCATCAAACAGGGACGCGGATGGCACTGTGGGTTAAACCACAGAGCCTAGGACTTGCTGATCAGAAGGTCGGTGGTTTGAATCCCCGCAACGGGGTGAGCTCCTGTTGCTCGGTCCCTGCTCCTGCCCACCTAGCAGTTCGAAAGCACACCAGCACAAGTAGATAAATAGGTACCACTGTGGCGGGAAGGTAAACGTGTTTCCGTGCGCTTCTCTGGTTCTCCAGAAGCGGCTTAGTCATGCTGGCCACATGACCCGGAAGTTGTATGCTGGCTTCCTCGGCCAATAAAGTGAGATGAACGCGGCAACCCCAGAGTCGGGGTCCCTTTACCTTAATCCATCAAACATTAAAAGCTTCCCTGAAGAGGGCTGCCTTCAGATGTCTTCTAAAAGACTGGTAGTTGTTGTTCTTTTTGACATCTGGTGGGAGGGTGTTGCACAGGATGGGTGCCACTACCGAGAAGGCCCTCCGCCTGGTTCCCGGTAACTTGGCCTCTCGCAGGGAGGGAACCGCCAGAAGGCCCTCGGAGATGGACCTCAGTGTCCGGGCAGAACGATGGAGGTGGAGACGCTCCTTCAGGTCTCCTGGGCCTTTGAGGCCGTTTAGGGCTTTAAAGTTCAGCACCAACACTTTGAATTGTGCTCAGGAACGTACTGGGAGCCAATGTGGGTCTTTCAGGACCAGTGTTATGTGGTCTCGGCTTGCTCCGTCTTCCGTGGGGCAGCCCTTCACATATTTGAAGATGGTTCTCTTCCTGGCTGGTCATACCCACCAGGTGATTGACAGGTGGGTGTCCCTCCCTCCCTGTCATAGTTGGCCTGTGGGGAGGGGGAGATAAAGACCTGGAAGTCTGCCCCCCACCCCGCAAATTACTTCCTGCTCTGCGTCCTGATCATTTACCAAGAACAAGAGTGAATCTTGTGGCCCACTAAAGACCAGCAGACAAAGGCATTGAATCTTTCTAGTCTGTAAAAAGCATATGCCATAATTTATTTCTTATTATATACCGCTATGTCATTTCAAAAATAGATCAAAGCTGTTTACAGCAATAGAACATAAAGCTGCACGATAAAAACTAGATAAAAAAGTTAAAAGCAGACACCGGTTAGTCACTGTAGAAGGATGTGTTCTTAATAGTGTGCATAGGCCCTGGCAGAATAGAAATGTTTTTGTCAGGTGTTTAAAAGTTTGCACACAAAAGGCATCTGCTGAATCTCCAGTAGCAGGGAGTTCCGCTGGACTGGGGCCATGACACTAAAGGCTCAGTTTCTCATTGTTTTCAAATGAGCTTCACCAACCAGCAGTGCTCCTGCAGATGATCTCAGTGATCAAGCTGGGATATAAGGATTCGAGTAACCTCTGAGGTGCCCTGGAGCAAAGTTGTTTGGGGCTTTTTAATAATAAAAGAACCTCAAACCTGGTTGGTTTAGTCTGATACGGGAAAAGCAGCAAAGAACCGTAGAATTGTAGAGTCGGAAGGGACCCTGAGAATCATCTAGTTCTCAACCTGTGGGTCCCCAGATGTTGTTGGACTAAAACTCCCATCATCCCTAAGCTCTGGCCTTGCTAGCTAGGGGTGATGGGAGTTGTAGTTCAACAACACCTGGGGACCCGCAGGTGGAGAAAGGCGGATCTAGTCCGACGCCCGGCAATACAGGAATATGCAGCTGTGGTTTGACACCTTAAAGACATAAGAATATCAAAAGAGCCTGCAGAATGAGGCCAAAGGGGCCCCTCCAGTCCAGCATCCTGTTCTCCCAGTGGCCAGCCAGATGCCCCAGGGGGGAAGCAGCAAGCAGGATTTGGGCACAAGAGCAAATCTCCCCTCCTGCGGTTTCCATCAACTGGGATTCCAAGGGTGCAGATGCTCAGCTTAATTCGGTTTTCCCTGTGTGCCTGCCTTGTGGAGGCAGAATTTGCACACAAGCTAAAGGAGAGCCACCCAGAGCTGTCTGGCTTGGGATTCAAGGAGGGTGGCCGAAGGAGTCTGCCTAATAATAATAATAATAATAATAATAAATAATTATACCCCACCCATCTGTGGGGTATAATTACTGTGCAGCTTACAGCACATAAAAAATGACCAGAAGAATCAGAAATCAGCTGTGCTGGCTCTTGGCTCTCTCCCACCTCCATGAAAACCTCTTTTTTATAAATTTATTCATTTGGTTTTTCAAATTAAAGTTTTGCAATCACATGTCCAACATTCAACATAAAAACAAGATTCCACGGAATCTCCTGGACTTCTTCCCTCCTCCCCTTTGTGGGTCCTTTCCTGCTTCATCTTTTAGAATAATCCAGATCTTTTACCTCTCCATTACAGTGGTACCTCTGGATGCAAAGGGGATCCGTTCCAGAGCCCCGTTCTTATCCTGAAGCGAACTGTGCGGGTTGCGATTCGCCGCTTCTGCGCATGCGTGTCACGTCATGTTGAGCGTCTGCGCATGCGTGAGCGGCGAAACCTGGAAGTAACACATTCCATTCCTTCCGGGTCGCTGTAGAGCACAACCCGAAGCTACTTCAACCCGAGGTATGACTGTATATCCGAAATCCACCATTAAACTTACAAGTGTTATTCCAATCCTACCAACGATTTGAATTCTTTACAATGGTTTTTAAGATAAATTATAATTTTTTTCCATTCCTTATTAAAATTCTGGTCTTCCTGATTTCTGATTCTTCTGGTCATTTTTGCCATTTCAGCATAGTCCATCAACTTAATCTGCCATTCTTCTCTGGTCGGGACTTTTTCTTCTTCCCATCTCTGGAAAGGTGTCTAGGTGGCTTAAAAGAGGGTGAGGCAATGTTAGACTGCATCCTTGTCTCACCCTCTTTTAAAGCCACCTAGATTGGCAGTCATCACTGTCTTGTGGCAGGGAGTTCCATAGTTATAAATGTAGCCCTCTGGAGAGAGCTCTCGAACCAGTTGCTTATTTATATGGGTCAATGGAAGTTAGTTGTGTGTGCTCAGAAAAATACACACATATGCTCGGCTTAATTCGGTTTTCCCTGTGTGCCCACCTTGTGGAGGCAGAATTTGCACACAGGCTAAAGAAGAGCTACCCAGAGCTGTTTTGCTTGGGATTCAAGGAGGGTGACCGCCCACTAATAATAATAATAATAATATACCCCACCCATCATACTGGGTTTCCCCAGCCACTCTGGGCGGCTTACAGCACATAAAAATTTGTGAAACATAAAAAAATTCCCAATACAGGATTGCCTTTAGATGTCTTCTAAAAGTCAGGTCATTGTTTATTTCCTTGACATCTGATGGGAGGGAGTTCCGCAAAAACAAACAAGATGAATTTTAACAGGGAGAAATGTAAAGTATTGCACTTGGGCAAAAAAAATGAGAGGCACAAATACAAGATGGGGGACACCTGGCTTGAGAGCAGTACATGTGAAAAGGATCTAGGAGTCTTGGTTGACCACAAACTTGACATGAGCCAACAGTGTGACGCGGCAGCTAAAAAAGCCAATGCAATTCTGGGCTGCATCAATAGGAGTATAGCATCTAGATCAAGGGAAGTCATAGTGCCACTGTATTCTGCTCTGGTCAGACCTCACCTGGAGTACTGTGTCCAGTTCTGGGCACCACAGTTCAAGAAGGACACTGACAAACTGGAACGTGTCCAGAGGAGGGCAACCAAAATGGTCAAAGGCCTGGAAACGATGCCTTATGAGGAACGGCTAAGGGAGCTGGGCATGTTTAGCCTGGAGAAGAGGAGGTTAAGGGGTGATATGATAGCCATGTTCAAATATATAAAAGGATGTCACATAGAGGAGGGAGAAAGGTTGTTTTCTGCTGCTCCAGAGAAGCGGACACGGAGCAATGGATCCAAACTACAAGAAAGAAGATTCCACCTAAACATTAGGAAGAACTTCCTGACAGTAAGAGCTGTTCGACAGTGGAATTTGCTGCCAAGGGGTGTGGTGGAGTCTCCTTCTTTGGAGGTCTTTAAGCAGAGGCTTGACAACCATATGTCAGGAGTGCTCTGATGGTGTTTCCTGCTTGGCAGGGGGTTGGACTCGATGGCCCTTGTGGTCTCTTCCAACTCCATGATTCTGTGACTTCCTTCCCATGCCCCCCCCCGAGCCCCCCAAGTGAAAAGTTTGATGCTGCATTGGTCAGAAGCAGTGGCTCCCGGCTGCGTCCCAGATTTTGGTACCAGCTCATGTTCCCCCTGCAGTGATGGCATCCGCCTGCCGCATCCCAGAGGAGGCGAAAAGGCTGCTGTAGCAGAAACACAGGCCTGGTCTTGTGACTGCGACGCTGCAAAGCTGCCTGGTAAACGGCCCTTATAAATTTTGCAAATAATAACTAAAACCAGGTGGTGCGAGTTCATTGCAATTGCACCCTGTCCTGGTGTCCACAGGCCGAGGGGTGAGAGGGGTCATCTCTGTGCAAGGCAAACCTTGCGCACGTAAAAGAGAGTTTGCATTATGCAACCGAAGAAAAATCCGATGCAATTCTAGGCTGCATCAACGTCCAGGGTCCCGCTCTGGAGACCCCACTTGGAGTCCCGTGTCCAGTTCTGGGCACCACAATTTAAGAAGGGTGTCGACAAGCTGGAAGGTGTGCAGAGGAGGGAGACCAAGACAATCAAGGGTCTGGAAGCCAAGCCTGATGAGGAACGGTCGAAGGAGCTGGGTGTGTTTAGCCTGGAAAAGGGGAGATATGAGAGCTATCTTCAAGTAGCTCAAGGGCTGAACCACAGAAGAGGGAGCAAGCTTGATTTCTCCTACTCTGAAGGGTAGGACTCGAACCCATGGCTTCAAGTTACAAGAAAGTAGATTCCAACTGAACATCAGGAAGTACTTTCTGACAGTAAGAGCTCTTCAGCGCCCTCCTTGTGGAACACCCTCCCATCAAATATCAAGGAAATAAACAACTATCTGACTTGTTGTTGTTTAGTCGTTTAGTGGTGTCCGCCTCTTTGTGACCCCCTGGACCAGAGCATGCCAGGCCCTCCTGTCTCCCACTGCCTCCCGCAGTTGGGTCAAACTCATGTTGGTCGCTTCGACAACACCGTCCCACCACCTCGTCCTCTGTCATCCCCTTCTCCTTGTGCCCTCCATCTTCCCCAACATCAGGGTCTTTTCCAGGGAGTCTTCTCTTCTCATGAGGTGGCCAAAGTCTTGGAGCCTCAGCTTCAGGATCTGTCCTTCCAGTGAGCACTCAGGGCTGATTTCCTTAAGAATGGAGAGGTTGGATCTTCTTGCAGTCCATGGGACTCTCAAGAGTCTCCTCCAGCACCATAATTCAAAAGCATCAATTCTTCGGCGATCAGCCTTCTTGATGGTCCAGCTCTCACTTCCATACATCACTACTGGGAAAACCATGGCTTTAACTATACGGACCTTTGTTGGCAAGGTGACATCTCTGCTTTTTAATATGCTTTCTAGGTTTGCCATCGCCTTTCTCCCAAGGAGCAGGCATATTTTAATTTCGTGGCTGCTGTCACCATCTGCAGTGATCATGGAGCCCAAGAAAGTAAAATCTCTCACTGCCTCCATTTCTTCCCCTTCTATTTGTCAGGAGGTGATGGGACCAGTGGCCATGATCTTCATTTTTTTGATGTTGAGCTTCAGACCATATTTTGCGCTCTCCTCTTTCACCCTCATTAAAAGGTTCTTTAATTCCTCCTCACTTTCCGCCATCAAGGTTGTGTCATCTGCATATCTGAGGTTGTTGATATTTCTTCCAGCAATCTTAATTCCAGCTTGGGATTCATCCAGCCCAGCCTTTCGCATGATGAATTCTGCATATAAGTTAAATAAGCAGGGAGACAATATACAGCCTTGTCGTACTCCTTTCCCAATTTTGAACCAATCAGTTGTTCCATATCCAGTTCTAACTGTAGCTTCTTGTCCCACATAGAGATTTCTCAGGAGACAGATGAGGTGATCAGGCACTCCCATTTCTTTAAGAACTTGCCATAGTTTGTTGTGGTCGACACAGTTGAAGGCTCTTGCGTAGTCAATGAAGCAGAAGTAGATGTCTTTCTGGAACTCTCTAGCTTTCTCCATAATCCAGCGCATGTTTGCAATTTGGTCTCTGGTTCCTCTGCCCCTTCGAAATCCAGCTTGCACTTCTGGGAGTTCTCGGTCCACATACTGCTTAAGCCTTCCTTGTAGAATTTTAAGCATAACCTTGCTAGCGTGTGAAGTGAGTGCAATTGTGCGGTAGTTGGAGCATTCTTTGGCACTGCCCTTCTTGGGGATTGGGATGTAGACTGATCTTCTCCAATCCTCTGGCCACTGCTGAGTTTTCCAAACTTGTTGGCATATTGAGTGTAGCACCTTAACAGCATCATCTTTTAAAAATTTTAAATAGTTCAGCTGGAATATCATCACTTCCACTGGCCTTGTTATTAGCAGTGCTTTCTAAGGCCCATTTGACTTCACTCTCCAGGATGTCTGGCTCAAGGTCAGCAACCCCACTACCTGGGGTGTACGAGACATCCATATCTTTCTGGTATAATTCCTCTGTGTATTCTTGCCACCTCTTCTTGATCTGACTTAGGGATAGTTTTTAGGAAAGGTTTTAATGTTTGAAGTTTTATTCTATTTTTAATGTTCTGTTGAAAGCCACCCAGAGTGGTTGGGGAAACCCAGGGCAGGGTAGAAATATTATTATTATTATTATTATTATTATTATTATTATTATTAGACAGTGGAACGGTCTCCCTCAAAAGGTGGTGGTCTCTCCTTCCTTGGAGGTTTTTAGGCAGGGTTTTCATGGCCATCTGCCTTGGATCCCTCAGTTGAGATTCCTGTGTTGCAGGGGGTGGACTGGATGACCCTCAGGAACCCCTTCCAAGTCTACAGTTCCGCGGTTCTATGAAAATATTTTGACTCTCTGTGACCACGAAGGTCCTGTGAAGTGGTCCCTCTTGAACAGCCCCACTCCCAGGTTTGCACTGCAGTGGCGTCCCTCACTCCCTTTGTGATCCGCTGTGCAAGTGTGAAGAGTGCCCCTGGGCGCATGCAGAATGTCCTCTCACCAATGTGAAGCCACAATCCGTATCTGAGGTCAGCAAAGGGGGTGTCTGATCAAATGGACGTGTTTTTCCCCCGAGTAGGGCATTGTATGCTGAGAGCTGAATGGGGATTCAGGGAGGCAGAGGAGAAGATTTGGGGGTTTGGTGCAGAGACTCGGTGGATGGAGACCGCACTGCGCAAATTGCAACCCTCCCTGCCACCCTAAATAATAATAATAATAATAATAATAATAATAATAATTATAATTTATACCCCACCCATCTGGCAGGGTTTCCCCAGCCACTCTGGGCAGCTCCCAACAGAATATTAAAAACACCATAAAGCATCAAAGATTAGAAACTTCCCTAAACAGGGCTGCCTTCAGATGTCTTCTAAAAGTCTTGTGTGGACGCCAAGGAGACTGCGAGGAGATTAGGAGAGCCGTCTTCAAATACCTGGAAGAGGGAGCCAACTTGTTTTCTCCTGCTCTTGGAGGGTAGGACTCGAACCTGGAGCTTCAGAGTGCAAGAAGGGAGATTCCTGCTCAACATCAGGAATATGAGGACAAGAGCAGTTCAACAGCGGAAAGTCAGGCTCTCGTCAGGGAGTCTTGAGCTGAGATTCCTTCTCTTGGGGGATCCCTTCTTATGCTCCGATTCTAGGATTGGGGCCCAGTTCCGCCTCCCCTCCCCGCAGCTGCATTTCTGGGTGCGTCTTCGGAGCGTGGCCCACTGTTCTGGAGCAACAGAGCCGAGTTGGAATCTGGGACATAGCTGTCAACATTTCCCTTTTCTTGCGAGGAATCCCATTCGGAATAAGGGAATTTCCCTTAAAAAAAGGGAAACGTTGACAGCTATGATCTGGGAACAGCAGGCGGAGTTTTGGGGAGAGGCTTAAAGCGGCAGGACTTGGGTGAGAACACTGGGGCAGAGCAGGTGGGGCAGCCGTGGGGCTGCTCTGGAGGAGGAGGAATCTCAGGTTGTTTTTAAGGATGCGATGGAACGCCCTCTGCTTTTTCCTGCCAAAAGATGCCTGGAATTTTTCCTCTCCTGCCTGCCCTGAGTCCCATGACCAGGAGGAGGGCTGGCCAGGTATGCCTGGAATGCAACTCTGACTGGCCTCATCCTGGGCTGCTGGACCCAGAAGGCACTGGTCAGCCGGACGCCTGGGTTCCTTTGCTCCCTGGGCTATGATCCGTCAATGTGCCCCTTTGAGGGTTGCAACTGCACTGAGGAGAAAGAAGAGGGTCTGTGGGTTCTCCTCCGCTGAGGAGTAAGGCCGGCTGACATTTGGGTGTCTCTCGTGAGAGGTCCCCGTGGAGGCAAGGCTAATCCTGGATTACAACTCATCATAGAATTGGAAGGGGTCCCCACGGTCATCTAGTCCAACCCCACAATGCAGGAACCTTTTGCCCAGTGCGGGACTCGAACCCACGACCTTAAGATGAAGGGTCTCATGCTCTACCCACTGAGCCCTCCAGCCGCCTGCCTGCCTGCCTCCGACCCTTTATTCATTTTCATAGAATCACAGAATGGTAGAGTTGAGGGGACCCCAGGGGTCATCCAGTCCAACCCCAGCAATGCAGGAATCTCAGCTCAAGCATCCCTGACAGGTGGCCACCCAACCTCTGCTTAGAAACCTCCAAGGAGAGTCCTTCTCCTCCTGGGAGTCTTGCGTTTGTACTTTGCCTCTTTCTCCCCGGAGGCCAAGGTGCCTTGTGCACAGTCCTCCTCCATTCATTGAAATCCCCACAACGACCCTGTGAGGTAGGCTGGGCTGAGAGGCCCTGGCAGGCCCTGGTCACCCAGTGAGCTCCATGGCTGATGATTTGGAGCGTGGCCTCTCCACGATGCCTCTGAAGACCTCCTTGAGCCCCTGGGAGAAGAAGGGGGGAGCAATCAAGGGATTAATAAGCAGGATGAGACCCTACCTGCCCGCGGACTGTCTTGCCAGAGTGGTGCATGGTCTGGTTATCTCCCGCTTGGACTACTGCAATGTGCTGTATGTGGGGCTACCTTTGAAGGTGACCCGGAAACTACAACTAATCCAGAATGCGGCAGCCAGACTGGTGACTGGGAGCGGCCGCCGAGACCATATAACACCGGTCTTGAAAGACCTACACTGGTTCCCAGTACGTTTCCGAGCACAATTCAAAGTGTTGGTGCTGACCGTGAAAGCCCTAAATGGCCTCGGTCCAGTATACCTGACGGAGTGTCTCCACCCCCATCGTTCTGCCCGGACGCTGAGGTCCAGCTCCAAAGGCCTTCTGGCGGTTCCCTCACTGAGAGAAGCCAAGTTACAAGGAACCAGACAGAGGGCCTTCTCGGTGGTGGCGCCCGCCCTGTGTAACTCCCTCCCACCAGATGTCAAAGAGAACAACAACTACCAGGCTTTTAGAAGACATCTGAAGGCAGCCCTGTTTAGGGAAGCTTTTAATGTTTGATGCTGTGTTGTTTTTAATATCCGGTTGGAAGCCGCCCAAAGTGGCTGGGGAAACTCAGCCAGATGGGAGGGGTAGAAATAAATAATAATAATAATAATAATAATAATAATTACAGTGGTACTTCGGGTTACATACGCTTCAAGTTACATACTCTTCAGGTTACAGACTCTGCTAACCCAGAAATAGTACCTCGGGTTAAGAACTTTGCTTCAGGATGAGAACAGAAATTGTGCTCTGGTGACACGGCAGCAGCAGGAGGCCCCATTAGCTAAAGTGGTGCTTCAGGTTAAGAACAGTTTCAGGTTAAGAACGGACCTCCAGAATGAATTAAGTACTTAATTCGAGGTACCACTGTATTATTATTATTAAGGCATGGGAGGCCCCTGGATTGCAGTTCCACAGGGCTGCTGCCTCCCTGAATAACGACAACAACGACAACAACATATTATTTCTCCCCCGCCCATCTGGGTGGGTTTCCCCAGCCACTCTGGGCGGCTTCCAACAAAGTTTAAAAATACATTAAAATGTTGCACACTAAAAACTTCCCTGAAGCTGCTGGCTGGACAGCTTTTGCTGCGTGCCTCCCTTCTCCCTCTGGCGTCAGGCGGCCAAAGAGCAGCAGCCGTGGTGGCTTTGGGGGAGAGGCCAGGAAACCAGCTTGTGGGGATTAGGGGAGAGGCTTGGGGGGTTAGTCTGCGCTCCCAGGTCTGAATTGCTGCCCCCCAAGTCTCGGTGGCTCTCTGTTTCTTGCCTGGGCGGCCCATTCTGCGACTGAAGGGGTTTGGGGTGTCTGTGCCACGAAGCTGCCCAGTTCCCAGGATGAAGGCCTGGGAGTCCAGCCCCTTTGCTGACGGTCTGGGGGTCTCCTCTGCGCCTGAATGGGGACCACCTGCTGCAACCTTCCCCGTCACCCATCGCGGGCACCCACTGGGCTCCAGGGAAGCAAAAGAGACAGGCGTCTTTGGATGCCACTGGCGGCAGCTGCAGGAGCTGCGCCCGACCCGCAAAACACAACCCAGCCGGCAGGCTGTTCTTCTGTGCAAACTTGAGGAAAGGAGCCTCCTTTCGGATTGGGTCCTACGTCATGGCATGTTGCTTGGCGGTCCTCATCCCCGTTTCTGGCCCTCCTGGAGTCCCGTTCTGCCAACCAGGACTGGGATAGACGAAGGGAGGGGCAGGAGTGGAACTGGAGGGGCCCTTCTCTGCGAAGCGCACCCCAAGACTGGGAGCAGGGTGGTGAGTTGGGGGGAGGCACCTCAGTTCCCTGGAGAGAGGACGGGGCCCAATTCTTGGTTTGTGCCAGAGGTGTTTCTCTCCCCTGCCAGCCACAAATGAGTGTCAGGTGTCTGCAGTGCATTGTACGGCATGGGGGGGCCATGTGCATTCAGTCGGGGTGTCTTTGTGGGGGGGCAGCCTGTGCCATCGCTGTTTATTTCCCCTGCCTCTGCTTGTTCCTCCATGCTTTGGTTTGATTTTTGCCATCCTCCTTGCCCTGCTTCAGCAAAGCCTCGTTCTTCCCCCAGAATGTGCCCTGACTTTTGCCGCTCTGTGTGTGTGTGTGTGTTTTGGTGAGTCCAGATTACCCCATGGAGCGTTAACTGGGGTGGGGGTCGCTGGGGGGGTCTGTTCTGTCTCTCTCCACAGCCTGAAAGTGCCTGCTAAGGTATAGACAGCCCTCAAGCTCCGAGACGGGCCCTGCCCTTGCCCCCAGCCCCAATTGCTAGTTCTGCCCCATAGCAGCGGCCCCCCAGCCCTGCAGAGGCAGCCGCCTTTCCTGCGAGGACACGATCCTGGCTGACCAGATACTAAACCTGCTTCCCCTGCTCACTTTCTCTCTAGTTCCCCGGACCACCCTTGTCTCTCTGAGGATCAGGACCCCTCTCCCTTCGCCACGGCTGGAGACCTGCCGCCCGAGGCCCAGAGCGCCAGGACCCCGTCTCCGCCCGCCTCTGCCAGGGCCCCCCCGGAGTGGGACGACAGCTTTGACGCCTTCGCCACCAGCAGGCTCCGGCCGGACGCTCCCAGGGAGCCTCCGCCTGCAGGGAAGGGGCTGGAAGGCGGTTCCCACCCGGACCCCCGCCTAGCCGAGACCCTGGAACCCCAAGCCGGGGGACAGGAGGACGCCAGCCCAGGGAGCCCAGATCCACTGAGCCGCCCCCCGGAGCAGGGGCTGGGAGGAGCGAGAAGAGAGAGCTTGGGGGGCCAAGCCTTGGGCCAGCCCTCGGAGAGCAGCTCCTGCGAGGAAGGCCCTGCTTTGGGAAGCGACGCGACGGCAGAGCAGGCCCCGGAGGACAGCGGGAGCCCCTGGCCCACCACGGACGAGGTCTTCTTGGAGGAGAGGCCCCCTCCGCCTCAGAGCGCGACCGCAGAAAGCCCCCTGCGCGGAAGCGGCCGGGCCCCCCAAGCAGAAACTGGGGAGGCCTCGGCGGCCGACTCGCCTCGCTGGGACGCCGTGGGGCGAGAGGAAACAGCCCTCTGCTTGGCACCAGACGAGGCGCCGGATGCCAGCCTGAATATAGAGGAGGCCAGAGAGATGCCCGGCTGGGGGGCTCAGGAGCAGGCCGAGGGACCCCCCCGGAAACCCCCAAGGAGGTTCGTGCCCCTCGGCCTAGAGGAGGCGTGGGGCGTCCAGGAGAGGCGGAAAGACGAGGCAGCTGCGCCCGAGGAGCTGGAAGTGCCCGCAGAGGGAGCCCCCTCCATGGGTGAAGGGAAGCCTCCCCCAGTGGCCGCTGCCGCCGCCTCCTCCCTGGCGCCACTGGTGATAATGGGAGCAGCTGGCGTCCATGCCACAGGGATCCTCGGGCTGGCAGGCGACGGCGCTGAACCTGCAGCAGATAATGAGCTGAGGGGCCGAGTCCTCCCTTCGGGGGGGACCCCGGGGGCTGAGCAGTTTGAAACTTGCCCTACCGATCTCTCCTTGGGCGCGTCAGGCCTGTCTGACTCCTCCGTGTGGCAGGCGGGCGCTCCCTGGCCACAGGGGCTCTCGGAGCTGGGCTCGCTGCAGACGGCCAAGGAGCTCCCCGCACGCAAAGAGACCCCCCAGGACCCCCGGCCCAGCCCCTCGGTCCTGTTCTGGACGGCCGTGGAGGAGGAGCAGCCGCCGTCGCAGGACTCGTGGCCCGAAGGACGGCGGCCAGGACTTGGGGGTCCGGAGGAAGATTTGCCACCAGGAGAAAGAGGGGCTCTCTCCTTCCCCGAGGGGGACCCTGCGCGAAGCCCCCTCAGCCAGAGCCTGCCCGCCACGTCGCCCCCCTTCCCAGCGGTCCTGGCGGGCGGGCAGCTCAGGCAGGCTCGGGCCGGCAGCTCTCTGAGCGAGTCAGAGCTGTCGTCCAGCTGGTCGGACGACCGGGTGGTGGACTTCAAGAAGGCCGACTTTTGGCAGGCGGGCAGAGAGGAGCCTCAGGGCAGCTGGACGGACACTGCCCTGGCACCGGGCAACCCCTTTGCCCCCTGGGCCGGGACGCCGCCCCCGCCTTCCCCGCAGAACAACCCCTTTGTGGAGAGGCCCGCTGACCAGGCCTCCTCGGAGGCGGCCGTCCTGCCGGTCTCCTGGGGGGAGGGTCTGGGTGGCCCGGAGGCGGCCCCTCGCGGCTTCTTCCTTGCCCACCCCTCCGAGGACCAACCCCCCGCCCCCTTGACTTTCTCCACGCCTTCGCTGGAGGGGGCTGCCCAGCCCAGCGACTTCCTCTTCCCGTCTCCCGTCCTGCATCCTGACCTGGGCGGGGGCTCTGCTGTGGCGGCCCCCTCCCTTGCTCTCCCGCGGCCCAGAGCCGCCTCAGTGGCCTCTTCGGTTTCGCCCGTGGGGGCGCCGCAGGCGGAAGAAGCGCCTCCTCTCCAGTGGACGGCCAGGTGAGCTGGGCAAGGCTTGTGTGTGTGTGTGTGTGTGTTCGCACCAGGTGACCCCCCCCTTACCTGTGGTTTTGGGGTGTCTCTCCCAGGAAACCCCCCAAAGCCCTGGGTTGGCCCTCCCTCTGCCCATGGGGGTGTCTAACTGGCTGCAGCCCTCCCCACAGCACACTCCTACCCCCCACCCCCACCCCAAAACCTCTGCATGGCATCTTTTCATGCCCCCTCCATGGCTTTTATCTTTGGTTTACCCTTTTCCTCCTCTTTTAAGGGCTGTGACTAAATCCCTCTCTTCTCTCCTAGCTCTGCAGAAGGGGGGCCCCTTAGAGCAGCGGCAGCTCCTGCCCCCCCCGGCATGCTGGAAGCAAAGGGTCATTGGGGGGGCAGAGGGGAAGTGGCTCTTTGAGGTGGGACAGTCGCCCCAATTCTACCACTTGGCCTTGGCAGGGGAAACCTGCAGGGAGTTGGGATGTACGTTCCTACTCTGTACCCCCCACCCACCTGAGTGTTAAGATCTCCTCCCATGGTTTTATTCATTGTTTAAGCAAAATTTGCATGCCATTTAATCAAAGAATCATACAGCTGGAAGGGAACCCTGAGGGTCATCCAGTCCAACCCCCACAATGCAGGAATGCGAAGCTGCCCCATCTGGGGATCGAACCTGCAACCGTGGCGTTACCAGCACCATGCCCTAAACAATTGAGCTATTCACACCCAAACTGTCATAAGGTTTATAGCAGATCTTTAAATGTGAACTCATTTGCTGGCCATGATGGTTTTTGATGGTTCTGTTCCATCTTTCAGCTTTGTTTCAAGGGGGGAGGATATTTGTGCATGAACAAGGAACCGGGGAAGAATTTTTTTTTTATGCTCCCCTGTGGCAGCATTTCCTGTAAAAATGGTCAGTGCACAAGCTTCCCCCGAGATGTAGCTTTAATTCCAACTAGGAAGGGGGCAGGCACAGCCTATTATTATTGCGATTATTAATTGCATTTATCAGTTTCTTTTTTTCACAAGAAGTGATCCAGACATCTTGCAAAATGATGCATGCATTAAAAGAGCAATGTGACTTTGAGCAATCTCCTTTTCTCTTTTGGAGCAGCGATTCCCTTCACCCCTTCGCATGACATGCCCTCCCCATCGCGTGTCAAGGTTGGAGACTTAACACACTCCAAAATAACGATTTAGTTTTTGAAGGCGTTCCTGGACGTGGGAAAACTTGGATCTCTGCAGATCAGCTTTAGAGGAAAAAGGCTGGATAAAAACGGATGGGGCCCCTTGCACCCATCGCCACCCAGTCTGGTAGTTAGTGACGAGTGTATCATGAGAGATGCCCATGGTCTCCTGGCACAGAGAACCTTCTGCCAGTTTTTCGTGGGGGTCTAGCTATGCCCCTGTCCAGACAGAGACAGCTTGGCTTCAGTAACCTCTAGGTTAGATTACTGCTGTGTGTTATATGTGGGGCTGCCTTTGGAGGTGGTTCAGAAACTGCAGAATGCTGCAGTCAAATTGCTGGCAGGGGTGGGTGTGTTGGTGGTCTGACCTCGTAAAACTTGTCTTAAGTCAGCTGAGCTCAGTTCGTTTCTGAGCTCAATTCAAAGTGCTTGTTTTTCCTCTATAAAACCTTGTCCAGTTCAGGTTCACATCGAGAGAGGGGCTGTGTCCGGACTTTTAGATGTCTGCCTGAAGCCCATCTCTAAATGCCCCTCTCCAAGAAAGGGACGCGGATGGCGCTGTGGGTTAAACCACAGAGCCTAGGGCTTGCCGATCCGAAAGTCGGCGGTTCAAATCCCCACGACGGGGTGAGCTCCCGTTGCTCAGTCCCTGCTCCTGCCAACCTAGCAGTTGGAAAGCACATCAAAGTGCAAGTAGATAAATAGGTACCGCTCTGGCAGGAAGGTAAATGGCATTTCTGTGCACTGCTCTGGTTCGCCAGAAGCGGCTTAGTCCTGCTGGCCACATGACCCGGAAGCTGTACGCCGGCTCCCACAGCCAATAAAGCGAGATGAGCGCCGCAACCCCAGAGTCGGCCACAACTGGACCTAATGGTCAGGGATCCCTTTGCTTTTACCTTTAAGAGAAGTTTAGAACAGGCATCCCCAAACTCGGCCCTCCAGCTGTTTTGGGACTACAACTCCCATCATCCCTAGCTAACAGGACCAGTGGTCAGGGATGATGGGAATTGTAGTCCCCAAACAGCTGGCGGGCCAAGTTTGGGGGATGCCTGGTTTAGAATCTTCCCCTTCCCCATTGAAGACTGCCTGGTGCCTGCTTAAACCTATTTTTGGTGCCAGGTGAAAACGGCTCTCTCCTCCCAACCATTTGTTGGCACAAGATGTCCTTATACAGCCATAGGCAAACTCAGCCCTCCAGATGTTTTGAGACTGCAATTCCCATCATCCCTGACCACTGGTCCTGTTAGCTGGGGATCATGGGAGTTGTAGTCCCCAAACATCTGGAGGGCCGAGTTTGCCTATGCCTGTCCTTTTGCTTTAGCGGCTGGGGCTGCTCTGAGCTGCTGATCATTTCTTCAGAGGCTGGCTTACGATTCTTGTTTTTAGAAAATTATCTCTCTTTCAATCTGTTGCAAGTCGCCCAGAGACCACTTGGTGTCAGGCAACTAGCAAGTGAAATGAAGAATATTAACACCGTGGCCAGCTCTGAAAACGCCTTCTGGGCAGAGAGGTCTGCTTTGGTTTCACTCCTGTTCTTTATCCATTCAGCTGTAGTAATCTGTCTTAAATGATCCGAATGAACTTCGTGGGAAAGATCTCTGGAGATCCAAGAGGATTAAATTCTGGGGGACCCCAAAATCACTGCCTCCTGCGTGGAGCCGCTGTTTGTGCCCTTTTGGGGTGTGCTTCCACATTCCAGAGATATTACACTTTTGGGAAGCGTGGGGGGGGGGGGGGAAGGTGCATTTGCAGTTTAACAAAACATTTCTGGGAAAGATGTGCAGAAAAAGAATATTTGGTGTTTTAGTGTCCCAAAGTGTTTTTCAGACCTCTTCTGGGTAATCCTCCCTGCCAGGCACAACAACAACAACAAAACAACAACAACAATGTACTATTTATACCCCGCCTATATGGCAGGGTTTCCCCAGCTACTCTGGGCGGCTCCTAACAGAATATTAAAAGCACCATAAAACATCAAACATTAAGACTTCCCTAAACAGGGCTGCCTTCAGATGTCTTCTAAAAGTCGGATAGTTCTTTATTTCCTTGACATCTGATGGGAGGGCGTTCCACAGTGCGGCAGCCACCACCGAGAAGGCCCTCTGCCTGGTTCTATAGTTTCTCGCAGGGAGGGAACCGCCAGAAAGCTCTCAGAGCTGGACCTCAGTGTCCAGGCAGAACGATGGGAGTGGAGACGCTCCTTCAGGGATACTGGCTGGAAGTCACTGTATAGCTTTTCAGAGGCTGGCCAGTTACGTGCAACACTTTTGCGTCCAGTTAGTGCAAAATGTAGCGGGTGACACTGGCTAACTTTTGGTTCCCAAAGGCAGCTGAGCCATATTCCAGGTGTTGAAATAATCCACCAGAGATGCTGTCAGTGTATGACGTTCCAGGAACCTGGGCTAGGAAAGCCTTTCGTCTGATCCTTTTGTCTTCCTGATGGCTTCTGCTGGGAGCCATTCATGCACCAGAGTCCTTCTGCTTCCTCACAGGGAGCAACGGGAGGGACGTGGAGTTGTTTTCATCCTACAAAAGAGTTGAAAAGCGGCTCATAGCTTTAGATTTCAGCCCGCAATGTGTTCGTTTTCCACCCGTGTCCAAACGCAGGGCTACAAATAGCAGCGCAAAAACTGACTTTATTAGGATTTCTCAGTGAAGTTTGCCGAGGTGTTTGCCTCCATTGCCAGCAGGTGGTGCTGTTGCTGCAGCAGAGATCTCTGTGAGGGTCCCTGGAATAAGCCCCCCCAGACCTGCTGCATTGGCTGGCGGAGACCCCTGAGCAGTTTAAGGTTGGGGTCTGGACTCCTCCTTTTAAGACTCTCCCCATTGTTGGTCTGGGCTTGTTGGAGGTGGGGGCCTGCAGCCTTGTGGGGCTCCCTTTCAAAGTTGCGAGTTGGAATTTTTTTTGGGGGGGGGTGTCCGCCATCGGCACAGAGTAAAGAGCCCCTCCTGCAGGAAAACTCTTCTGAGGTCCGTGACCCACAAGCGCCTTGCCAGGGGGCCTCTGTCTAGGTGTTGTTTTGCAGCTGTGCCCGGATGCAAAGAAGCAGGTGGGCAGATGTGGTGGTGGTGGGGAACGATAGGGGTACATGCCAGCAGATTTCTGGGGGAGGGCTAGGCCTGCCCTGCAGGGAGGTGGTATTCAGGATCAGTTGTAGATTGTACTGGAGGAGAAGGGGTGTAACCCAAGACCACCCCCCAGGTACATCATACCTACATCACAGAAAAGGCTGTCTACAGCAGAAATCTGAGTGCGTTGTTTATCTCGTCTGACAGGTTACCTGTTTAATGGTCACTTGACTGGATTGCCTGGGGAGCCTGGCCAGTCTTTTGTAATGATAAATACTTAGTTCCCGAGCCAGGTCACAGCCTCAGACCCTGTTCATATCTTAAATGTGCCCTTAAGGCAGGATTTGTGAAGGAAAAGACAATAGGGAGGCTTTTCCATTTTCCTTTGACCTTGCAGAGAAAACATTTGGTCAGTTTGGGAATCAAAAACAATTTCAGGTCGGTCTTCCTGTGCTGATCTATGTAGGTGCTTGGTTGGTACATTTATGAACATTTATTATATATCTAAGACTTTAAAATTCTTATCACACTTCCCTTGGGGCTTCTGGTTGGCCACAGCGAGGGCAGGAGGCTGGACTGATCCGCCAGCTCCTCCTCGGGTTCTTACACAGGCGGCACCACATCCACCGTCCTCAGGTCTTGTAAAATTCGCAGCACTAGGGAGCTTGTTCGGGAATGGTCATTTGCCAGGGATGCTTCAGCTGTGATCCCCGCATTGCAGGGGGTCAGGCTGGATGGCCTTTGGGGGCACCTTCCCACTCTACAGCTCTTTGAAACTCCGGGTCTGAGAGAGGGGAAGAGGAGAGCCCGTTTGCTTCTTGATGGCGGTGCAAGCAGGCCAGTTCCAGGGGAAGCGAAGCTCTCCTCCGCTTGACCTCCTGGAAAGTCACTGTCAACCACAGCAGATCCTTCCTGCATTGCAAAGGGTTGGGTTAAATGACCCCTGGGGTCTCTTCTAACTCGATCTGTGATTCCATCTTGCGTTAGGTGGAGCCATGTGATAGCTGCTTTGCGCCAGGCTTAGACTCTGGCCTGTCCTGTCCCCCCGAGAACTACAAGTCCCCGAGTGTCACAGTCCAGTTCACGGACGATCAAAGTCCCGGCTGGGGACGTCGGGACCGGGGGCAAGATGGTGGGGTGGGAGCAGGAACGGGAGTCCAGAAGCCAGGAGTCAGAAAGCCAAGAGTCAGAGGGTCAGAGAGCCAGGAGTCAAGAAGCCAAGGGTCCGAGGGTCAGGAAGCAAGGAGTCAAATGCAGCAAGGCAGGGAACGTGTTGCTTGTGGCTAAGAGCCGAAGGGAAATGCTGACCTTATAACCTTTCCCAGCTCTTGCCACCAGGTGCAGCGAGTTACCAGTCAGCCTCACCTGTGTGGCCACACCTTGCCTCTTCAGAACAAACTTAGGAAGGCCCCAGTCCCGCAAAGTCCTCTTGGTCACAGGGCCCGGCTCCTGCACACACTCCTGACACAGAGTCCTTTGGCTCTTGTGGGCGTTTCCTCTGCCCAGGCAGGAGCAGCCGGCAGGTTGCAGCGCTGAAGGTGAAGCCATCACCTGGTCCGCCTGGTGCTTCTGAAGGAGGGATGCTCAGGCCCCAGGATGCATGCGAGGGAAGGAGAGAGGGAGAGAGAGATGGCTGGCCTCTGGAGGGGAACCCGAGTTGGCATTTGCCAAGGCCCTTGTGTATAATTAGCAGGTGAGCCTGGCATGCGGTCAGAAACGCAAGGAGCTCGAGCGCAGAGCCTTGCAAATTGCAGCACAGGGAACAAACGTGCAGTTGCTGTTGTCAAGAGAGGTAGCAGCCCATGTCGAGGAGCGTCCTGGGGTTCCACATCTCTAAACCGTCCTTTGCCTGTGGTTACTGCAGCCTTATGGATGCACTGATCTGCTTATAAAAATGTTACATTTGCAATAAGGATACATAAAAACATGCAGTAAAAACGATATAAAAAAGTTAAAAACAGGTACCAGTTAACCCTTGTGGAAAGATGCACTCTTTTTTTTTTAACATAATTTTTATTGAGTTTTCCATATTTCATTTCATTTTCATTACACAAATCCATAACTTAAAGTATTGCTCAAAAAGAGCATTGACCTCCTTCCTTCCCTCTTTCTGACTTCCACATATCTTTAACAGATTCATCGCATTTCTATAACCACTTTTTTACCTTATATCTTCTTTTAACATTCACCCTCTTATATGTAAATCAGCTCCTTATTTTCACATTACCAAACATTTCAAGTCATTTTTTTTTTTAAAAAGTATTTATTAAAGTTTTAGGTTTACAAAAAGGCAAAAGTACAAACACCAAATTAAACAATAACAAAACCAACACATCACAATAAAAAACAGAAAGATAGAAACAATTAAAAACAAAAGAAAAAAAAACAAAAACAAATCGAACCTTCCCATAACTTATCTTTCATTTGCTTGTTTCCCTGACCTCCTCACACCTCCCATTTTTGTATTCTAAGTCAATTATCCGTTTCAGCAAATCCTTTCCCTCTCTTCAGAATTTTTATCCTGAAAATTTATCTTAATCTTGATATAAGTTTACTTTCCCTCTTTTCACCAATTAACAGTCTATTTTTCTTAAATCTTTGATACATTTTTGCTAAGATCACATAGATTCATTCCAACATCATTCTAACATTCATTAAATTTACAATATTTCTGTAAATAGTCTTTAAATTTTTTCCAATCTTCTTCCACCGACTCTTCTCCCTGGTCTCGGATTCTGCCAGTCATTTCCGCCAATTCCATGTAGTCCATCACCTTCATCTGCCATTCTTCCAGCATGGGAAGTTCTTGTGTCTTCCAATACTTTGCAATAAGTATTCTTGCTGCTGTTGTGGCATACATAAAGAAAGTTCTGTCCTTCTTTGGCACCATTTGGCCGACCATGCCCAGGAGAAAGGCCTCTGGTTTCTTCAGAAAGGTATATTTAAATACCTTTTTCATTTCGTTATAGATCATTTCAAGTCAGACCTACAAACATTTTCAAACATTTACAGTTTTCTTTCAAATAAGATATCAATTTGCTCCAGCCCTTTGGAAAGGAAAGATTCACTCTTGATTGCCTGCATAGAAAAGTTTGTGGCAGGTGTTTAAAAGTTGGCCCAGAAGGCGCCTGCTGAATCTCTGGTGGCAGAGAGTTCCAAAGGACTGGGTCAATGACACAAAAGGCTTAGTTTACTTGCTGTTGTCAATGGAGCCTTGCCAACTTGGGGAATGACCAGCTATGTCCCTGCAGATGATCTCGGTGATCCCTGCAGATAAATGATCCCCTCAGAGATGAAGGCGGGTGACATTGATTTGTTGTCGGCGTCCATCTGTCTTGAGAAACAATGGACTGCTCCTCCGGGGATGACGCTAAATGGTTTTGTGCAGGAGGACTGGGCAGCGTGTCAGGAGGTCCTCCTGGGCTGCCCTGCTCCCATGGCTGCCAGATTCAGTGCCCGTCCGCATGGGCACCCTGGGCACACGGGGCCTCTCCAGAGGGGCTCCATCCAGCTTCTTCCTGGGTTTATCTGCTTTTAGCTCTAAGGAAGCAACCGTGTTGGCTTCCTGTCTTGCACTCCCTGCTCCCTCTTTTTTTAAATATAATTTTTTAAAATTCATTTTTCTTTGAACATTTATCATCATACACAAATCTTAAATCACTTTGCTAATAGGATTTGCGGAATCCCCGGATTTCCTCCACCCTCCGTGGTTTCCCCAGATATTCTTTTCAAACGGCATCTTACAATGTTCTCCATATTTTCTTAAATCTCATGTTTTTATCCTAATTCTTGCTTCATTGCAAGTGTTTTTAAAATCCTGCCAGTGTTTTCAGTTGTTTGTAATGTTCTTTCAAGTAACTTACAAAATTCCCCCATTCTTTATTAAATTAAAACCGTCCTCTTAATCTCTGATCTTCCCAGTCATTTTCACCAATTCGGCAGAGTCCATCACCTTTATCAGCTATTCTTCTTTTGTAAATTTTCCTTCCATCTTTGGGCAAGTAGCAGCTGCTGTAGCCTACATAAATAGTTTCTTCTGATCCTTAGGTATTTCTGTACCTAAAATTCCTAATCAAAAAGCTTCAGGGTTGTTGTTTTTTACAAAAGTTATTTTTAACATTTTTTCCAGCTCATTAGAAATCATTTCCCAATATGCTTTTTTGCACTCCCTGTTCTTGCCTCTGCCATGGGGTCTTTTTATTTGGGGTGGGGGGTCGGAGTTCCCTGGCAGCTGGCGCTCTGTGCCAACTCTCCTGGGGTTTGCCAGCAAAGCTCAGGGTGGGTCCCTTGTGGTTGTGGGGAAACAGCCCCCTTCCCTGCCCCACAGAGTTGGCTGCTAGAAGGGGAAGCTTCTGGGGGCGTCACCCACCCCCAGGGGGACCAGAGGAGACAGAGGCAAGCCGGCAGCTCTCTCCCAAGCATAGAACTGTAGAAGTGGAAGGGACCACGAGGGTTGTCTAGTCTGACCCCCCGCAACGCAGGAATCTTCCGCCCAGTGTGGAACTCGAACCCTCAACCCGGAGGTTAGAAGTTTCGTGCTCTACCAGCTGAGCTGTCCCACAGGCCCTGAACAGAATTACTTTGGGAGCGGTGGTGAGGGGGCTTCCTTAAAAAGGAGGGTGGCCGTCTTGCAGAGCTGGCTAAAGAGTTTTTTTGGGGGGGAGTGCAGAGGATTTTGGCTGTGGGGGAGGGTCAGGTTTGCTTGGAAATGGGGCTTTGTATTCCTGTCTTCGCAAGGAATTTGTGGAAGTTTCCTTCAGTGGACGAAACAAAGATGGGGGGGGGTTGGGAGGAGGGGAGGCTGGACAAGGAAGAGCCATAGTTGCCTTCCTTCCTCTTCCTCTTCCCTTTTCCCTTTCCTTTTCCTTTTCATTTGACATTTTCAGTACTTATATCTTCTAGACCAGGGGTCAGCAACCTTTTTCAGCAGGGGGCTGGTCCACTGTCCCTCAGACTTTGTGGGGGGCCGGACTATATTTTTGGAAAAAAATGTGAACAAATTCCTATGCCCCACAAATAACCCAGAGATGCATATTAAATATCAAATCAATCTTTATTACGGTCCAGAGACCCAACAAATCGTTACAAAGCAATGCACAATTCAGACAGCCTACCTCCAGGTTAAACAAGCATTTTGTTCAAAAGATAGGGATCATTGGTTCTTGCAACCACCGATAAAAACTTCGCCCCTGCTAATGTTCTAGCGTTTGTCCAGTCTTCCAATAGGAACCTGACATAGTGAGCCTCTGATTTTCCCAGGAAAGGGACCAGCAAAGGTAATATCAGTTCAGCCCCGGTTTGCTCATATTTCACACAGTGCAGCAAAATATGTTTTATGGAATTGATGTCTTGAGCACAGGAGCAAATAAAAGGACACGTTCTACTCATGTAAAAACACGCTGATTCCTGGACCATCCGTGGGCCGGATTGAGAAGGTGATTGGGCTGGATCCGGCCATGGCCCTTAGGTTGCCTACCCCTGCCTTAAGACAGGATTTGTGAGCAAAGAGACAATGGGGAGGCTTTTCCATTCCCTTCCTCCTTGCAGAGAAATATTTAAGGTGACTGAAAGCTTCAAAATGGCTTTAGGACTGTTTTCCTGTACTTTTTCCAGACACGTGGTTTATATATTGATGTATTTGTGTGTTTTTTTTAAAATGATATTTATTAAAATTTCAGAGAAAAAAAGAATTACAGAAAAACAAAAAGTAAAAATACAAGAAAAATACAAAATACAGAATAAAAGAATAAAAGACACTTAAAAAGAGAAAAAAGAAAAATGGGTCAATCTTTCCATAGCTTACATTCATATCCTTGTTTCCCTGACCTCCTCATACCTCCCTTTTTTGTATTCCAGTTCAATTAGTTAAGTCAGCAATTTCTTTCCCTCTTTATTTTCTCATTTCTCCTTTAACTTAATATACTATAACTTTAAGTTTTCATCTATTAACAATCCTTTTTTACATACACCTTTATAGCATTACTGCTTAAACCACCTAACTTCATTCCAACATCATTCTAACATTCATTAATTTTGCAATATTTCTGTAAATAACCTTTAAATTTCTTCCAATCTTCTTCCACCAACTCTTCTCCCTGGTCTCGGATTCTGCCAGTCATTTCCGCCAGTTCCATATAGTCTATCACCTTCATCTGCCATTCTTCCAGAGTGGGTAGGTCTTGTGTCTTCCAATACTTTGCAATAAGTATTCTTGCTGCTGTTGTGGCGTACATAAAGAAAGTTCTGTCCTTCTTTGGCACCAATTGGCCGACTATGCCTAGGAGAAAGGCCTCTGGTTTCTTCAGAAAGGTATATTTAAATACCCTTTTCATTTCATTGTAAATCATCTCCCAGAAAGCCTTAATCCTTGGGCACGTCCACCAAAGGTGAAAGAATGTACCTTCAGTTTCTTTACATTTCCAACATTTATTATCGGGCAAATGATAGATTTTTGCAAGCTTGACTGGTGTCATGTACCACCTGTATATCATTTTCATAGTATTCTCTCTTAGGGCATTACATGCCGTAAATTTCATACCTGTGGTCCACAACTGTTCCCAGTCAGCAAACATAATATTGTGTCCAACATCTTGTGCCCATTTAATCATAGCAGATTTCACCGTTTCATCCTGAGTATTCCATTTCAACAGCAAGTTATACATCTTTGACAAAATCTTGGTTTTGGGTTCTAACAGTTCTGTTTCCAATTTTGATTTTTCCACCTGGAAGCCAATTTTCTTGTCCAAATTATATGCCTCCATTATCTGATAATAATGAAGCCAGTCTCGCACTTTGTTTTTTAATTTCTCAAAACTCTGCAATTTCAGTCTATCTTCATCTTGTTCCAAAATTTCCCAATATTTCGGCCATTTGACCTCCATATTGAGCTTTTTCTGAGCTTTCACTTCCATCGGTGACAGCCATATATTGATGTATTTGTTTGCCTTGTACAGTTATGAACATTTATTTTATATACAAGATCTTTAAATTCCTATAACAACCCCGTGAGCAGAAATTGGGGCTCTCAGGTGTCTCTGCATTGGGGGGACACCAGGCTGCTCCCCGTTCCTGAAAGAATCGCAGTGGGGATCCAGAACACTTTTACTGGTTGTCCCCATCCCCAATTTTCTCTATTCTTTCTAGAACACTTTCAGAACAAAGCATTGCCTAAAATTAACTGCAGGCCCTTGCTCACAGTTTACAGGATAATGGACAAGGACAGGAAGGGGAGCCGATTCAAAGACAAGAGCCATCTAGTCCAGGGGTCCGCAGACTTTTTCAGCAGGGGGCCGGTCTACTGTCCCTCCGACCTTGTGGGGGGCCGGACTATATTTTGGAAAAAATAAAAATGAACGAATTCCTACACCCCACAAATAACCCAGAGATGCATTTTAAATAAAAGCACACATTCTACTTATATAAAAACACACTGATTTCCGGACCGTCCGTGGGTTGGATTTAGAAGGCGATTGGGCCGGATCTGGCCCCCGGGCCTTAGGTTGCCTACCCCTGTTCGCTTTTGGCCCCCAGTGGCTTTTGGGTGTGTCTGTCCCCTTCGGCCGTGTGTGTGTGTGTGTGTGTGTTTTTTGGGGGGGCTCTTGCTGTGCGAACTCCTTGGGGAGGGGGAGATGCTGTTCTGTGAGCCTGACTCTGCTGCTCCTGCCGCTTGTCTCTTGCAGCCCCCACCCCGTCAAGCCCATCAGCAGCTCTCCGGGGCCAGCCCCCCCTCAGGAGGAGGAGGAGGAGAAGCAGAGGCCAGCAGACAGCCTGACCCCTGTCCGGAGCGGCGGCCAGGAGCGCGAGCCGGGCAGCGCCGTCAGCGTCACTGCGGGGGGAGCGCCCACCTCCCAGCTGGAGAAACCGGAGCCCAAAAGGGTAAAAGGGGATGGACGGAAGGGTTGGGGGATGTGGGAGGAAATGCCCCAAGGGCGGCAGAGGTGGGGGCTCTTTCCTGGGAGGGGGGGCTTCCAGTGTCCTTGAAGAAGAACCTTTAATTTGAAGTGTGTTCATAAGAAGAGCGTGCAGGACCAGGCTGAAGGGGCCCACCCAGTCCATCACCCTGTTTGCACAGGGGAGACCCAGAAGCAAGGTTCCTGTGGCAGGGAGCTCCATAGTTTAACCCTGTGCTGCGGGAAGAAGGGACTTCCCTGTCCTCTTGGGCTGGTAGATTATTTTTGTGCCCCCTTGGGATTCCCCCCTGTTTCCCCCTCCGCCACGGGGGCCATTCTGCCTCAAAAGAAGACCCTGCTCCGACAGATCCCATAGCGCTCGCTTTTCCCAGGCCCAGTTCCTGGAAGCCCCCTGGCTGCCTCCTGCTGCCCCACCAGAGTGCCCCGCTGGAGGCAGAGCAGCCTGGCTTGGCCTTCCTGGGGGTGGGGGGTGGGGGGGTCTGAAATGGGCCCCTTTGGCCTCATCCAGCAGTCTCTCCTGGTGTTCCTAAAATTCTCCTCTGTGAATTTCTGCCCCCTGTGCGACATTATTATTATTATTTTTATTATTATTATTATTATTGCTTGCTGGTCCTTGTCCTGATGGAGAGAAAGGTCTTGCTTCTCCGCTGACCGCAGACCCCTCCCTCTGTCCCCCCCCCAGGACTCTTCCGCGCTGGATCCGTCCGCCAAGTATTACCACCTGACGCACGACGAGCTGATCCAGCTGCTGCTGAAGCGAGAGGCGGAGCTGAGCCAGACGCAGGATCAGGTCCGCGAGCTGGAGAACTACATCGACCTCCTCCTGGTGCGCATCATGGAGCAGTCTCCCCGGCTGCTGCAGATCCCCCTGGAGGGGGAGCCCAAGGCAGCCAAATAACGCCCCCACCCCCCTTTCCACCCGCCACGCCTCTGCCCTCCCCACTCTTGAGTTCCCGGCCCCCTCTCCTGGCTCAAGGCGGCCCCCCGGGAAGGAGAGGCCCTGCGGGAAGGACCCTTTGCTTCCGGACCTCTGGGCCACGGGCAACCGGACGCCGGTGTTTGTGGGACGCAGCCGGTTTTGAGCAAGACGCCGTTCTCTGGAGAGTCGCTCGCCTCCTGTCCTGCAAGCTTCCCGGTCCATCGCAGCACCCGCAGTTACGCCCAGGGCTCGGACCCGCTCCCCGTCCCCTGGGATGGTGACTCTGGCTGGCTGTTGGCTCCCTGTCGGTGGGGGTGGTGGGTGTTCCTTGGGGAGCGGGGAGCCAGCCGACATGGCCGAAGGATGGACTGCGAAACCAGGGAGATGGATTGTGCAGGAAAGACCTCCTGGTGGGCCGAGGGCACGGCGTGCAGACCCCACCACTGTTCTCCTTGAGGGCTAGCGTCGCCCAGCCTGCGCCAACCACTCAGCACCTCGCCAGGTTCACCTGCCCCCGGGGGGCAAGAGAGGGGGCTGCCTAGGACTTGGGGTGCTGTCCTGGCCCAGCGCCTGGCACTCTTTTCATTGCATGCTGGAATAAGTTGCAACCCGTCTCTGCCTCTGCCTGCCTGCCCTCTTCCTTCTCTTTCTCTGCTTGGGGTGGCGGCAGGGACTTGGCAGGAGGGCACCGCAGTGGCACCTCGTCCTTTTTGCACCCCTCCCACCTGCTGCGATAATCAGAACAAAAACAGTGTGCCTTTTCTTTCGCGGGGAGGACAAATGCGCCGGAGCATCTCCAGGCTTGTGCGCTGCGTCGTTCGTGGCAACTCGTGCGCTCCAGACCAGCGGAAGCACACGGGGAAATGTCCTCAGGCAGGGCAGGGGGGCTTGGTGTCATCGCCAGAAGCCCTGGGCAAAAGTCTCTGGGTGCCCAGAGGAAGGAAGACCCTGCTTCTTAGCGGGTGACCAAACGGCACGGGACCAAAGTGTGCGGTTCCTTCAAGGTGGCTTCCTCTTCTGGGTTTCCTTCTCAGACCTGGGGGTGCACTCAGGCCTTGCAGTATCTCTGCTTTGCCTTGGGGTGCCCTGGCCCTTTCCTGCCCCAGGAGGAGACCTGTGCAGCCTGCACCCCCCCAACACACACCTGGCCCTTGGGGAATGGCGATGCCTTTGGGGGGAGCTCCAGCCCTCGGTTCCACCCCTCACGCATCCCTTGCGCATCATCCCTTGCGCATCTCTCTGCCCTTAACGGTGGGCTGTGGATTTTTCCTGGTCCAGAAAGGGGCTGGCAGGCTGCGGAGAATCCTGTCCGCTTCTCCCAGGGTTGTGATTGTGGACCACTGATTCTTTTCTTACTCTGCCCACCTGGGGAGTGCTATATCCTTCTCCCCACCCCACCCCCCGCAATGGCTGCAGGGGGGGGCTTTCCCCCTTGCCCCCCCACCTACAGCCTCCCGGTCAGCTCGCCCGCCAGCCACAGCCTCCTTCCCTCCCCTTCAGCCGCTCTCTATCCGGAGCAGCTAACGGTGGAGGAACTCTGTCCGGCCTTTGCGTTGCCCCTTGGTTCAGCTGCCCGCGGGCGATGGAGGAGCTCAGCAGAAAGGTTGCAGGCCCTTCTGGCCTTGGCATGGCTTGGAGAGGAGCCTTTGGGCAAGGAGGAAGGAGCGCCAGGGACCCATGAGGTGGGCTGAGCCAGGGCGTTCTCCGTTTGCCTTTGCCAGGAGAGGGGCAAGCCTGTTGGTTGCCTGCCTGTGTGGGGGCCTCCATGGCCCACTCGCTGCAGGAAGGTCGTTGGCGCTGAGCTCCGGCCCCTGAGGTCCTCTGACCCCCCCCCAAGCTGCCCAGCCTCCTTTCTCTCCCCAGGGAGCTGGGGCTGCAAGGTTCACCCATCGACTCCCCGGATCCCAGTGCCAAAAATGCGCAGCTGCCTTGCTCCTTGTCCCCCTCCTGGAATTGGGGTGCTGCTGCCCCCCACATCCTTGTCTGGAAGCTTTAAAAGGGGGAGGAGAGCCGGCTGCCCCCATCCCAAGACGGTAGTTGTTGGGAAGGATTTTCAGGGGTGCGTTTTGAGAGGGCGGGGGAATATTTCTGGATTTGCAGGGTCTTCGCTTTTGAGGGTGGTTCTCATCAACAGTTTGCCTCCACGTTTCTCACGTTCTGCCAAATAAGCCTCACGACCCACAGCAGGTTTCTTTCAACCCGGTGCCCTTCCAAAGTCACGGACTGCAGCCCCCTAAGGCTTTTGTGGGCACCGGGTTGGGAAAGGAGAAATGTACCATTCAGTATTTCCTGGGGGTTCTTACCTCCTGACAAGAGTTTCCTTGCAGTGTTCTGCGTGGGGCCGGTTGGTTTCGTTTAATTGTTCGTTTGTGTTCCTCTCCTGGCCCAAAGGGCCACCGGCCAGCGCCAAGCAAACCGTGTCCCAAGGAGAGCAGTGTTAGTTAACGTCTTCCTTCCCTTTGAGCAAGTTTGGGAGCACCTCTGCCCCCCTCCACCCCACCCCACGGGGCAATTTTACTCCCAGTCATGGGGTTCATGCTGAGGTGCTCACTTGTATTAAGAATCTCATTGGGTGATGTTTGTTTAAAAAGAGGGGGGAAAGCTTGTTCTGTTTTAAGCACTTTAAAGGAAAAATAAAATAAAACGGTTGGATTTGTTGCTTAGAAATTCCTGGCTTGCCTTTTTATTCCCATGCCCCAAATCCAAAGGTTGCAGTGGCCTCACAAGCCCCACACGTAAATGGGGAGCTCCAAAGTTGTTACGCTAGAACTCAGAGACATACAGTGGAGCAGAATGTTGTAAGTTTCAAGACAGCTAAAAGAAATTACGCAGTACGATAATCTTTATTGTCATTGTCCCATACAGAACAACGAAATTGAAAAAATCTACATAAGACATTCAAAAACCCACAAGCCTGCTATCCCAGCCTGGTTAACCCCCTAAAAATACCCCATAATTGAATACAATACACTCCCATATAGACTACCTTACACTGTGTTTAAAACCAGAATTGCATTTGGATAGAAACTGTTTCTCAGGCGGCTAGTCCGAGTCTTTATAACCCTGGACCTTCTTCCAAAGGCAGAAGCGGAAAGAGATCATTTCCGGGGTGCACACTATCCTGCGCTATCTCTGCAGCTTTCTTATGGCACCTGGAAGCATAGATTTGATCCAAGGTGGGAAGAGTGCACCCAATTATTCTCTCCGCTGTCTTTACAACCCTGGACAGCATTGTTTTTCCCCTGACCGTGCAGCTCCCAAACCACACACAGAGACCATAAGTTAATACACTTTCCACAGTACAATGGTAAAATGCCATCAACAGGTCCTTGGAGAGATTGTTTTTCCGGAGGAGTCTCAGAAAATATAACCTCTGCTGTGAGTATAAGAGTTAAACTACGGAACTCCCTGCCACAGGAGGCAGGGATGGCTGCCAACTTGGATGGCTTTAAAAGAAGTTCTTAAGCTAAAGATGCCATGGGTCCCACCCCACACCTTGGAGGGGGTGGCAGAGTGAGGAGGGGGCAGGCCAGGCCCAGCCTCTGCTGTTGTCTTTGCGGAATTGGGGCAGGGGGGTACCTAACATCCTGCTCCTCGCTTGTCCCAACAGGAAGCAGCCCACTCCCAATGATTGGCGTGTCGTCTTTGTGACAGGTTGCCTAATTCTTCCCAGCTGGATTGGGGGGGGGAGGTTCCCACTGTGATGGCTTTCAGCAGGTGCCCCACTGGTCTGCAGCTAATCCAGGGGGATGAAGGGCTGAGAGGGAGGAAAAAGCCCCCGCCCAGAGTTTTAAAACTGACAGGCCAAATCGCGGCTGAACAATGCGAGCAGGTGGTCAAGATCAGGGGGTGACCTGCGAGAGAAGCAGGTGCTCGGATCCGGGATGCCTGAACACGCCTGGGCCGAGCCCAGCGCCCCCACCCAGCCTGCTTCACCCTTTTGTCTGGGAAAGGGCAGGGGACCCCCCCTCCAATCGCTCTGTTTTCCCAGGTGCACAGAGATCCCTCTTGACGCTGAACCCCAACCCATCTCTTCCCCAAAGGGTGCCCGCTGACAGTGTTAGCACCCACCTCCCAACATGGGCTTTCCAGAGGGCTCGGCTTCTTGGGGGGTCAAAGTGCCCCTTCCCACCCAAGACTGGCAGGCTGGCCCTGCTGCCCTCTCTGCAAAGAGCTGCTCCTCTGGCAAGGCACCCGCAAGCACCCACAGATGACCTTGGGGTGAGCCTTTTGGATAAGGCCAATGCCCACGTTGCCCAGCCTCCTGGGCTCACAGTGGCCACCAATAATAATAACAATATTTTTTTTATTTATACCCCGCCCTTCCTGGTTCAAAAACCGGGCTCAGGGCAGCTAACAACAAATTTAAAACAATTATAAAAGCAACATAAAATACAGTATAAAAACATGAATAACAATAAAAATCAAAAATCAATTAGATAATCTCCAGGGCTAGCTGGCTGAATTGGTCCTACTTGGGCCAGCGAGGAGGCCAGGGGAGAATTAGCTGTGGGGTCTCAGAGCGGGTAATCTTCATAAAAGGGGGGGGGGGGAGAGAAGGGAAATAAAAGATCAGGCTGAATTCAAATAAAGGCCTGGCGGAATAGCTCTGTCTTACAGGCCCCAATGGAAGGAGGTTAAATCCTGCAGGGCCCTCTGTCTCATAGGACAGAGCATTCCACCAGGTTGGAGCCATCACTGAAAAGGCCCTGGCCCTGGTGGAGGATAGTCTGGCTTCCTTAGGGCCTGGGACCTCTAAACTATGGTTATTCATGGACCTTAAGGTCCTCTGTGGGGCAGACCAGGAGAGAAGGTCCGTAAATACGAGGGCCCTAAGCCACAAAGGGCTTTAAAGGTCAAGACCAGCACCTTGAACCTGACCCTGTACTCCACCAAGAGGTCCATAATAGGAAGCCCAGAAGCAGGATCTGAGCACACGGTTCTCTCCCCTCCTATTCCCCCCCCTGCATAAAGGGGAAAATCCCTTTGCTGACTTTCTCAGAGTCTCCTGCTTTCCTCCCATTTCTCTCTCCAGCCCTTTTCTGCAAGGGCTGGTGGCTGAGAGGAAGGGCAGCGGCAGCCTTCAAGTGGGGACATCAAAACACAAAATGCCCCCCATCCTAAAAACCACAAGTACAGGTGAAACTCGAAAAATTAGAATATCGTGGCAAAGTTCATTTATCTTGCCATTCCTTTTTCTTTGGCAGAGTTTCTTTTTTCCAGTTTTCAGCAGTTGGGATCCTTGCCACTCCTGTGGCTCCTTTTGTACCGCTTTTTGATGTAGATATTTTTTTATTTCTCTTTCTTTCGAAAACCAAATAAAAAGATGGTTAAATAAATCAATGAAGAGAATTGGGCGCACAGGAGATGGAGGGAGCGTGTTTTCCGCTATTCCGTGTTGGCTATTTGCAGATTAGTTGCACTGCAGAAGGCATGCTGGGGAGACCACACATTACAAGGAACGCAAAATAACTTTAGCTACGTTTTAATAACAAAAACTCCTTTTACATTAATTATAATATATCAATAAGCATGACCCAACCACCAGGGTACTAAGAGAGCTAGGTGCTGCTCTTTATATACTATACCCAACAGCTTAATTACCACAACTTAACAGCACCTGCTATACTGCTTCACAGCTGTAAAACTAGGTCACGTTATTTGCTCTGGCCCTTAAAGAAATACACATCTTGGGTTTTTTTTATAATGATATTTATTAAAGTTTCACAAAAATACATAAAAATACAAAACAAAGAAAAAAGTATAAAGTTTTAAGATACAACAAAAAAGTAGAAAATAAGAAAAAGCGTACAAAATAAAACAGTTAAGAACACAATGTATTCCATAACCTATCTTCCTTACTCTTATCGTCCCCGACCTCCTCATGCCTCCCTTCTTTGTATTCCAACATCAGGTTTGTTGGTTCAGCAAGTCTTCTTACTCATTAGTCTGTTACCCAATTGTTGAGCCTTTTCCATGTCTCTTAAGCATCTATCAGCCAGAATCTGTCTGTAGCTTTCTATCCAACATCGCTGTCTAAGGACTGGAACAGTTATGGACCACAGAGTGAAATTACGGCATGTAATGCCTAAGAGAATATTATGAAAATGATACAGGGTGGTACATAACCCATAGTCAAGCTTCTGGCATAAAATCTATCACTTGCCCGATAATAAATGTTGGAAAATGTGCTAGTTCAAGGTACATTTTTTCACCTTTGTAGACGCCCTAAAGATTAAGGCTTGGGAAATGATATATACGAATTAAAAGGTATTTAAGCATACCTTCCCTAAGAAACCAGAGAGGCCTTTCTCCTGCAGGTCAAATAGCAAAAGGATAGAACTTATGTATGCAAATAACAGCAGCAGAAATACCCATCGTAAAAGTATTGGAAGACAAGAACTTCCCACGCTGGAGGAATGGCAGATGAAACTATGGACTATATGGAACTGGCTGAATGACTAGAATCCAAGGACCAGAGAAGAGTCATGGATGAAGACTGGAAGAAATTCAAAGACTATCTCAAACAACTGCAAATTCAAGGAATGTTAGAGTGATGTTGACCGAAAACAGTGGCTCTAGCCAGACAGGTTAAAGTTAAGGAGGATTAAGATTAAAGACTGACAGACACAGTGAATGAAATTTGATATTAAAAAGGAAAAGCTTTAAAGTATATATATTAAGATCAAGGGATTAGGTTTAAAAGTTAGTTATAAAAGATTTTAACATTTTATTAAATTAAGATTAATTAAAAAAGTGGAAAGAAACTGCTGGACAAAATAATGTGGACTGGAATACAAAAGAGGGAGGTAAGGAGGAAGTCTAGAAAATAAGCACTTAAAATTGGAAATGGAAAAGAGAGTTTGTTTTTAATTGTTGTGTTTTGTGTTTTTATTGTTAAGTTTTGTATTGTTTTTTGTGTGTGTTGTTTTTCTTGTTTTGTTGTTTAAAACTTTAATAAAAAATTATTTAAAAAAAGAAAAGAAAAAAGAAATACACATCTTGTGGACCAATAATGAACCTTCAAATTTAAAGAGACCATTCCACATTCTGGAGGGTGGGCTCTCCTTCCTCGGAGGTTTCCAAGCAGTGGTGGAAATCCATGCGGCGTGGCATGGATGCTATCAGCCTGTGGCACTGCGGAGGTGTTATGGAAGACCAGGAAGCTCCAATAGCAGCCTTCAGCTCTTCTGCATTGCTCAGTCTCATGTCTCTCATCTTTCTCTTGGCAATGCCCCATAGATTCTCTACGGGGTTCAGGTCAGGTGAGTTTGCTGGCCAGTCAAGCACAGTAATCCCATGGGCATTGAACCAGGTTTTGGTACTTTTGACAGTGTGGGCAGGTGCCAAAGTCTTGCTGGAAAATGAAGTCAGCATCCCCATAAAGCTCATCTGCGGAAGGAAGCATGAAGTGCTCCAAAATCTCTTGGTAGATGGCTGCGTTGACTCTGGACTGAATGAAGCACAGTGGAGCAACACCAGCTGATGACATGGCTCCCCAAATCAACACAGACTGTGGAAACTTCACAGTGGACTTCCAGCATCTGGCATTGTGTGCCTCCCCATTCTTCCTCCAGACTCTGGGGCCTTGGTTTCCAAATGAGATGCAAAAGCTGCTCTCATCAGAAAAGAGTTTTGGGGAGGTTTCCAAGCAGTGGCTGCTGGCCAGGGATGATGGAGCTGCCATCCCTGCATTGCAGGGGGTTGGGCTGGATGACCTCTGGGGGTCCCTTCCCACTCCAGGCCCCCCCATTCCGGCAGGCAGCCCGGCCTCCCTCCTCCTCCGGCTGATGCAGCCCTTGGCCCCCCGCTGCTGCCTCTTCCTCGCCCGGCCGGCTGCGCGATGCTTGAAACTACATTTCCCACCATTCCTTTCGCGCAGCCCGGGGCGGAGCGACCTCGGCCGGAGGGACTACATTTCCCGTCATGCTCCTCCCGTACCTGAGGCCGCTTTCCCCTCTGGGCGGCGAAGGACTACCCGCCCCAGCATGCCTCGCGGGGGCTGCGGTGGGCCTCGTCCAATGGGAGGCGGTGCTGGCGGAGGGGGCGGGGCCAGGCGGCGCAGGAGACTCGCAGGCTGCCCGTGGCGCCGTGAGGGGATGGCGGAGAGCGCGGGCTTCCCGCCCTTCCAGCTGGGGAGGCCTCGCTTCGAGCAGGTGGGCGCCGCCGCCGCCGCGTCGCGAAGGGCCGAGGGAGGGGAACGGGGCGGGGGGGTGTCTCGGAGGGGGGGTCGCCGGGGAAGAAGCGCCTGCCTCAGCAAGCCCCGCCCCTCGGCGGCTCAGCGCCGGCGCTGATTGGGCCTCGGCCACGCCACTCGCCCGCTTGAATTCCCGCCCTTTTTCGCTGGCTCCGAACGCCGCCCGCTGATTGGCGCTCGCCTGGCTCGGTGCGGGCTGGAGGCGGGGCTTCTGCTGGGCTCTCGCCGGGGGAGAGCGGCGGCGGCCGGCGGGACTCCCCGCCACAAGATGCGGTGCCAAAGGGCGGACCCCGGAGCGGGGGGTGGGGGCTCTCTGGCATTAAGCGGGTCTCATCCTGCGACAGTGTTTCTCTAGGGGAAGGCAGCTTGTGAGCGGACAGAGGCGTCTCTGGAGCCTGTGTGGGAAATGGGGGTCTCGAGCCCGGACATGGTCGGATCCGGCCGGGGGCTCGCGGAGGGTGGGTGCTGTTCCGTTGCTCCCAGGGCACTTTCCACTCTCTGAAACCCTCGCCCTTGAAACTTTGATGCCAGCGCTGTTGCCTTATCCATCCTTATCCAAGAAAGGAGACCTGCAGTCTCTGAAGAAGGGGGCCTGCACACGGAAGCTTATTCCAGAACAAGCTTAGTTGGTCTATAAGGTGCTACTAGACATTTTTTAATTTCTTTTTATTTCAAGAAAGGGGATTTTGCCTAAAGATTAGGAATAACTTCCTGATGGGAAGACAGAGGAATGGGCTCCCTGGAAAGGTGGTGGTGGTGGTCTCTCCTTCCTTGGAGGTTGGGCGGCCATCTGTCAGGGATGCTTGAGCTGAGATTCCTGCATAGCAGGGGGTTGGGCTGGATGACCCTCAGGGTCCCTTCCAACTCTTAAGATTCTATGATTCTAAGGTACTTGGGGAAGAAAAAGGCAGCGGTTACTGTAGCAGGTAGAGAGCTTGGATCTTCTGTCAAAGGGTAGCTGAGAAACCTTGGCAGTCCCTTTAGTGGCATCGTTTATACATCCGTATAGGACAATGCTTTTATTTAGTCAACCAAAATGGCACGGAGGCATTTGATGTGCCCATGGAGCAGCCCCAAGTAGATGTTCAAACTGTAGCGCCCCCCCCCAATGCTTTGCAAGGTTGCAGAAGGACGTGGGTTTGCATGCAGTTTATTTGGAAGAGTCGTACCCCAACATCATCTGCAACCTTGCAAAAGATCCCGGCCTGCCCCTGTCAAATCAGTGCAGGGCAGCAAAGGGTTAAGGGGTGCCTTCCCGGCAGAGATTGCATTCTGCTGCTGGTGAATTTCTAATTTCTCTCTCATTATTTAGTATTTTCCAGGTGGGGGGCAGGAAGCTACCCTGGGATCCATGCCCATAACTGCACCCAGAGCACTTTGAACAAGTCCCCCTGTGGTTCTTCATAATACACCGATTTTTGCTGAGTTCTGTTCCGTTTTAGGAGCTGCAGAATTGGGGTTCAGCATTTGAGCTTCCATGCTGCCTCCACTGCTCTGGCCATTGCCTTATTCACAGCAAGGAGGGTTTTTTAGGGGACATTTCCGGCAAACCGTGCCTTACGTTCAGTTAGTATATGCTCATAAATGCTGTGTTGCCCTGGTAGGGTCAAAGTCCCAATGCAATAAGTGGATCACTCAAAACATCATGGCGTTTCCTCCTGACCTTGAAATGTCTGAAAAGACCTGTTGAATTTCCTTTAGACAACCCTCATTTCGTCACACGGGACTATTTGCTTCTCGCTCTGGGCTTCTTTTGGTCCTTTGCCCGACTTTTCTGGAGGGCAGCTGAAAGCCTTCCCGGCCGTGGCTGTGAAGGATTTTCACTTCCAGGTTTTGGATTTCTGAATAGGTGGAACCAGGACAGTGAGCAAATCGCATGGGTGGTGGTGGGTTGAATGAGACAAAACTTGCTCGGATGTGGCTCTTAGATATCATAGATTTAACTGGAGAAAGTTCATATTTGTGAGAAGTGCAAGGGATAATTGAATGCCATTTATCCTTACAACTTATTTAACATGATCCAAGAAGATTTATAATGTGCCAAGTATAGATTTTTTTATTTAAAAAAGAATCACAAGAGCCTCGGGACGTAGGCCATCATTATTCCCATTTTACAGATGGGGAACTGAACATGAGACTCATTGCTTGCCCAACTTCCTAGTCTGGGGGCAATGCAGATGCCTCTGTGTTCTGCTCTCTGGTCATTGGGCAACACCAGGCATAGGCAAACTCGGCCCTCCGGATGTTTTTGGGACTACAACTCCCATGAGCCCTAGCTAACAGGACCAGTGGTCAGGGATGATGGGAATTGTAGTCCCAAAACATCTGGAGGGCTGAGTTTGCCTATGCCTGGGCAACACTGACCCTCCTTCTGATAAATAAGGTGGGGAGAGGACGTTGTAGCATCGCTGAGGTTTTAATGTACTGGCAAGCTCCCTTAGTGTTCCTGCTGCTGTGGAAAGGCTGCAAGTTGCTTATTTCTTGGAAGAGAGGTTAGCCCTCTTCTGCAGTCTGGGAGGGTCAGTTAAGTCTTGGCTTCTTCCTGCCTCTTAGGGCTGTGAGCCCAAGTCCAGTGCGCTGGTCCCAGTTCCATTAACCTCAGGGGTTCTGGTGCAGGGAGAACACTAGCCCTTCCCGTGGGTGTAGTGCATTCTGAGTGTGTGCATAACGCATCATGTACATCATTGCAATAATCCTTAAAATAAAAGTTAGGTCAGTGTTGTTATCCCTGTATGAGATGGAGCTGGGAGAATTATGGGCTTGCCTATGACCACCTAGGGGGTGAGATACAGGCTCAACAGGGCTCATAGATAGAATTGTAGACTTGGAAGGGACCTTGGGGGTCATCTAGTCCAACCCCCGCAGTGCAGGAATCTTGCCCACAGCTGTCCCTGAGTGGGCTCGAACCACCAGCCTTCTGATTAAAAAGCCAGGCACATAGACCCATTACGCCAGGGCGTGCTGCTGCTGAGGACCACTGGCCCATTTCTGGCAGATTCGCCTAGGACTCGCTGGTACCTTGGGTTTTTGCAAAGAGGCAGCCTTGGCCTGATCCTGCAAGGTGCTTCTCATATCAGAATCTCTGGGTGCTGGTGAGTTATGCTTTCAGTGTGAAAAGAGCCAAGTGTCCATTCTTGACCTGGGACCTCAAAATGTGTTTGGGACCCATGAGGATTCTAGAACAAAGCAAAGGCAGAACGTGAGGCTGGAGTCAGGCCAGCCTTGTCCTAGCAGGTGTGGGATCTTTATTACTATTTGCCAAACACTCCATACTGCCAACTTTAGGAAGAAATATCATGGTAGTGAACAGCATGGAATCAGTAGTACAATTGCATCCCTAAAACGAGTCCTGGAAGGACTCACCCTCCCAGTAGAATTGTAGGAGACACACCCTGTCCTGTGACTGCCATTTCGTGGAAGCGGCTTCTTCTCTGGGCAACAAATGCACAAGTGGAAAGTGCTTTTTCTTACCCCTGTCAGCATCCACCTGAGTGTCTGCTGAGATCCCAAGCAGCCCTGGCAGCGCAGAGCTTCTGCGTCGATTCCGCTCTCCCCGCCATCTCCAAAAACAAGGATATTTGGCCTCTTGGGGCGAGGAGACCTACTTTCTTGCCTGCGGAAGCTTGTACTTGAGAGGCGAAAGGAGGCAGCGCCCAGGAGAAGCAGCCGTGCCGTGCAGCTGGTTGGGAAATCTACGAGGAGGCTAAATCTTTTGGAAGCCACAGTTGGGCTTCCCTGCTCCTGGGAGCTCCATTGTGCCCCAGAAACAACACACTGCAATATGAAATGTAAAGCCCTTGATGCAGATTAGAAGTATACCTGATCAACGCCACTTAGCTTTGGTTAGACTGCCCAGGAGCAGCAAAGTTTAAGAGGTTTTCCTGCCCCACCAGGCCCTTGCAGATATCCCTGAAAAGGTGACAGACAGACCTTTGGTGAGGGGGAAAATGCGCAGAAAACTGGTGACCGGCTTGTGCACTGCATTGGCCTGCCTCCAGGCTTGAATACAGTGGTACCTCAGGTTAAGAACTTCATTCTTTCTGGAGGTCTGTTCTTAACCTGAAACTGTTCTTAACCAGAGGTACCACTTTAGCTAATGGGCCTCCTGCTGCCGCCGGAGCACGATTTCTGTTCTCATCCTGAAGCAAAGTTCTTAACCCGAGGTACTATTTCTGGGTTAGCGGAGTCTGTAACCTGAAGCGTCTGTAACCTGAAGCTTCTGTAACCCAAGGTTGTACTTGCAAAAAGCCCGCTGGTTAGGGTCAGGAGGTCCGTTGTGGACAGAGAACCACCTTGGGCAGATTTAGCACCCAATGCTATTCTTTGAAGACTCTTCTGGTTGAGATTCAAGAGTGCTTATGCTGCGCTGGAGAGACTTGGCAAATTAGTCATGGCCCGCAAGGGAGAAGGACAAGGAGGGAAAGCAAACTCACTTGTCAGTTATTAAAGAACAGTCCTTACCAAGACCAGCTGGCACAGAAAGAGCTCATGGGCAGAAAGCACCTGCTGGAGCAGGCCTTTGGGCAAAGCATGGTGGGGCGAGCCCTGCCTCTCCCCTTTCCCATTGAGACAGCCTGGTGGCAGGGCTGTGGCCAGGTAAGGCTCAAGGTGGAGCCAGCCTTGCTTATTTCGCTCATTCTCAAAGCAGGACATGAAACGGGAGGGACTCCTTTGTGATGCATCGATCAGGAGACCCTCCGCAGGCTGTGTGGGAGTGGGCAGCCCAGCGCTGCTTTCCCACCCTCTGAACCTGTGGCTGAGTCTGGGGGTGAAATCCAGGGGTCTCCCCCTGCCCTAGGGCCATGCCCAGGAGCAGGGCTTTGGTGCCAGCTGGGGATGCCAGTTACTTTGGGTCATTTCCTGATCAGAGGGATCTCACGAAACGGCCGAGTGAAACGCACCCATGGGCACCCTTCAAAGTGTGAGGAATGCCTTTCCTTTTGGGCTGGGGCTGGGATGGCAAGGGTGGGCTTGGGGGCGAAGGGCACAGGTGGCAGGCGCAGCCTCCATGCTGCGTAGGACAGGGAGCTGTACCAGCCATCAGAGTCGGCTTCATCCTGACAAGCATCAGGCACTGTTTTGTCTTCTGCTGCGTCTCTGCTCAAAACTAATTTATTTTATAAAAAGATTTTTTAAAATTAGTTTTGTTGTTTGTAAGCGAGCCAAAGCTGTTCGTGTGAGGGGGAGAGAAGCCGGAGGTGTTCCACACCAATTATAATGGTGGTGGTTGTTTTTTTAACAGAGTTTTCCTTCTAAACTCTCCATGCTTGGTCTGGGCGTGGGAGGGAACGAATGTCACTGCGGTTCTTTGTGTGAAGAGACGTGCAGGAACCCCAGAGTCAGAACGCTCCCAAGTGGCTCACGCAGAGGGGGACTGTGGTGCTTGTTTGGGGTTGGGCGGGTGAGGGCTGTACCACTTTTGTGCTCTTCCCAGTGCCTGGCAGCTAGTAGGAGCATCCTGCCTCAGAATCATAGAATTGGGGAGTTGGAAAGGACCCCAAGAGTCATCTAGTCCAGTCCCCTGTAATGCAGGAATCACAGGTAAATAATCCCTGACAAGTGGCCTTTCAGCCTCTGCTTAAAAACCTCCAAGGAAGGAGAGTCCACCACCTTCTGAGGGAGTCTGTTCCACTGTCCAATAGCTCTTGCCCTCAGAAAGTTCTTCCTAATGCTTAGTCGGAATTTCCTTTCTTGTAACTTGAATCTGTTGGTTTGGGTCCCAGCTTCCAGAGCAGCAGAAAACAAGCTTTCTCCCTCTTCCATGGGGTAGCCCTTGAGTTATTTGAAGATGGCTCTCATATCGTTTTGCCCAGACGCTGAGGTCCAGCACTGAGGGCCTTCTGGCAGTTCCCTCACTGCGAGAAGCAAAGCTACAGGGAACCAGGCAGAGGGCCTTCTCAGTAGTGAAGCCCGCCGTGGGGAACGCCCTCCCATCAGATGTCAAAGAGATAAACAACTACCTGACATTTAGAAGACATCTGAAGGCTGTTCAGGGAAGTTTTTAATGTGTGACATTTTAATGTATTTTTAATCTTTGTTGGAAGCTGCCCAGAGTGGCTGGGGAAACCCAGTCAGATGGACGGGGTACAAATAATAAATTATTATTATCATCATCATCATCATCATCATATCTCCTCTCAGTCTCCTCTTTTCCAGCCCAAACATACCCAGCTCCTTCAAGCGCTCCTCATCAGGCTTGACCATCTTGGTTGCCCTCCTCTGCACACCCCCCCGCTTGTCAACATCCTTCCTAAATTGTGGTGTCCAGAACTGGACACTGGACTCCAGGTGTGGTCTGACCAAGGCGGAATGCCGTTGTCCCTCCTGCCTGGGGACATGCCATATGCTGACAGCTTTCCCAATGGTCTCATCATGGAAGGGAAGGCCATCGATGGCTTCTGACCACGATGGCTGAGAGGCAGCGAGGCTTCGGACTCCCCGTTTCTGGGGACCAAAGGAGGCGAGACGACTCGTGCACTCAGATCCTACTTGCTGTTTTCCCACAGGCAACTAAGTGTTCAACCACGATGAGAACAAGGTGCTGGACTGGATGGGCCTTTGGCCTGATCCTGAAGGCTCTTACGTTCTTATCCTCAGCATGAAGTGATGGGAAGCAGCTGCCCCTTCCTGCATTTCCAGCAGTGAGAGAGGGGGTGAAGAATGCCTTGTGTTCCCGCCACGTCTGAGCTCTGTGCCTTTCTGTCTTTGCAGACTTCGTTTTACGGAAGGTTTAGACACTTCTTGGACATCATTGACCCCCGCACCCTCTTTGTCACTGAGGTAATGTGTGAGCGTGCGTGCGTGAGTTTGCTGGGTAGTTCTCTGGCTTTGTCTTCAAAATGATGATGGTGATTCATTTCATTTCTGTACTACTTTATATTTTTAATTTAAAAAATCCCAAAGCAGTTTACAACCCACATTAAAACATGAAATAAAACAATCTAGCGCAAAACGTTACTGAAGAAAGTCACATATAAGGTATGCATCAAAGCAACGTATTTAACAAGAAACTAAAACTTTATCTTAAAGATTTCAAAATGACACTTTACGAAGGAAATCAACTATAGAATGCACGTTTAACGTAGCAAAATTAATAAAAGATAAATCTTAAACATTTCAAGGGAGAACATTGCTGTAGGAATTCAAACATAAAATGCACATTTAAAACAGCATAATTAGCAAGAGAATCAAATATGTTCTGAAGCACGGAACAGGATGCTTCCATGTTCCTAGGAAATCATATGTTTTAACTATGAGCTCTGATGCCTGGCCTTGCAGAATCGACATGGAGGGAGCTCTGTGCAGGTGCCAGGAGCTATGTGGGGAGACACTCCAAGATGTGCAGAAGAACTAAACTAAACTAAACAAAAACCTGGGAAACCCCAAAAGGGTACCAGTAAGAACTGGGCACGCTTATGCCAGCTGTTTGAGGAGAAACCAGGCTGGAAGGGGAACAGGCGGGGTGTGTGTGGGTGTGTGGGTGTGAATCCTGGAAGAGTCCATTGTTGTCTGGAACCTTGAGCAGGAGCGACTCCACCACATGGTAACTCTTGTTGCTCTTGTTGTTCTTACATTTTATTACCTGCCCTTCACCTTAAGGACCCAGGGCGGGTTATAACAATTGAAACCCAACATTAATGTTGTTGTCATCCCATCTCGGGAGACAATGGAGGAGTCCGTCTTTGGGGGTGAGGTCAAACCATTGCAGGTTGCAGCCCTTGCTGTGGCTGTAGAGACCGCTATGGGACAGACATGTTTTGTTGCATCTGGGGCAGAGGAAGGCAACCGCTTGGGCTGCTGCAGTTTCTTCTCTCTGGGCTCCTCCCAGCGGTCATTTCTCTTCTGGTCACTGCTGTGGATGCAGGATCTGACTGGCTTCAGGTGTTGTGGTCATCTGAAACACAATATTACACAACATGAAAAACAATATGACATAAATGCACCAAAATAACGTGGGTCCTAAAAATATACACCTCAAGTATATATTGAAGAGAGTGAAGAGATGCATATTCAGCATCCTTTGGAAGCTGTGCAATGAAGGTACCAGGGACACCTCTGTGGGGAGGGAGTCCCACAGTTCAGGGGCCACCACAGAGAAGGCCCTCTCCACCCTGGTCACCCTCCCCAACCTCTGAAGGCAGAGGAACAACCTCTGAGAGGGTCTGTAGGGAAGGAGGCGGTCTTCCAGGTATTTGGGGCCTGAGCCATTTAGGGCTTTGAACACCAACATGAGTACCTTGAATTGGTCTCGGGTATAAGCAGGCAGCCCAGGCAGCTGTTTTAAAGCAGGGGTGACGTGACATCTAAATGGAAGCCCCGCCAGTCATCTGTCTGCTGCATTTGGGACAAGGTGGAAGTTTTTGAGTCGTCTTCAAGGGCAGCACCACGTAGAATGTGTTGCGGTATTCCAGTCAGGAAGTTACCAGATCATGTACGTTTCTGAGCACAATTCAAAGTGCTGGTGTTGACCTTTAAAGCCCTAAATGGCCTCGGTCCAGTATACCTGAAGGAGCGTCTCCACCCCCATCATTCAGCCCGGACACTGAGGTCCAGCACCGAGGGCCTTCTGGCGGTTTCCTCATTGCGAGAAGCCAAGTTACAGGGAACCAGGCAGAGGGCCTTCTCGGTGGTGGCACCGCCCTTTGGAACGCCCTCCCACCAGATGTCAAAGAGAACAACAACTACCAGACTTTTAGAAGACATCTGAAAGCAGCCCTGTTTAGGGAAGTTTTTAATGTTTGATGCTGTATTGTTTTTAATATTCAGTTGGAAGCTGCCCAGAGTGGCTGGGGAAACCCAGCCAGATGGGCGGGGTATAAATAATAAAGTATTAGTAGTAGTAGTAGTAGTAGTAGTACAGTGGGCGAGGAAGCATCTCTGTCTAAAAGTGAGCAAACCAGTTGGAGCAGGAAAAAGGCCACTCCGAACCCCCTGCGCCTCCAGGGACTGCGTTGCATCTTCTTCAGCGAAAGTTCTTACTAGGAGTGTGCACTTCGTGTTGGGAGATAGCATAAATCATAGAGGCCTTCCTGGGTGAGAAACTTGCCAAGTTACAGACATATAGGTGCCTTTTTTGCTGGGTGCCTTTAAAAGGAGAGTGGGCGGGGGGACGGGACTTAAAGGGACTTGCTTCCCTCCCTTTTGTGGGCAACAAAAGAAAATGCAAACAAGAAAGAAAGAAAGAAAGAAAGAGCCTGCAACATTTCAGAAGGATGCGGGCAAGGGCAAATAAGTTATGGTGAATGAAATAAGAAGCTTCAGGCCTGTGTTGTGCTCAGTTGGCACGAAATGTTGCAGAGACCAGGTGCAAAGCTGACTTGACAGGCATGGCTGTGTAGGTAGGCGACACGGAGGCAGAATGACCTGAGTGGCCTGCGCTTTCCAGGGAAGAGCCGCAAGAAGAAGTAGGAGGACAGACAAGAGCAAGGCGGTACAGAAGCCCAGCGTCCCCATCAAGGGAAGTCATCATGCTAGTCTGTTCTGCCTTGGTCAGACCACGCCTGGAGTCCCGTGTCCAGTTCTGGGTGCCACAAGCAGGAATGTGTGCGGAGGAGGGCAGCCAAGAGAACCAAGGGTCCAAAAGGCAAGCCTTATGAGGAGCGCTTGAAGGGGCTGGGTATGCTTAGCCTGGAGAAGAGGAGACTGAGAGGAGAGAGGATACTTAGAGGGCTGTCACATGGAAGAAGGAACACACTTGTTTTCTCCTTCTCTGGATGGTAGGACTCAGAACCTACAAGGAAGGAGATTCTGACTCAACATCAGGGAGAACTTACTGACGGCTGTTCAACAGTGAAACTGCCTCCCTTGGGGGGTTATGGACTATTCTTCCTTGGAGCCTTTTAAGCAGAAGTTGGGTGGCCATCTGTCTGGAATGCTTTAGCTGAGGGGGTTGGACTAGATGACCCATGGAGTCCCTTCCAACTTTCTATGATTCTGCGATACGTCACTGCAACATCCCTTCCTCCAAGCTCTGTGACTGCAGAGCCCTGGCAAAATCATGCCCCCGATTAGAAGCTAGACCTGCCGCTCACAATAGCTGTCTCTCTCCCCACCCTGGTTTCTTCCTTCTATGGCAAGCTTTGGGAGAAATGTTTCAGTATTTGTGGACACACTTCTTAACAGAGTTTTCTCAATGTTTGGCTCTCTGAGGAGTCCCCTCCACTTATTAACCAGCCTGTGAAGGTTAGACTGAGCGACACCAGCCATGCCACCAACTGAGCTTCAGGGCTGGAGTGGGGCTTGAACCCTGGTCCTCACCCAATGCCCTTAACCACTACCCCGCTCTGGCTCTCGTGCAAGTCGCCCTCCTGCTCAGATTCAGTATTTTGCAGCTCTATCTGCCCCTCTTCTGCCTGAGCAGCTGCCTCTTTGAAGCAAGCATCCCAGAGCCTTTTCTTGCGCAGACAATTTGGCTCCTGAACTGACCATTTACTTTATGAGCGTATTAGAGTCCAATTCTCTGCGTGCCAGGTTGAGAACATCCCCGGCAGGGATTTTATTTGTGCTTCTTCCACAATTGATTGGCTTAATTTGAGAGCAGGCAGCTAAGATGGATAGGATGGGTTCCTGCGAACCTCTTTGGGCACCCGCCCGAGAGAACTGCAGCGGAGAAAACTGCTGTTCGGAGGGTTTAATACTGGTGATGATAGCTTCGTTTATGAAACACAAGCTGCAGTGAAATTTGTAATCAATTTTCAGGGATGCGCGCCGAAGGCGAGACGTGCTGTAGCAGGGACGCCTTGGCTTGGCCTGAGAACTGCATGAGCCTTCAGGAAGGTGAATGGGAGCAGGGGAAGGGATCCTCTCCCAGCCAAGGCAAATGCAGCTCCAAACCCCACACGGATCCGTTTGGGGTGAGCCCCTTGTGTGGCAACGTTTTATATGTAGGGCTGCCTCAGAGGACGGTTCGGAAAATTTCACTGGTGCAGAATTGAGCAGCCAGGTTGCTCCCTGGGGCAAGATGGCTTGAGCATCTTATAGTCCGACTGCACCGGCTGCCAATTAGTTTCCGGGTCCAATTCAAAGTGCTGGTTTTGAACTATAAAGCCTTACATGGCTCAGGACTGCAATAACCTAAGGACTGCCTCTCTCCGTATGAACCTGCCTGGGTCCCGTGATCGTTTTCTCAGGCCCATCTTCAAGAGACTCTTCTGTGAGAGGTCCAGAGGGTGGCAACATGAGAACAGGGCCTTTTCTGCAGTGGCTCCCTGCTTGTGGACCGCTCTCCCCAGGAAATGCGGCAGTTGCCTTCATTACACACCTTAAAGTGCCAGGCCAGCCCGAGAGCCACTGTTGGTCGGAAGAGACAGTAGTGGCGCTCGAATCCTGCTTGTGGGCTTGCAGAAAAGGCCTCTGGTTGGTCCCTCGGAGGACAGAATGCTGGCCTAGATGGGCTGTTGGCCTGACCCAGCAGGCTCTTCTTGTGTTCTTACATGGTATGGCTAAGCTAGATGACCCCACCAGAAGGCAGCCGCCTAGGTTTCTTTGCACTCTTTGCAAACTGGTGACATCTGGCCAGGCAGCAAGAGGCCCTTGCCCACTCTCCTTTCATTAGAAGAGCGCTGCACTGGGGTTTGGGTTTGCCTTCAAGACAGCTCCCTTGCAGAGTTGCTTCCTCCCGTTGGGAGAGAGTGGGCCACTCTGCCTTCTAAGAAGGATCTGCCTCTGTGACTGGAGAATGCTGTGCTTTTATGCATTTTTGCCATATGCTTTGGGGAGGTTTGTGTGTCCCATGCGGTTCAGGGGGGTGGGAGTTCAGGGGGCACGTGCAGCTGGGAGGCAGGACATTGACCATCCACCTCCCTCCCAAGGTGGGCTTGCGTGCTGCTCTGCTCTGCACCCGTGCCGAGACAAAGGGGCCGATCCTTTCTGCTGCTTTGACATTTCCCCCATCCTGGTGTTAACGTGACTTAAGAGCTTTAGCACTTAACTAGCACTTTACATCTCCAAGGTGCTGCTTAATTAATCCTCACTGTGAGGTAGGCACTAAGTATTACATTATGTTATAATTGCACTTTGCAGTGAGTAAACTGACAAAAATTAAGGAGAAGTGCCTCGCCCAAGAACTGAGGCGGCAGCGACTGCAGAGCTGGAAGGAGAGGATTCCCCCTCGCTGCTCAGCCGCTTTCTCCTTCCTGGTACTCTGTGGCTGTGCAGGCGTTCCCGTTCTGGAGGGCTTGTTCTACAGCGAGTGAAGGAAATAATGGCCAGGAGAAGAAAGCCAGGAACCAGGGAGAAATGGCTGGTGGTCTCCATTGCACATTACATGTGGAAAGCAGATTGCAGTTCTCCTTCTTCCATGTAGGGTGGGGGAATGGAGACGCTGCAGGGGTTCTTGGACTCCAAATCCCAACAGGCCAGCAGCCAGTATGGCCAGTGGTAAGTAAGCAAGGATGTAGTGATGTATGGAAGTGAGAGCTGGACCATCAAGAAGGCTGATCGCCGAAGAATGGATGCTTTTGAATTCTGGTGCTGGAGGAGACTCTTGAGAGTCCCATGGACTGCAAGAAGATCCAACCTATCCATTCTGAAGGAAATCAGCCCTGAGTGCTCACTGGAAGGACAGATCCTGAAGCTGAGGCTCCAAGACTTTGGCCACCTCATGAGAAGAGAAGACTCTCTGGAAAAGACCCTGATGCTGGGAAGGATGGAGGGCACAAGGAGAAGGGGACGACAGAGGGCGAGATGGTGGGACAGTGTTCTCGAAGCTACCAGCATGAGTTTGACCAAACTGCGGGAGGCAGTGGAAGACAGGAGGGCCTGGCGTGCTCTGGTCCAGGGGGTCACGAAGAGTCGGACACGACTAAACGACTCAACAACAACAACAAAGCAAGGATGGGAAATGTAGTCTAGCAATGTATGGGGCCCACCCCACCGGTTCCCTACCCCTGATGTCGTGTAGGCTGGAAAAACCACAAAGAGCCCTGTGGCACCCAGGAGACACGTTGGCAATGGTGTAAGGGTTTCCAGACTGGAACCCATCTCTGTCTCACGTCACGCCAGGCTTCTGATGAAGCAGATTCTTGCAGCAGCAGCAACAGCGTTGGCCGTTGTCAGTTTTCTGATCTGGCCACGAGACTCTTGTTTGGGGTCAAGCACATTTCTTACAGCACAAGACCTCCAGGGACCAGAGCCCCCTTCGTGGGGTGGCTCATTTGGCAGTTCTGTGTACCCACGTCGGTGCAGAGAGAGAAATCATGGAAGGTCAGGTGAAAACGCAGAGCAAAAAACAAGGAGCCCGGGCTGGACTACATCAAAGCTTGACTGCATGCAAAGTGAGCCTGGAGTCACGATTCAGCTCAGGTGACCAGAGATACTTGTGCGCTGACTAGGCTTTCTGTGGGCAAATGGCTCCTTTGCAAGGTCGTAAGTGGGATGTGAAGAGGTTTGAAGGGCTGCTGAAGAAAGATAAAGACGCACCAGCGAAGGATTTGTTTGCTTAGAAACAAATGTGCTTATTTATTTTGTAGTTTACCTGACACGGGGCAATTCCCCGCGGAACTTGCAATCAAGTTTGGAAACCGACCAAATTGTTAAAACGTCCAACAATAAAACCAATTCCATACCTGAAAAAGCACCAGCTTTCATCGGGGGAAAGTGCGCTGTTCATGTGGCAGCCTTTTCTGCACATTGGCTTGGCAGGACTTTTGAGCAAATGTGAATCAGAATGGGATGCAAATCTCACTGAAAGTTGTTCTCTTTTGCGGCCCGTGGTGGGTTTTTTCTTAAGTAAATGGAAGGGTTTGGGGAGCGTTCATGTACCAGACAAAGAAGCAGGTCTCTGCACCCATGCACATTTGCTGGAGCTGCGTGCAGATTGGACCCAGATCTGAAGGCACGCATCATCTATCCACATTGTATTGCTTTGAGCAGGGTGTTTATCTGGATGAATTGGGCTGTGTGTGCAATTTCAAAGAATCAGAGAATCGTAGATTTGGGAAGAACCCCAAGGCCTATTTAGTAAAAACCCCTGCAATGCAGGAATCTCAACCAGAGCATCCATCTCAGAGCCATCAAGCAATCGGTCCAACGGTAGTTGGATGGAGATGCCCTTTCATACACCAAACATTTAATTCCAAAGATCTCCCAAGGAGCAGCTCTGTGTGGGAGCTGTTTGGGGTTGTGCCGCCAGAGGGGATTCTGGACTAGAGGTACCAGATTCCTGGCTTGGTCTGCCTGCCCCTGCGACCTTCTCCCGGGGGCTAAGTCCTCCTTCCCCTCCCTCTCAGCTATGGAATCCCTGACAGATGCATAAATGAATCTGCAACTGCCCTCTTTCTCCCTTGTCGCCCTGGCAGTGCAAAACTTCCAACTTTCTGAACTGATCAAGTTCCCTGGCGCAGGCGGAAGCCGTGCCCACGTCCTGGCAGGTGTGAGACTGCAGGGCTTAAAATTAGGCCTTTAATTGCTTGTAATGAAACTCTGTTGGGGTAGCTGAGGAGATCAGCGGATATTTTTGCGAAGCTAATTTGGTCCATGTGACATTTCCTTGGACAGATTGCTGCTAACGCACAGCAGGGACTGTGGCGGCTGAGCCAGCCGAGAGCAGAAGGGAACAGGATGTGTCTTCGCTTGGTCTTCTCAGACAATCCCTCTGGACCACTGGCCTGAGCATGGCAGGCACTGGAGAAGTCTGATGCCGTTTGCACAGGGGAGCCTCTTGCCTGCTGCGTGTGGGCCTCGTAGGATCATGGCCTCAAGTGGGTTCCCTTTGCCTCCCCTGGATGCTGGCCTCTGGCTCCCCCTCTCTCTCAGGGCCCCTGGAGGTGCTTATTTCGCAGGGGCCCTCCAGTGGCACACTTACCGTATTTTTCGCTCTATAAGACGCACCAGACCACAAGACGCACCTAGTTTTTGGAGGAGGAAAACAAGAAAAAAAATATTCTGAATCTCAGAAGCCAGAACAGCAAGAGGGATCGCTGTGCAGTGAAAGCAGCAATCTCTCTTGCTGTTCTGGCTTCTGGGATAGCTGCGCAAGCCTGCATTCGCTCCATAAGACGCACACATTTCCCCTTACTTTTTAGGAGGGAAAAAGTGAGTCTTATAGAGCAAAAAATACGGTACTTTTATTTACTGTATTTTTCGCTCCATAAGACACACTTTTTTCCTCCTAAAAAGTAAGGGGAGATGTCTGTGCGTCTTATGGAGTGAATGTGTGGTCAATCACTGGCTCCCTTTCTGGCCCAGGCCTCCATTGTTGAATGTTCTGCAGACGGAGGCTGTTTGTTTCCCCAGCGATATGTGACTGGCTGATTAGATTATCTGTCTGGAAACTGTAGAAACTGCTCCCTTTCCTTTCCTAATAGAAGCTGCAGAACTGTGAGTTGAACCCCATAAAAACAGGGTTTTTTCCCTTTGCAAAGTAAGCTCAACAACTTTGAGCTGATCCTCAAAAAAGGGGCTTTTCCCCTTTGCAAAAGAAGCTGCACAACTGTGAGCTGATCTCCCCAAAACGGGGCTTTCCCCCCTTTCCTCCTCTAAAAACTAGGTGCGTCTTATGGTCAGGTACGTCTTATGGAGCAAAAAATACGGTATTTATTGAATTTATATACTGCCCTATACCCGCAGGTCTCAGGGTGGTTCACAGGTCCTACACTACACAGTTGCTCATAGTCCCTAAATTTATTAAGAGAAAGGCTACTTCAGTGCAATCCTATGAATTTCTACTAAGTCCCACTTAGTTCAATGAGTCTCTCCCCAGGTGTAGGATTGCAGCCTAAGCCGACTGCTTAAAGTCTCTTAATGTACAAAAGTTGGGTATGTAGTAAAAAAACCACAATGCTATTACGGTACAAGTTAGCCGAGCAAAGAGCTGTCATTCACTAAAATAAAACAGAATAAGACAATCAATTAAAGCATTTCAGAAATACTGACCTTCGGGAATCTAGCTAAAGTTGAATTTATCCTGGAACCTAGTTAGGAAGTACAAGAGCCCAGACAATTTTAAGGTAGATTTCAACTGATAACATTTGGTGCCCTGTGTTTTTAAAACACATACAAAATAAGACTTGTTAAAATACCCGTTCTGTATTTGTAAGAAGCTGGTCGCTTTGGGAGGGGCCACCTGCACTTTGGAACTCCCTGCCACTTGATATGCTCTACTCTTTACGGTGCCTGCTAAAACATTCTTGTTTAGACAAGGCTTTCCGGATGCTTAGTAATCTGGTGTGAATTTTAACCTGTTTTAGTATTTTAACTTTTTGAATTATGGTGTTGGAGGAGACTCTTGAGAGTCCCATGGACTGCAAGAAGATCCAACCTCTCCATTCTGAAGGAAATCAGCCCTAAGTGCTCACTGGAAGGAAGCTGAGGCTCCAAGACTTTGGCCACCTCATGAGAAGAGAAGACTCCCTGGAAAAGACGCTGATGTTGGGAAAGATGGAGGGCACAAGGAGAAGGGGCGACAGAGGACGAGATGGTGGGACAGTGTTCTCGAAGCTGCCAGCATGAGTTTGACCAAACTGCTGGAGGCAGTGGAAGACAGGAGGGCCTGGCGTGCTCTGGTCCAGGGGGTCACAAAGAGTCGGACACAACTAAATGACTAAACAACAAGTATTTTAACTTTTTTATGTTTGCTGTAATTTTTAATTGATTTTGTTGTTTTATCTTCTCGTAAACTGCTTTGAGGGTTGGGTTTTTTGGTTTTCTTACAATCTAGCGGTATATAAATTTTATGCAATAAATAAGTAAATAAATAATGTGGTGAAGACACACACAGTTCCACAAAGGAGCCTGGTTATGGGGATGCTGGCAGCTTCTCCTTTCCATCGGTGAAAGGAGGCGAGGTGCTTGGCTGTGGAGAAAGAGTCGTCCGCAGCAGAGGCCTGGGAGGCTCCCGGAGGGGCCTGGCAGCTCTGATGCAGCCCCCAGACCACCTGCGGGGAGAGAAGAGGGTGAAGAAAGCCCAGCACCTCCTTTCCATTGAAGGGGGAGCCCTGCTGCTGGCGAACATCGCGTCCTCGCGGCTGCTGGCACTGCCAGAACCTGGACCCCATGCCAAAAGCAGCCCCCGGAAGTGGGAGCCCCCGCTGCTTCTTTTCAGCTCCGTCCTCTGCTGAACCTTCTCTGGTCTGGACTGGTCCTTTTTGTCCGTTCGGGTTTTATTTTTGACTCTCTGGTGCCAAAGAAGGGATAAGGTAACGTACAAACGTTTGAAGCAGAGATTGGACATGGTTTGCATGTGCCATTTGTCCTATTCAGAACTATTGGCTTTGGCCAGGGTTGTTGTTAACAGCGACGACAAAGGATTCCTCAGTTAAGGTGGATGGGGAGGGGGGACAGAGGACAGGGCCATTCATTTATTTGTAAACCCCCCCCCCCCATGATTCCATTCAGAGGAGCACAGTGTGCCATGTAGATCCCTTGCAAAGAAGAACAACTCCTGCTAGGTAATCCCAGCATTGAAAACATACCAGCAGCAAGTGCAAAGAGCTCCCCGAATGCTAAGTAGACCTTTCTTGTTTGCTTTGCTTTTTGTGTGGAACTGGGTCACTTCCCTCGGCTCCTTAGTTACCGTCCACTCACTTGCCTCTCTCTCTGCACGGGCGCCAGAAGGATTGTCAGTCCTTCAAAATCTAGGTGTGTGTTGGGGCAGGCTTCTGGCTTTCCTCCTCTAGATCGTGGGTCAACTGGTCTCTTTCACTCCCTTTTATTTTATTGCAAACTTTTCCATGCCTTTTTTTAAAAGGTATTTTGTCTCGGGAGCTGCATCTGGTTTAAATGGGAGGAAAATAATCTCGTTTTCGTGGCAGGGAAGGAAAGGGCCAGCAAGGTTTTCAGCTCCATCCCAACCCTCCCTCCTTGCGAAAATTAAAATCCAGATTTGCTACTGACGTTTCTCCTGGAAGGAAGCAACCACACTGTAGTTTATCTTGGTTAAACAGGCCGGGTCCACAACAAGCATGGGGCAGGGAGGAGCCTCCCTTTCTGAGGGGGTGTGGAGGATGCTAGCGGTGTGCCCAGGCAGCCTCCTTGCCTGACCCTCCCCTCTGCGTGTGCTTGGGTGCAAATTGGAGGTTTCTCTGGCGACTGCTGTCCAGCGGCCTTGGAGGTGATGCTCTCCCCATGCTCAGCAGTCAGTTCCAAGCCCTGAACCTGATCCAGCTCCCAACTGGGAGCCTGCAACCTCCAACTCAGTGCCCAGATCACTGCTGCATCCAGGGGGTCCCAATAGTGCCCCCTCTGCCCTTCTTGCTCTTGACTGTTGTGGCTGCCTTTCAGGAACTTGTCTGCAGAGGCAGAGCCTGTTATTTGGAGTGCCGAAGAAGCATTGCTTAATTCCCTCCTGCATTCCTTCTAGGAAGCTGATCTCCCCGGCCGGCACGGAACTGGAATATTGCTGTATGTCTGGGTACAATGTGCTTGGCATGTCACTTCTGCGGATTAGTCTTCGATTAGTCTTCCTTCAAAGAAAGGCTCAACAGCTTGCGGTGCTAATCTCTGAAGGATTTGCCCCCAAGGATGTGCTGGCCTCGGAAGGCAAGAGGACTCTCGGAGGAGTCTGTCTTTGCCGCAAACAGGGTGGAACGGGTTCCTGATGCCCACGTGCCCTTCTTGCCCTAGCCCCTCACCCCAGACTTGCTTTGGTGTGGGAACCCCGTTCTGGAGGCTAGCGAGCGTTGCATTGCAGGGGGTTGGAGTAGATGACCCCGGGAGTCCCTTCCAACTCTATGATTCTGTGCTTCTTGTGGGCAGAGTGACATCGCACAGGACCAAAGGTTCGCTTAGGAGGCGCCAGAGGGAGGCGGAAACGGCAACCAGCGTGTGGCTTCTGGCTCTTGCCAGAAGAACTATACAACTTGTAGAAGACATCTGAAGGCAGCCCTGTATCAGGAAGTTTTTAATGTTTGATGCTTTATTCTGTTTTAATAAAAATAATAATAAATTTTTATTTATACCCCGCCCTCCCCAGCCAAGACTGGGCTCAGGGCGGCTAACACCAGATATAAAACAATTGATTAAAATGCAACTTAAAAACAAGATTAAGTACAACATTAAAATGCAGCCTCAGTTCGGTAGAAACTCAAATAAAAAACTTTTTGGGGAATGAAAACGTCAAGTCTTCACCAAGGCCAACTATCCAGACTGGTCCTACGTGGGCCAGAAAAAGCCAGGGAAGTCCCCAAATAGGAGTTCCATCACAGAAGGAGAAAGGAAAGAGGGGAAGGGGATCAAGTGGATTCCAAGCCAAAGGCCAGGCAGAACAACTCTGTCTTACAGGCTCTGCGGAAAGAAATCAGATCCTGCAGGGCCCTGGTCTCATGGGGCAGAGCGTTCCACCAGGCCGGGTCCAGTGTTGAAAAGGCCCTGCCTCTGGTTGAGGCTAGTCTGACTTCCTTAGGGCCCGGGACCTCTAGGGTGTTGCTATATATGGACCTTAAGGTCCTCTGTGGGGCATACAGGGAGAGGTGGTCCCGTAGGTACGAGGGTCCTAGGCTGTGATATTTTAGATATTCTGTCAGCTGCCCAGAGTGGCTGGGGAAACCCAGCTAGATGGGCGGGGTATAAACATAAATAAATGTTGTTGTTGTTGTTGTTGCCAGCTTCCCTGGAATGCTCTGGCTCTTGGCATGAAAACTCTGCCTTGCTCAAAGGTCCAGCAAGGCTTGGATTCTGGGCTAACGCTTAATGGCGCCCGTACGCAGTGAGCAAGGTGCCATAAGGACACTGGCCCTTTTCATGGGACGGAATGACCTGTGGTCTCCTGGCTGCCACCTCTTTGCTCTTCCAAGGCACGCTTTGGGTGTCCAGGTGAGCCGGTCAGCGTAGACCAAGGGAAGCTTTCCTACGACTCCCATCACCCTGGATCATGGCCAGCTCTTCCTATGTTCTTTCATTTGAAAGTCCACCAAAGGGCCAAAGCACAGTGGCAGACCACAGGCGCAGGGTACCGAGGGACCATTGCTCTGACTTGGTGTAAACTAACGTCCTGTGTTCAGAATCTCAATTTTTCTATAACTAGCTTTCAGGAGGACGTGGTAGCACTAGATGCATTGCATTTTATCGTTTTGGTCTGATGAAAAGCCAGCAGCGAATGTCTTAGGTTAGTGAGCGCCCAGGCGGGCAGCGCGTTGGCTGGGTGGGGAGTTCATTAGCTCTCTAAAAAGCCCCCTCTCTGCTGCACCTCCAGCTCTCAGGTTGGCGCCCTTTCCTGCAGTTTCCCAAGCAAACTGCAAAGCTGCCTTTGATGCTGCAATGAAAAAGGAAGAAAGAGATCTCCGTGCAATTATTGGGAGCCTGAGGAAGGAGCAAGCTGGGTGGCAAAACACGAAGAGAAGGTCTTCTCCTCCTCCTCCTCCTCCTCTTCCTCCTCCTCCTCCTCCTTCTCCTTCTGTGGGGCTCCAGTAGCCAAAACCTTTGGAGCCAACTGGATTCTTTTTCCTAAAAGGCCTTTTCTTCAAAACTTGCCGTAAACTTTGATAAAGTGACAGCAGTGTTCAAACTTGAGCTTTTGTGTTGCATCATTTTTTTACATTTAGCATAATTCTTCAGTGGGAATTGTTCAGTTATAAATCCATTGCTGCGAGCTGCCCCAAGTGCTGACTGAGGCCAGGAATGCATTCTTACTCTATTTAATTCAAGAAGAACCACTTTGAATCTGGCTGGATGAAGGAGAGGAGGGGACAGAAGGACTTCTCAGGAGATCACGTTGCCCACCTGCTACCCTTGAGGCTGTCAGGGCAGACGGACCTCTTGATAATTGTATATGACCGCGTGGCATTTCCCCCACGGAAACCAGACAGGCACCTGACAGGCCTGAAGTTGCTTCACTTGCTGAAAATGGATTGGTTTCGCCAAGCATTTTTAGCTCATTAATTTGATTCAGTGTTGGTCGTTTCTTCCATATGTTATGATTCTAGAATTTTAAGACTTTAAAGTTTTATGATGTTTTAATGATTTTACTGCATTTCACCTTGATTTTTTTAATGAGTTGGTTTATTAAGATTCTTCTAAACTAACAGACAGACAAATGAGAATACTTGGGTAGTTTTGCACAACTTGCGTAATTTCTTCCAATAACAGAACTTTTATTGCTGTAAAACATTAATCTAATATTCTTTGACCTGAGGGAGATTTTTCAGGAACTGTGTAACTGAGGTCTTCCTTGGGCCTGGGGGTGATTTCAGTCTCTTAAACTGGCTCCCTCCACTCCCATGCTTTCCCCCAAAGGGCTTCCTGTGCTGCCAGTCCAGCTCTTTTGCACCTGCAGGATGAGCTGGCATTTCCAGGGTCCCCTTTCCTAGTCCACCTGGCTGCAGAGAACATCCTGCCTGTGAGATGGCCAAAGCCACAACTAGACCTTGAGGACAGACAACTCGCAGTTTTAAAATTCAGCTAAGTGACTATGCTGACTTGGCCATTTGGTGCCCCTGGGTAGTTTCTTGACACCTGGTGTGAGCTGTAGCCCCCCCCCCTTTGTGGAATAGTTGCTGCTAACTCTCCCCTCTGCTTGTTGTTTGTGTGCAGAGTCGTCTTAAAGAAGCTGTGCAGTTGCTGGAGGATTATAAACATGGGACTCTGCCCCCAGGAGTCACCAACAAAGAGGTAACCGATGTGCATGAATCTTTGTACAAGCTTTGCATAAGCATAAGAACCTACTGATCTGCTGCTATAAGTTCCATGGCCAAAATGTGGTCTGCGCTCTACAGGCGCGTCTGCATCTTCGAGGGTCAGGTGCACATCGGATGTGCTCCCTTCTGCATCGGAAACCCATAATTTAGATCAAGACAAAGATGCATCTAGCCTAGAGCCAAATATTCTCCTCTGTGCGTTCTGATATTGAATAGTTTCTGTATCCTGCTTCACACATCACTCTAAGCCCTGTGGTATGTTTAACCCAGCCTAGAAGGCCAACCATGGTTTGTTTCCCGACAAAAACCACATTGTGAAGCCATGGTTTGTTGATTTCTGGACCATGGCTTGTTTTCACTACTGCTTAGCATTGTATCTGAAGCAAACAACCTTGCTTAACCATGGTTTGTTTGGCTACCCCAGATGCTCACCAAGCCACAAAGGTGCAAGGCAAAACATAGAAGAATCGTCCATGAGACAACATGTGGCTTGGGGAAGAAACCCTGGTTAAAACGGCACTATCTGTGTACGCATCCAGCCTCTGAATATTTGCCAGATATTAATTGGGTGTTTTAATATGTGATGTTCATTGATGCTGGACTTTAGTGTTTGAAATTTCACACTTTATTTGACAGCTGACATGCAGTGGTATTTAATGTTTTGACAGTGTTTGTCAGGTTATGAAGTTTCATTTTTGACAGCTGCCAGAATCCAAACAATCAAAAGATGCCAAGAAGTCTATAAAGCATTCGAGTTCTGAGTTCTGAGGTAAAGAAAACCAGATTCAAAATTTGATTTGAGCATTGGACATTTCTGGGGATCCCAAGTTTCTGCCAGATTTTGTTTCAGCGCCCTCACATGTAGCCCAATGCCCTTAGGAGCTTGACAGTCCCCAACACCTGGGAAATAGCAGTGCGCTGCCTCTGAATTTGGAGGCTCCATTTTTAGCTCTCATGACGGCCGGCCTTCGTAAGCCTTTCCTCCATTGCTCTGCTTAATCCTCTTGAAACCAGTGCTCACCCTCATCTCTTGTGGCAGAGAACCATGGCATAGTTGTGTCCAGGGGTGTGAGCAAACCTGGCGCAAACACAACTTCACAATCGGAAGGGCCTATAATTTTTTCCACTGTGTACTGCCTGCCCCCTGTGCCCATCCCTATGGCGCCAGGGGTGCATGGTTTGGATTTCCATCCATGGGAAGTCTGGACATGACAAGTTGTTGCAGAGAGCATCTGGGAGGGGAGACACATCCTTTCACTTTGCCATGGCTGGGCTGGGATTTGAACTTGGGTTTCTTGTGTCCACAACCAACGCTTTGTCCAGTGACCCCCCCATTGGCTGTGACCACAGATGTTTTGGAGCAAAGTTATTTTCCTCTACAGGAGAGGCTCAAGCCCAAAGACTGACCTCCCCACTCCCCAATTCATCGTTCAGCCAGTTCAGGGTTCTTCACTACTGTGGCCAGGAAGGCCTCGTTCAGACATCTTTTGGACAACTGGGATAGAAAACGTTTGCACGAAAACCCTCTGCACCCTCCTGGGTGGGCATCACCACTGAATCGGCTGTGTAGAGGCAGCAGGTTTGCCCTTGTTCAGCCTAACCTACCTGGATGTTGGGAAGAGGCCTCTTTGTCCCAGAAACAAGGGCTACAGGAGCAAGGAAGAATTGGGGTGGGTGGGAAATGGAGACTTTGCCCGTGGGATGCGGGTGGCAGTTACGCGACGCCAGCTCTGCGCTTGGCGAGTGTCAAGGAGCACCGCCAGGAATGGTGCTGGGTGGCGGCTGTGAGCCAGTAGGCTGTGAGGGAAAGTGCCTTGCCGGCAGATGGGCTAATAAGTGTCTGGCATGTGTCAAAAGCGCAGAGCAGCTGGTGTTTGGGGAAGGCCCCATTGCAGGAGGGGTCTGCTGCTAGCGGGCATTGGTCCCTTTCTTCCACTTGCATCTCCCCCCCCCCCAATACCGCCAGATGACCCATCTGGCCTCTCCTGGTCCCGTGAAGGTGTGCACGGGGCCAGGTGGGCCACAGCACCACAGAGAGCGCACCGTGAGCAGTTTGTTCCCACAAGCGTTGGGAGTGCCCAGAGACCTTTGAGCGCCTGCCCTCGACTCTGCTCCCTTGGTTGGAGAGCGACCGCCTCCAAATGAGGCAGCCATTGAGCTCTTCTCTGGCCCTTCCTCTACCAGATGAGCTATTATGGGGATGTAACTGAGCAGAAGAACGCTGGGCTCCTTCAACTCTTTAGTCCATGATGATGATGACAATGACTTGATAGTCACTTTGTTACCCAAAGGTCTCTAAGAGACTTGCAGCACCTGTAAAAACATAAGCATAGACATAGTGTACTATTTTTAAAAAAATCATACAAAAGCTACCATGCATTAAAATGTTTTTACACTATGCAAAAACAGAACCACAGGAAGCTTAGGCAGCACACTACTAATGTGCAGAGCAAGGATCTGTTGCATTCTTCTTGTGGCTCCGTATAATGTGATGCACAGTAGCAGTGTTAAATAAATAAATGAAGTAATCCATCCACAGAACAGATCAAAACTTGGCGGCGGCGGGCAACTCAGCAACGGCGTGGAAGCAACTGTGGCAAACCTGCCACAGTCGTTTCTCCAGCTAGTTAGTCATTGCTACTGTAAAAGATGATCCGAAGTGCTTAGAAGGGATTGTTTGTGTCGCAAAAGTGCACTGTAGTTAAGTGTATTTGATTTGTTCTTAACTAGGGATGCTTGATTCTGTCTGTTCCCATCTCAGCAGCTCACATGGTTGCCGCCTCTGTGCTGAAATGCCTGGTGATGAGGCGGAGGGATAGAAGGGGCAGCAGGCAGCGTTTCTGAGTCTTCCCGTTTCTCAAAGTATGTGTCAGCAGCTCTGTCCTCAGCTGCCTGGAATTAGCCTAAAAAGTTTTTAAAGAGTGGCTGACCAGCCATTTGTCAGGGATTCTTTCGCTGTGATTCCTGGGTTGGAATCTACAATTCTTTGATTTGATGGCATTGCTCCCCCATGTCTTACCCAAGCCACCTGGGATGTGATGCTGGGGGCAAGGAGAGACTATTCTGGGCTGGGCAGCGCTACTGTCTTTGCATCCTGCTTACGGGGGCTTCCAGGACGCATCTGCTGGAGACACAGTTCTCAAACAGAGGGGCCCTTGGTCTGACCTGGCAGAAGATATCTGACTTCCCTCCTTGTATGCTGGTTCCTGGCTGCTATGGAGGGCTTGAGCATGCTTGGGCAGCCCTCTTCAGCGAGGCCAGGTTGGGATGTGGAGCTGTAGGACAGGCCCCACAGCTCATTAATGACAGAAATGAATGGGGGGAAACGCACCAGACTCCTCTGCTGTGGAACCAGTGATGAGTGTCCAGCGAACAGCTTGCTGAGGAAGAGGTGTTACCCAATTCCTCCGCTGAAGGCTGCTCATCGGAGCTCGTCCTTGTGTGCCGCTAATGATGGTAACATGCTGTCGGCGGCCATCGCCAAGGTTTCCCAGCACTGCGTGGGCTGCCGTGGGGAGGAGGAAGTCGGCAGGGCCTGGGCTGCCTTCGTGGCTGCGGGGGCAACTTCTCGGCTCTCCTGCTCAGTTCCAGCTTGTCGTGATCCCTGCTTAGCGGAGCATACAGAAAACGTGACGCTGCAGCCTCCACTAACCTGGCCCCTTCCAGGTTTTGGGGGCTGAATCTCCCATCGCTTGGAGTGTCAGGTGGCCATTTCTGAACCCAGGTAGCCTGATCAGTTTTGTCAACTGATGAGTAACCTCCAGGTTGGACTACTGTAGTGTTCCGTTTGTAGGGCTGCCCCTGAGGTTGACCCGGGTGGCGTGGCTAGAGCAAAATCCCTCTCTTGGCTGCTCCCTGGAGCAGACTCCACTACGCCTCTGCTGGAAGGATTGCACGGGGTGCCAATCTGCTGGACCTGGTGTACGGAGCCCCAGCTTGGGAGCACAGGTTACCTACTAAGTTAATTTGTTTGTGAAGCTTGAGAACTCAGAGGAAGCGCTGAATAGATGTCGCTCTTGTTTAAAGAGAGAGTGAGCAGAAAATAATGACAGCAGACTTTCAAACCTCCTACCAAACCTCCACGGTCCCCTCCTAGGAGTTTCCCCCTTCGTGGAGGAAGTTTGGAGCTTGTTTTCCAGCCTGCCCAAAGGACCCGCAAGATCAGAGGAGCCACCAAGCGTGGCATGTTGAGACATTCTGATAGAGAAGCCTGTGTCTGGATGGCACTAGCTGCCTAGGGCTAAGTTTCTAGGGCTCTCTGGCTTGCAGCTCAGCTTCTTGGCTCTGTGGAGATGCCTGTGAGGCTGGGAACAGGGTCCCTTCTCCCCCCAGTAATAATTTTGGGGGTATTCTCCTCTTCCTTTTGAAAGACAAGGAAGAGGCGACATGATAGAAAGCTTTTATCCCTCTCCCATAAGACTAGAACTCAGGGACAGCCAGTGAAGCTGAATGTCGGAAGCTTCAGGGCAGATAAAAGAAACGACTTCTTAATGCAGTGCATTGTTAAACTATGGAACTCCCTGCCCCAGGAGTTGCTCTTGTGCTGGAATCCTGCTTGGGGTTTTCCAAGAAGAGGCATTTGGCCACTGTGCAAACAGGAGGCTGGGCTTGAGGAGCCCTCTTTGGCCCGATCCAGGCTCTGTTCACCTTCTTATCATATTAACACTGCAGCCAGGGGACTTCCCCATATATTTTCCTGGTGATTAGCCTAGGCTGGTCACTTAGAGCAGGGGTCAGTAAGGTTTACCTCACCTGGGCCGGTTCACTCCAGCAGAGATCCCATCTGCGCGTGCGCCCGGAATTTCCGACGTCTGCGCAAGTGCAGATGCAATTTCTGGTGCCGCGGAAGCGAGTCCCCACACCGCGCTGTGCCAGTTTAGCGCAGCGAGCGGGGACTCGCTGAGCGGTCGGCTCGGTTTGGGGGCGGCTCGTGGGCCGGTTTAACGACCCCTGTGGGCCACTTGTGGCCCATGGGCCTTAGGTTGCTGACCCCTGATTTAGAGGGCCCCTTCCTGCCTCTTCTGTTGCAACACTCCAGTCTATGTAGGTGCAGGAAACTTCACAGCTTTTGGCTCACAGTTGTCAGATGAGGCATGTAGACAAATGTCCTTCCTCATTGAGGAGAGGGCCATTACCCCCAAGCTCTGCCTCCACAGCTGGAGAATCCTGCTTGGATCCTGCCTGCAGGTTTCCCTTGGGCACACCTGTTTGCAACTGTGAGAACAGGATGCTGGGCCAGATGGGCCATGGGCCTGATCCAGCAGGCTCTTCCGATGTTCTCTGGTGTAGACGATCTCCAGCCCGTCCTGCTTTCTGCCTCGCTCTCCTCCGCTGGCCATGCCTCTGACCACAGCCTCCTGGCGGCAAGGTATCTCACCCAGCTGCCGCTTCCCTCACCTTTAAGTCCTTTTAATTACTGCTCCCACCAGCTGCTGCAGAAGAGCTAAACGGAAATCGCCACCCATTTAACACAAGCATGCCCCCTGTGAAACGGGATGGCTAGGCACCGCCCTCCGCTGGCCTGCTCCTGGGAAGGTGAACTTGCTCTCCCCTTCCCAATCTCCAGCCTGCTTCTGCCTGCCTTCCTTGACTTCGCACCCCTCCTCGCCCTTGCCGAACGCAGCCTCCTCCGCAGCTCTCTCTGCCTGGAGACGGATTCATCTCCCTTTGTGGCTGAAGTGCAAAGAGACTCTGCCACCCTAATGGGCAGGTATTTATTGCCGGGCTCCCCCTTCAATCAGGCTAGCAGCGGGAAGGGCCCCTCCCGCTGGCTCAGGCACAGCAGAGGACAGTGAGTCTGCCGTAGGCCAAACAGCATCCCTTTGCGGGGATAAATGGCTTTTCTTTTACACTGTTGATGAAGAGCGAAGAGGTCTGTTTGCAGTAAAATGGCACTTTGCACTTCCTCCCGCCTCGCCTGGCGCCTAAGTATTACTCAGCCCTGCACAAGATACAGATTGCAGGATGCTGGGGCCTGCAGTCTGAGAAGCCCTTTAACAGCCCTTAGCGGGAGGAAGGGTCCCCCATTAAAGGCCCCCCAGTTTGCCCCAGTTTCCCACAAGGTGCCTGATGGAGGTGGCCAGGGCAGAGCCTGTTTCACCAGCTGGTGTGCGGTGGCAGCGGGTGCCCCTTGGGGATGGTAGGGCAGAAGACGGGGAGACCTGCCATAGGTGGTGCCAGGCGGGGCCACCTTATTCCAGCTTTGTCCCCCTCTTCGTCTCTGCTAAATTCCACGAGGGGCAACACAGAGGAGGAGGCTGGCAGACAGGGTAGCTTGAGGCTGGTGGGGCAGTGCCCCCTGCGTGCCTCCTAATGGACCAGCCTCCATGGCAGGGCGAGGGGCGCCTTGGCACACTCTCACCTTCAGCAGATCCACCTCCTGAGCAATTGGGGACTTGACTGTGGGTCTGAGTGAGGCTGTGGGGAGTGGGGAAGAGAGCACTCGGCTTTCCTGAGACCCAGATGTCTGCGCCCGTGGCAAAGAGAAGGGGGAGATGTGAGCTTCTGCCTTCCTCGTTCAGGTAGAGCTGCTGTGCCACAGACCTTTGGCTGTCCCCAGTGGCTGTGGATTTGGAGGAATCGGGGTCCTGCCACTTTTGGGTTTCTTCAAACTGTATTGCTCCTTGAGAAGCTCCTTGGGAAGCCTTTCTCTCTGGCTGCCTCTTCCACGCCCCAGAGATCGGCAGGCCAGGCAAGGTGGGCATCTCTCTCCCTGCCCTTCTTTTCTAATTAACCTTTGTTGTTGTTGAGTCGTTTAGTCGTGTCCGACTCTTCGTGACCCCCTGGACCTGAGCACACCAGGCCCTCCTGTCTTCCACTGCCTCCCTCATGCTGGTAGCTTCGAGAACACCACCCCACCATCTCGTCCTCTGTCGTCCCCTCCTCCTTGTGCCCTCCATCTTTCCCAACATCAGGGTCTTTTCCAGGAAGTCTTCTCTTCTCATGAGGTGACCAAAGTCTTGGAGCCTCAGCTTCATGATCTGTCCTTCCAGTGAGCACTCAGGGCTGATTTCCTTCAGAATGGAGAGGTTTGATCTTCTTGCAGTCCATGGGACTCTCAAGAGTCTCCTCCAACACCATAATTCAAAAGCATCCATTCTTCAGCAATCAGCCTTCTTGATGGTCCAGCTCTCACTTCCATACATCACTACTGGAATTAACCTTAGGAAGACCCTTTTCTCACCTGCTTTCCCCCCCCTGCTGCCTGCACCATTACATGAGGATCATGTGAGAAGCAGCCCCTCTTGGGAGGTGTCTTGCGGGTCTGGCTCCCTTTAGTGACCCTTGCCTGAATCCTTCCTTGCTTCCTAGGGGGATGGTGTGAGGACTAATTAATTCACGTCAGTAAAGTGTTGTTTGAGTGCATTTTTATTATCTTGTCACTTTCAGAACTTGACTCCATTAGGTTGCATGCTATTTTACATTGGAGTAAACCCATTGGTTCCGGCAGGGCTCTTCTCCGTGGGACTGCAAGAGAGTCAGATACTTGTTTTGCCATGCTGCAGGGGAGGTGGGGGCTGGGTGCGATGTTGCAGTTCCCACCCCGGGTATTCCAAGTCCCGATGTCTCTTGAGTCAGCTACACTTGTCCAAATCTGCTGAATTGCTGGTTTAGGTTGCTAAAATTTAGGGTGCTAAAGCAGTCACCCAGAGGCCAATTTAACTGCAGTCAGGTACGCTCAGTGGGACTTACTTCTGAGTAGACATGCCTAGGATTCCACTGCTCAGAGGACTTTTTGGAAGAGTGCAGTGGGTCATTCTTGAAAAGTGTTGTGCCATTTGGAGTGATGTGATTGTATTCTCTGTTATCTGAATACAAAATAATACAATCGTAGAATCGTACAGTTGGAAAGGACCACGAGGGCCATCTGGTTTCACTCCCTGCAAGGCAGGAATCTTTTGCCCAGCGTGGGGCTCAAACCCACAACCCTGAGATTAGGAGTCTCATGCTCTGCTATTTGAGCTGGCAGGTGCCAGGGTGCCCTTGCACTTTATACATCCATTGATGCAAAGTACCGTAGATTCTGGCGTATATGATGACTTTTTACGGAAAATCCTCTAAAAAGTCGGGGGTCGTCTTATACGCTGGGTATGGGTTTGCTGGGCAGCAGTAGTGGGCAGCAGGCTCCACTCCGCACCAGGAGGAAGCCGCCCAGCGAAGCCGGCTTAGCATCGCTGGGCAGCTTCCTCCCAGCGCAGAGCCCGTCGCCCACTGCCGCTGCCCAGTGAAGCTGCCGCGTATGACTGGCCGTATAAGTCGACCCCCCAAATTGGCAGCTGCCAATTTGGGGGGTCGTCATATACGCCCAGCCGCCTAATATGCCTGAATCTACGGTACTCACCTAGAATGTGTTTTTCCCTCACCTGGCAGGAGGGGTGGATGCATCGCTCGGTTCTGCCCCCCCCCTAAATCCTGGCTATGCCCATGGGCAGCCTGTCCCACATTTCTCTCGTTTTAATTAAACTATAATCTGTTTGATTGAGCGTCAAAGGGTGGGTTTTCGTGGGGAAAGCTCTGGGCAAAACACAGCAATGCTTGAAGACGGAACTTTTAAGTGTGGACCTGTGCCTGCAAAGGGCAGGGCAAAACCTAAGCGTGGATAAGCTCTTGGTTGCTGGGTGGGGTTGCAAGCGCTGCTCAGGTGGCCCCCATCTTGCCAGCCACGGGCAGTGGGAAGGCACAACTACAGACACCTCTCCGGCAAGGGTCAGGGACCACCACCCATCTCGTGTTTTGGAAAATGGTGGGATGTTCAGGAAACTCGTGCTTCGGTTTCCACAGCGAATTTGTTCAGAGGCAAACTGGGTTGTGGATTCTTGGCCTTGCATCCTGTGACATTTGTTTTGCATGTGCACCGACTCTGCAGGCTCCTGGGCTCACCTGACTGATTCCCCCCCTAACAAGCAACATTAATTATGTTCTTTTGTATTTCTAGCTTTGGAAAGCACAAAAAATTAAACAGGTAACCCACGCTTTGCTTCTCTTTTATCGTGCTGCTGCTGCCTTTTTGCCTTCCTGCAAAAGTGGCGAGTGGTGGTTGTCCTTGTCTGTTTGGCTGACTGCTCTGATTGCCCAACGGGATGCCTGGCCTTTCCTTGCCCTGGGAGCTGCCCTAGGCTTCACTTTTCCATTAGGGTCAAGGAGGAGTCGCTGCAGGGCCCCCAGACCAAGTGAGAGGCAATGCATGGTTTCCAAGCTCATGGGGATGCTGGAGGGGGGTGGAATAGACCCAATTGCAGGTAGGCGGATTGCTCCTGCTGAATCTAACAAAGGGTAAAGCAGCCTAGAGGATTCTCCAGGTGTACCCCGTCTTTGGGATGCGGGTGGCACTGCGGGTTAAACCACAGAGCCTAGGACTTGCCGATCAGAAGGTTGGCGGATCGAATCCCCGCAACGGGGTGAGCTCCCGTTGCTCGGTCCCTGCTCCTGCCAACCTAGCAGTTTGAAAGCATGTCAGAGTGCAAGTAGATCAATAGGTACCACTGTGGCGGGAAGGGAAACGGCATTTCCATGCGCTGCTCTGGTTCGCCAGAAACGGCTTAGTCATGCTGGCCACGTGACCCGGAAGCTGTCTGCGGACAAACGCCGGCTCCCTCGGCCAGTAAAGCGAGATGAGCGCCGCAACCCCAGAGTTGGCCACGACTGGACCTAATGGTCAGGAGTCCCTTTACCTTTACCCACTCTTTAGGCACCCCAAGGTGTGGATCCATTACTCGTCTTCTCATTTACAACCGCTTTGCCTGCAAATCAAACAAGTGTGGACCTCCCCAGATGGAGTTTCTGCCTTCTAAAAGTCCTTCATTCCTGCATAATTTCTGCTTGTCTCATTTTAAGCCAAAGGAGATTGGTTCTTAATTTCTAAAAGGAGAGGCTGGTGTGAGGTGCTGGGGGGGGGGGGGAGCAGGCAGTGAGGGGTCCTTGCCTTCCTTTGACCCATTCCCTCTCACCCTTTGGGACCGGCAGTGGTTGCTTAGTGGCAAAGGAAGGACATTCTGTGCATGCTCAAAAGCCTTCCTTTTTTCATAAATATGCCATATATTCCAGGGATGGAGGGGAAAAAAACCCCACAGTTGGAAGGGAATCCTTGGTAACTGTGGAGTGCAATCATAGTAAAAACTTCAGCAAAGGCCTTTTTCTCACATAAAAGACCCTCTGTTGCACTTACATAGTCCGACTGAATCGGGGGAATGTCAGCCTGGGATAATAAAAATAAAATAAATAATTAATAATAATAATAATAATAATAATAATAATAATTTTTTATTTATACCCCGCCCTTCCCGGTTCAAAAACCGGGCTCAGGGTGGCTGACAACAAATTTAAAACACAGCATAAATTCCAGTATAAAAACATGAATAACAATAAAATTCAAAATTCTTTATTGGTTTTTAGTTTTTCAAATACCACCTCCTCTTGTGGCTTGAGAGCGTTTAGCTGGGGGGCGGGGAGAGGTGCATGGGGGGCAACTTTGCAGTGCTAGCCAGACCCGCTTGCGGTTTGTGCCTTTTGAATGTATATGGGGGGTGGCGGTTGGGGGGGTTGTGAAGGAGGTCATGGAGGCAGGAGAAAAAGTAGAGCAGTGAATATGTCCCCAAGGACCACCTCTCTCTCACAGGGCAAAAATCCTCTGTTAAAGTGCCCCCATCATCCCTGGGGTTGTAGGCAACTCACTTGCACCACGGCTGGGAGGGCAGGATTGGGGATGGCACCCCCCCTTCCCCTCTACCTTCACTGTGTCTGATTTCTTGTAGGCCATCATCCATCCGGACACTAACGAGACGATTTTCATGCCTTTCAGAATGTCAGGTATGGCCCAACCTCGTAAAGAAGCTGCTTGGATGCATTATGTTCCCCACCCAAAAAAACCCCCCAAGAAATCCTTTAAAAAAAAATATTTTGTACTGCTCTTTGGATTCCCCCACTGTTATTTTAGGATGCCAGAAAGGCTTTTGTGGACCTGCAAGCCCCTCACAATTAAAATAAAAACTTCTAAAATTATATATGTACTCTCTCTCTCTCTTTATGTGTGTATGTGTGTGTATACACCTACCGACTGCTCCTATAGCTACCCTACTATGATACTGTTCTACCAGAATTTGTCAATTTAAATTAAACATTTAAAAAACCTCTTTGTGCTGAGCATTCCTGCAGGCCCCCTGCTGTGCTTGTGCAATTTCCACTGGCTTTTGTGGCCCCTGAGACCCCTCCAGATGCATTTTTGCATTGCCTTAGGAAGAAGAGGGAGCCTCTGCCTTATGAGAGGAAAGGCAACAGGAAGGTCTCTCTTAGGAAGATCCAGGGGGGAGCAGCAAAAACAACAAGGGGCCCAGTTGGTTAGAGCGTGGTGTTGATAACGCCAAGGTTGCAGGTTTGATCCCCGTGTGGGGCAGATGCCTCTTCTTTCATTGCAGGGGGTTGGACTGGATGATCCTCAGGATCCCTTCCAACTTGACAATTCTATGATTCTTGCGGCACTTTGAAGACTAGGAAATTCATTTTGGCCTAAGCTCTCGTGGACTCAAGCCCACTTTGTCAGACCCGAAAGTGATGAAGTGGCCTTCAGCCCACAAAACCTTATGCTGCAATAAATTTGTTAGTCTTTAAGATGCCGCGAGTCACTTTGTTGTCTTTTAAGACGGTACTGGCCATCTTTCCTTTTAAAGGACTTGCATTAAAACGAATTATTTTTCTTTTCTTTTCAAAATTGCTGCCTGATAGGCTGGGGGTGCTCACCAGAGGGTTGTTTTTTTTTAATTGATTGATTTGACAAGTTAATTGGTTAAATATTGCAGCCCTACTTAAAGGAATAACTGAGACAAAGCTTCCCCAAAAGTGTTTGGGTGACCCTTACCTGCTCTGCAGCCTCGTGGCTGAGCCCTGGCAGTTTTCTTTCTCCCCCAGAGCCAAGCGCTGCCTTGAGTGCGTGACCAGCTGGGATTGGCTTGCAAGAGCCACCGCAAATAGCAGCTCCCTCGATTCAGACTCTCGCCTCCCACTACCATTGCATCCCTCAGGGAGGAACATAGTCTTGCTCATGGCACGTCAGATTTAACTCCTCTGCAAGTGTGATGAGACCTGTGGTATCATTGCCTGTGGCCTGAGTACCTTACGTATTTTAAGATTTTTATTTTGCCATTTTATGTTGTGAACTGCCCTGAGATCTACGGGTGAAGAGTGGCGTACAAGTAGTAGTAGTAGTAGCATACCCTCCAACATTTCTCCAGTGAAAACAGGGACATCCCATTCCATAATGATAATTTCCCTATTTATACCCCACACATCTTACGGGGTTGCCCCAGCCACTCTGGGCAGCTTCCAACATACATGGTTGCCTTCAGATGGCTCAGGGGTTGCATAACTTTCTACCCTCCCAACATTTCTCCCATGGAAACAGGGACGTCCTAAGGAAAAGCGGGACATTCTGGGATCAAATCATAAACCGGGACGGCTTCTCTAAATCAGGGACGTCCCTGGAAAATAGAGACTCTTGGAGGGTCTGTAGTAGTAGTGGTAATAATAATAATAATAATAATAATAATAATAATAATGTCAGAGTTCAGTAGCAAAGGATGGTGGAAAGAATCCTAATGTCACCTGAGACACAGGAAAAACACAGACGCAGTTCTGAGCAGGGCCAGATTGAGGCTTGATGTGGCCCTCAGCTCCTGAAGGTAATGGGGCCCTTTCTATGTCCAGATGTCCTTTGTCCACAACAAATTGTCGCTGTTTTTTGTGTTGTACATATGCTATATGGTCATTTACGGACCTCATAGGTATCTCAAGCCATTTGCACATGTTGTCATGCTACCAGTCCATGCAGAATGTCGGCACCCTATATATAGAAAGGAGCAAAGCAGGGATATTTTAGGGAGCAGGCTAGCAGGCGGGGCCCATGACTTACATCACAGGAACCTACACAACACAAAACACTGTCGCTGCATGTAGGTTTTATTTCATTTGTTTTTTATCTTTATTTTGGAAATGTACATCCAGTTTTTCCCCCTTTAATTTTTTGGTGGCCCCCAAGAGAGTGGGGCTCTAAGCTAGAGCTTGTTGAGCTTATACGTAAATCCGACATTGGTTCTGGGGAAGGGTGAGGTCTTTTGTCTCTTTCCTCTGCTCTGCATCTGAGGTATCAGTTACACTAGACTATAAACCTATTTTGGAGTGATGGAGTCTCTCTCTGTATATACTAAAATATGTTTCCCCCCCCTTCTTCCTGTAGGTTACATTCCTTTTGGGACACCTATTGTGAGTATTTTAGCATCTTCTTGCTCCAACGGTGCTTGGCTTTCATGTTTGGTGCAAAGTACCCTGTTGGCCTTGGAGGGGCAGCCTTTCCATGGGACACTCAACATTGATGCTCCTCTGCTGGCACTGGGGGGTGGGTGGGGTGGGTGGGGGAAGGAGAGGGAATGGCCCACCTTGGGTTGGGTTCAGCCTGGCAATAATCCACTTCCTTTCTCTCTGCCATGCTCTACTTCCGTTCCTTTCCTCACCCAGCAAAGGCTTCTCCATCCGCCTGAAGCACTGAATGAATGAATAAAGTTGTTAGAAGTACAATACAAGGGACATTTTCCCCTTGGCTGAAGTCAATGGGGTGATGCAAGTGGGGCAAAAGGGGAGTCTGGATGGCAGAATTTGAGTTTCAGAAGTGGATGCCATTTCTGGACATCAGGGTGCGCCTTTTGTCTTAGGGATGGAAGAGGCTCAGTCTGATCCAGAAATATTTCTTCTTCATGAGAAGCCCTTCTTGCCTGGGCCTGAGACCCAGCCTGAATGCCTGAGAATAATTTCTTATGGTAAAGTAAATAGGGAGCATCTAACAGAGGTATGAGGAGGGGTCTCTCCAGTGTCCTAAGACGGATTGGTCTTGTTCCCTTAAGAATATAAAGAAGAGCCTATTGGATCAGAACATGGCCAGGCAAACTAAGGCCGGATCCGGCCCAATCACCTTCTAAATCCGGCCCACGGATGGTCCAGGAATCAGCATGTTTTTACATGATTAGAATGTGTCCTTTTATTTAAAATGCATCTCTGGGTTATATGTGGGGCCTGCCTGGTGTTTTTACATGAGTAGAATGTGTCCTTTTACAGTCATACCTCGGGTTAAAGTTGCTTCAGGTTGAGCGTTTTCAGCTTGCGCTCTGTGGCAACCCGGAAGTAACGGAACGGGTTACTTCCGGGTTTTACCGCATGTGCAGATGCTCAAAATGACGTCACGCGAATGCGCAGAAGCGGCAAATCGTGACCTGCACAGACGCGAGTTGCGTTGTGCTCAGGATGCAAACGGGGCTCCGGAATGGATCCCGTTCGCATCCAGAGGTACCACTGTATTTAAATTGCATCTCTGGGTTATTTGTGGGGCATAGGAATCCATTCATATTTTTTTTCATAATATAGCGCGGTCCACCACAAGGTCTGAGGGACAGTGGACCGGCCCCCTGCTGAAAAAGTTTGCTGACCCCTGGATGAGACCCACCTTGTCCAGCATCCTGTTCTCACAGCGGCCACCCAAATGCCTGCGAGAAGCCAGGGAGCAGAACCTGAGCAGAACCGGAGTCACACTCTGCCGTCCTGTGTTTTCCAGCAGCCCCTGCATTCAGAAGCCTTGCTGCCTCTGTGAAGGGCAGAGCAGGCTGATCCTGGCTAGGAGCCACCCATAGCTCTCTCCTCCTCCGTGAATCTGCCCAGTCCTTTTATAAAGCCTTCTGGGTTGGCGGCCGTCCCTGCCTGGTGTGGGATTGACAGCCACGGTTTAAAGCATCTTTTTCCCGGAGGTCCCTTGCAGGAACTTCCCCTGCGGCTCAGTCATCTGTGCCACCCTTAATGCCACCTGAAATCAGCTGCCTCGCCTTCGCTCCCGGCAGAGAGCCTCCTGGTTGCGCTGCCCTTCTGCTCCGTTCTTCCTCAGCTCCCCCTCAGTTATTCTGAGGCTTGAATTCCTCCCATGGATGCATTCTGGGCCACATTGCCGGAGACATATGGCCCTTCCTGTAATGATAGATCTTGAGGGAGGGGCTGGCATGGCTCCCAGCACAGAGAGGGGAAAGGTGTCCTTATTTATGTTTAACATTTGGGTGGTAATCTGTAATTAACTTTGCAAAAAGTTAAACAGAAATTTTGAGTTAGCGATCAGGTTGACACCAAAATCGGCCCGAATCCAGACCTGTCAGAGATGCTGAGAGCTGTCAGCAGAGCTCAGTTTTGTGAGCTGCAAATGATAAACTGGAACTCTTTTCATAAAGCAGAAAAGGAAAGGGGGGAAAAAAACCGATGTTCAAATGTTACATTTTAATTTTAACATTTATGCCAATTGATCTGTGAAATGTAGTGACATAATTGGCCGTCTGCTCTCGCAGTCTGAGTCTCAAACTGAGCATACTGGGAAGAAGCGGGTGGCGATGGAGGGAGTGGAACTGGGAACCCCCTTCCCTCTCCCCACGGCGGTGTGGGTCTCCATTGCCTCCACTTCAGGGTGTGCTAAACCTGGGGCTTGCATTTGTTTGTAAGCCAAGAGAACTGGTGGCTGCTTGTGCCTGGAGTGTGGGGCCTGGGGCCAGAAGAACCCAAGGACAACCATGCAGCTGGATCAGGCCATGGGGGGCCCATCTGGTCCAGCATCCTCACGGTGGTCAACTAGACGCCCCAAAGGAAGGAAGCCCACAGGCTGGACACAAGCCGGAGGCAATTGCTGGAAACCTCAAGATTTGAGAGGGCTCCTGGGCTTGCATCCGGGTTGGAGGTTTCGCACAATGGGCAGCTGGTTGACTGCTGTGAGAACAGGATGCTGGACTGGTTGGCTGGATCCAGTAGGGTTCTTCTTGTGCTCTTGTGATGTATTCCATAGTTGAACAATCTGCCGCTGTGTGAAGCACTTCTTCCTTTGGGATCTCTCCTGGATCTTCACTGGATAGCCCTGAGTTCTAGTCCTACCCCTTTTCTCCACTGCATCGTGTTAGACTCGTCTGCTGTGTCTCTTCTCACTTGCCCGGCAAGCAGAGGGAGGTCAGGAAGGTGCATCAAGCAGATCCTGGTAGGGAGGAATGAGACTGGCTGGCAGTCAGGCCAGGCCATCTGAAGGCGGGTCTGGGAACAGCCTGGGAAGAGGACCTGGCTGTGTCCTCATCTCCTTCGGGAGCCAGAGCTCTTTGCCCTGGATTTGATAGACCTGTTGGGGAACCGGTTTGATATAATCACCTTGCGGTTGAGGAAGGTTACACACATGCACGGCGGCAGGGATCTGGCATTCCGACCAGCCACACGCACAGGCAGCGATGTGGAAAAGCCCCACCTGTTGAATACCTGCCAGGTAGAGAAGTGTGGGAGACAGGCTCCTTTCCCTTAGGACTATGCCTGGCTTGGAGCGGCCAGGGCTCTTAGGCTCACCTCTCCCAGATCTATGTCTGTATTTTCAGCCTGACTTCCGTGGGGGTGTGCATCACCTTAATGTTTGTGGCCCATCCTGATCTCCAGGGCAGGTGAGAACGGGAACTTAATGAGCAAACATGTCTGCATCTGCAAAGGAATTAACATACTGTCCCCTGGTGCAGGCCTTTCTGGAGAACTGGGGGGCGGGGAGCCTCTGCAGCCTTTCCTGGCTTCCCTCAGACTCCTTCCAGGTCCACCTGTCCCAAACAGAGATTCAATGCATGCTTGGCTTTGTATGGCTTTCTATGGCTTCACGCCTCATGGTGGAGCTTCTTGGCCACCTTTGGAGAAGGGCAGGTGGGGCGTTGTCAGTTGCTGTTGGGAGAGGTAGTCCCACCCCTCCCCAAATGCCCAACCCCACCCACTGTCTTCCCTGAAATCTCCCCCTTCTTTCTCTCTCGCAGGTTGTCGGTCTCCTGCTGCCAAATCAGACGCTGGCATCCACCGTCTTCTGGCAGGTAATGACGACTTGCTGCCTGTCACCACCGCGCTCGAAAAGCCTCGCTTCTGTTCCTTGCTGCAGCCGAAAACACAAGCAGAATCCCGTCTTTGAGCTTCCTTTTGGCTTGTGGGATGCAGAGGCTGGAGGGAGGCCGTTGTTTTCTGTGTGGGGTGATGGGGGAACAGCCCCTTCGGCAGTGGGCTCTCTTTCAGGGAGGGGCCCTTTTAAGAGAGAATAAGGAGAGCCCTGCTGGATTACACCGATGGCCCGTCTCGTCCAGCCTCCTGTTCTCACAGTGCCCACAAGATGCCCATTAAAGGAAACCCACAAGCAGGACCCAAGCACAAGGGCATCTTCCCTTCCTGGCTGCTTCTAGCGACTGGTATTCAGAAGCGTTGCTGCCTCTGACCGTGGAGGCAGAGCAGAGACGTCACTTGCATCCCTTTAGGCCAGGCATGGAGAACCTTCAGCCCGCAGGCCCAGAGGGGTTCCCTAGGAGTCCCCCCCTTTCCTCCCCAGCCAGGCTCACCTGCTCTCACACCTGAGGTCGGTTGTGGGGCAGCACAGCCTTCAGCTGCAAAGGAAGGCTAGGGAGCCCTACAAGTCTATGATTCTGTACAGTTGAGTTGGGTATGTTTAGCCTGGAGAAGAGGAGACCCAGAGGAGATATGACGACCATCTTCAAATATCTTAAGGGCTGTCCCCTGGAAGATGCAGCAAGCTTGCTTTCTCCTGCTCCGAAGGGTAGGACTCGAACCAATGGCTTCAAGTTCCAAGGAAGGAGATTCCGACGAAACGTTAGGAATCTCATGGTGAGAGCCATTTGACCGCAGAATGGCTGACCTCAAAGGGGGTGGACTCTCCTTCCTTGGAGGCTTTTAAGCAGTGGCTGGATGTCAAAGATGCTTTAGCTGAAATTCCTGCATTGCAGGGGGTGGACTAGAGGACCCCCGGGTTCCCTTCCAGCTGTATAGTTCTGTGATTCTGTGAGAGTGGGCTCCTGTTTGTTCCTCTTCTAGCACAACCTCTATCTGGTGCCTTTTCAGTTTGGAGCCTGTTCCTTCTGCCTCCAGGGCTTGCTTTCTCTGCTGTTCATCTCTGAGAGCAAGCCCTGCTTGGGGCAGGGAGTCTGCACTGGAATAAGCTCTTTAGCTATTATAATCTTAGCAGCAGTTATAACTGGAACATTTTGAATTCTGAACGATTTCTAGGGGCACCAGCCACAGAACGGTTGCCCAGGGGATGAGCTGCATAGCACACAGGAAGGAAGCCATGGGTCGCTCTCCAGGGAAAGATCAGCCCCTTTGATGCAGGCAAATGGACCCATGCCTGCAGTGCATCCTAAGGAGAACCCGAGTCCAAAAGAGCAGGGAGGTTGACCAAGGCTGCTCAAAGGTTATTCCCTGCCTTCCCCTGGTGTTTGCTCTCGTGAATGGTCTGGGCCTTTTAGCACGGATCCTGCCCTTAGTGCCAGATTTCTGTATAGTTATGGCATGCAAGATGGGAGAGCCCTCAGCATAAATTACATTTCTGCCTAAAGATGTGAGGATCATGAAGGAAGGGTGAGCATCTTGATGGGGGCAGGAAATCTCTTGGGATGCCTTGGGAACTCTGGAGGTTGTTCCTTGGGAGACCTTCCACCACAGAAATAAAAAACATTGGATTTTCAATGCAAAAGATCTTTCTTAGCGCACCTGCCTGGCTGTGTACCAACACCCTCAAAGGCCCCAAGCAGGTCTGCATTCCAGACACCTGTGGATAGCAGATAGTAAGCATGAAGCGCTGTGTTTCCTTGCACTGGATCGAGTGTCCTGGTGATCTTCCTTTTCCTTTCAACCAGCAAGTTCCTGGTCTTCATGGTGGTGGAGATGTGCTTGGGAGTGTGTGGGCAGTGCCTGGTCAGGTGGGGAAAGTCTTAAGACCTTTTCCTTTCGGTACGAAGAGCCAGGAGCCAAGGAAATCAGACAAACGGATTCAGAATCTGGAGTACCTTTGGTGCAGAGTGTGCCTGGCCTTGGCTGTTGCTGCGCTTGGCATTGAGAGTCAAGTAAAGGTAGCAAAAGGAGCATCGTACATACCTTTGAACTTTTCGCAGGAAGTCTGGAGGAAATGGGGCCTCCGCAGTGAGGGCCTCCTCTTTGGACAGCTTCTTGTTCTGCCCCCACTCTGTAAAGTTTCCCCCTCCCATCCTTTTCACTTTTGCTGTCATTGCCCTTCCTCTTCCTCCCTCCCATCCCTCCAGTTTTCTCCCCACCCTCTTCCTCCCTCCTCTCTGACTCCTCTCTGTTTCTCCCCCTCTTCTCTCCTCTCAGCCTCATTTCCCAGGTTCTGCCCAGCAACTGGAGAGGAACAGAGAGAGAGAGCAGTGCAGAGCCAGTTTTTAGGGTGCAGGTTGCAGCCCAGGTCATGTCAGGTCATACCCCGACGGAGGTAAGCGCCACCCAGAGCAGCTCCGCAGGGGGTGGAGGGGAGCTCCTGAGGCCTTGGCACCGGCAGAAGCTGGGCTGCTCAGGGACACCCCCCACCCCCAAAACACACCCTCCGGCACATCTTTCCTGGATGTCAGGGGTGAGGGAAGGCCTGCCTCGTCTGCTTATTTATTCCAGATACTTCTATATAACACTTAATACCAAAAAGCAGTGCAGTCTGCAAAAGAAGGGCAAAAGGAAATAGCAAGCAAGGTCTGAAACCACAAATACACCAGCACCACCTGAATCAGTGAAATTTGGGGGAGGCAAGAACTTAGCAGCCCAGTTTGAGAACTTCTTAAAAGCCCAGGAAAGGAAGAAAGGAGCCGTCAGGTGTCATTTTGAAGCTCATGACAATGGAGGCCTAAAGGGCTAGTTCCACCTTCAGAGAAGGCTCTCTTCTGAGAAATCATTAGACAGCAGTCCTCTGTCTCCTCTGAAGTCTCAGGGGGAAGGGGGTCCGCTAGGTATCCAGGCCCTTTGTGGTTTGGGGGCTTATATGACCTCAACACCATCTTGAACGTGGTCCCATATCTAACTGGCTGCCAGCGCAGCTCCTCCAGTCGTGGCGAAATAGGTGCTTAGCACCGCAGCCTCCTGAGTTCTGCGCTGGCCGCACCTTCTGGGCCAAGCGTGAGGGCAGCCACACATCATGCGCATTGTGCCGTCGGTTGTGAGTTTGTAGGCGCATGAACTGCAGTGGCCAGATTGTCCCTGTCCAGAAAAAAAAGGTGTATCAGGCGGGGATTCCTGTGTGCCAGTGAGGGAGGAGATCGTGCTGAGCTGGATGAGACCCTGGTCCGACTCTGGGGGAGAAGGCAGCTTCTGAGATGGCAGTGCTTCCTCTTCAGGTGAATGTGAGGGCAGGGGGCTTTATTGGAGCCCCCGACAACCACAGTGGGCAAATCTGTGTACAGTGGTACCTTGGGTTACATACACCTCAGGCTACATACGCTTCAGGTTACAGACTCTGCTAACCCAGTAATAGTACCTCAGGATGAGAACAGAAATCGTGCTCCGGCGGTGCGGCAGCCGCGGGAGGCCCCATTAGCTAAAGTGGTGCTTCAGGTTAAGAGCAGTTTCAGGTTAAGAACAGACCTCCAGAATGAATTAAGTACTTAACCTGAGGTACCACTGTACTGCAGGAGCCCCAAGCTACTCTGTGGCCATGCAGCGCTCCCCCCCCCCCATTTTCCCAGCACAGGAACTCAGTTGGGAAAGACTGCTGCCCCTGGGCTGGAGGAGCTCTGGGCTCGCGGGGTCTAAGTTAGCAAGAGAGGTTCCAGAGTGTGCGCTTTGGGGGGGGGTGTGTGTGTGTGTGTGCGTGCGTGCGTGAGAACAAGGGAGGGAGTGCTGTATCTGCCAAAGGTGCCCCTCTCTGCAGGGCTTGTTCTTTCGCGGATACATAACACCATTGTCTGGATTTGATAACAAAAACTTCCCTTCCCAGCGGTAGCCATAATTGGAAATGCTGCCTTCCTGCATGTTTGCTATAACTCCTTCTTTTCAGCAATGGTGCTGCTGTTGCCTGCCCACCCGCCGGCCGCTCTCTCGTTCTTTCTCTCTTTTAACCAGCTGTTTGTTCCTCTTTCTTTCTGTTTTGTCCTTTAGTGGTTGAATCAGAGCCACAATGCCTGTGTCAACTATGCAAACCGAAATGCGACAAAGGTGAGCGGTCGTTTTATGTGTGCGCCATTTTCAAGGAAGCTGATGTAAGTTTCTCCCCTGGCAAGCGCTTGGCCTGCGCCTCTGGCCCCCACCTGATCCCCCTGGCCAGAGGCTCCTGGATCTGAGCATCAGCTCTCAGAGATCTTCCCGGGGAGATTCTGCCGCCCTGGGCTGTCGTGATTGACAGTAGGCTCAGTTGCCGTGGATTGGATGAAACAGCCCAGGGATGGCGCAAGGGCAGAGCCCAGCCACTTACGCCATCCCTGAGACCTGCAATGTATTGCCTTGTTATATCTTTCAAGTCTGTTCATTTCCTCTTGTCCTGTTTGTGGGCCCCATTGGTTTTTGTGCTCTTATCGGGACCCCTTCCTTGGCGCTTCTGCAGCGTGCGCACAGGTCGGAACAGGTGGGGCACAAGTTCCCCATGTTTCCAGGGGCACCAGGGCAGAGGGGCACTCCCCTTGGCACTGGCACAGTCCCATCTCTTCCCTCAATCTGCACACATACAGCCATGCCCAGAGCATGCCTGGAAGACACCACATACTTCCTCTTGTTTGAATTTTATTGTTATTCATGTTTTTATACTGTATTTTATGCTGCTTTTACAATTAATGTATTTTTCGCTCTATAAGACGCACCAGACCACAAGACGCACCTAGTTTTTGGAGGAGGAAAACAAGAAAAAAATATATTCTGAATCTCAGAAGCCAGAACAGCAAGAGGGGTCGCTGCGCAATGAAAGCAGCAATCCCTCTTGCTGTTCTGGCTTCTGGGATAGCTGCACAGCCTGCATTCGCTCCATAAGACGCACACACATTTCCCCTTACTTTTTAGGAGGGAAAAAGTGAGTCTTATAGAGCAAAAAATACGGTAAGTGTTTTAAATTTGTTGTTAGCCACCCTGAGCCCGGTTTTTGAACCGGGAAGGGCGGGGTATAAATAAAAAATTATTATGATTATTATTATTGTTTGCAGTCCCTGTGAGCTGGGCTTGAGGTGGCATGTTCTGGCTGAAACGTTGCTTTTGTTCTTCTTCCTGCAGCCTTCTCCAACGTCCAAGTTCATCCAGGGCTACTTGGGAGCTGTCATAAGTGCTGTCTCGATCGCAGTGGGTAACCCTTTGGTCTTCTCTCTGTCGGTGTGTTCTGACCGCTGGGCACCTGGGCAAAGACTTTGCTCTGGGCCCAGCCCCTCTGGATGGCCTCCTCTGCCGGCTGGCGCACTGCGCCTTTGCACCTGCCGCCTTGCAGGAGGCACTGCCAGCCGTGGCTGCGCCCTGGTCGCTTGCCAAGGCCTCCCCATTGCCAGGGCTAGTCATTATTCAGTTCCTTTGCACTGCTAGTTCTCAATGGGTGAGAAGAGTCTTGCCCTGGAGAACAGGGTATGTGATTATGTTCCTCAAACAGGTGTTTATGCCACACCTTTTGTTGGGGAAAAAGAAGATGTGGGGGGGGGGGCTGGAAGAGAGAGAGAGAATGGCCTGCTTCTTTCTTCCCCAGATTCGGAGACCTTAGGCCTCATTAAATGCACTCTGATGTCAATTAGCAGCAAATCACCTCCTAGGGTGATCCCATTAGGACTAGATGACCTGAAAACAAGTGCCATTCCCCACCTCCCAGTGGTCTGCAAAAGATCTTGTATTAATTAAAACCAGGTCTCTCCCCCCCCCCCTGCAAGTGCACAGCCTGCCCTGGGCGGCAGACAGAATGCAGGGGGCCACTGGTGTCAGAAGAGGTCCTGGAGGGCCAAAGAGCAGCTCCGAGAAGGGTTTACAGGTCATGGTTCCTGTGCAGAAGTCAACAGCGGCAGCTGCAAACGTCATTCACAACAATAAGCAGTTTAGAAAAGTCAAGAAGTGTCCAAGATCCATGCATAGGGGGCTTGTGAGTCAGCTGGATAAGGAGGCGAGGATTCTGTAGCACAGCCTTCCCCAACCTGGTGCCCTCCAGATGTTTTGGACAACGTCTGGGACGCATAGGAGGTATTGTCCATCTGGAGAGCACCTATTTGGCCAAAGTTGCTGTAGCCTATATGCCAAATCTGTAGGGCAGGAATGGGGAACTGGATCTGGCCCACAGGACGGGCACTTCCTTCCGACAGGCCACCTCTGCCAGGTGCATGGGGGAAACCCCCATCTCTTAATCCTAGCCCCTGTGTCTCTGCTTCCTGTGGCCTCTGGCAATTCTCCTTCAGAGCCTAGCAGGCCATGTTTCTGAGTCTGCAAATACAGATTCAGGGAATGAGAAGGCAGTCAGAGCACCTCTTGCAAAGCCTCCCCCTCTTTTCTGCTTTTCTAGGTGGCCCCAAACTCCGCAGCAATGACGCACCCAAGGGCCCCATGGAGGGGGGGGGAATGGCAGCCTGTGCAGCTGCCTGCTTCCTCACCCCCCTTCCCTGCCCCTGTTAATTCACTGCCAGGTTCTCTTCTAGGCTCCTTTTCTGCTGCCCTTCATCCGCTGCCCCCTTCTCTCTCCACCCCCGGCCATTACACCCCCACAGCGACACCATTTTTCACCCTCCTGTCTAGGTGAGGGCACCCTGTGGCTTTCCCTAATGCCTGCTCCTTCGCCTTGATAATTGTTTGCGAGGAGGAGGAGGAGCAGCGCACAGGGGCTGCCTTGACAGCCTGCGAATTTGCTGCGATAGCCCATAATCAGGTTGAGATGAAGAGGGAGGCCACCCACCGCCCTCGGCCCTCCTGCGGCCACTTAGGAAGGAGCCCTCCCGCCTGGGGTGGGGTGGCCTCTGGGGGCCAGTCCTTTCAGCCCCAAGGGCCTTGGTCTGGCCTTTACACCTTTGTGATGCGAACCTCAAAACAGTGGTCTCTCCTCAAGCCCCAAATCCTCCCTCTCCTCCCCCCCCCCAGCACCTCAAAGTCCCCTATGCCGGAGCAGACCCTTGTAGGCACCCCCCACTTCCCTGGTTCTGGCCTGGGAGGATAAACACACAAAGATAACGCAAGGAACTTTTGTAAAATCATTTCCATTCCTTGAATCTTGCTCCCAAGTTGAGGATCTGGGAGGCTGGATTTCAGCCCCTGTCAACATACGGATTGCCTTTTGAAACATATTAGATTGTTTTAACATTTGATTGTTTTAACTGCGTGTCGTTTGAGCTGTGCAGATCTCCCAGAGGAGGTTGTTCATTCATTGATTAGAATGATTAGTGTTGGGAGCTGGCAGGGTCACAGAAAGTAAAACCTCTGGTTGTGATCCGAGTTACCCCAGCAGCAGTTGCTGGGCTTGTTTTGCTATCTATTGCTATTTTGCTGAATATTTTAATGATGGCTTTTCTTGGTATTTTTGGTTTTAAATGTTGTATGTACATTGCCCCGCCCCCCTTTTTAGTGACCTTATTGTGTTTTATGTAAACTGCTTAGGGATTTTGCATATTAAGCGGTCTGTGAATATTACCGATGGTGGTGGCCTGTGGGGTTGGGCTGTGGCTGCTCTGCCCCCCCCCGGCTCTCCTCAATGCTTCTTTGCCCCCCTCTTTCCTTCTCCTGCAGGTGGGCCTTAACGTTCTGATCCAGAGAGCTAATCAGTTTACTCCGGCCACCCGGCTCCTGATCCAGAGATTTGTGCCATTCCCCGCTGTAGGTAAGGGGGTGCATACTTTCCCCTCTTTCTCTGCTTCCGTAGAGAAAATGGGCTTCCACAGTGCACTTGGAAGGGCTGCCCCCAAAGTCCCATTTACGATACGATAATCTTTATTGTCATTGTCCCATACAGAACAACGAAATTGAAAAAATCTGCATAAGACATTCAAAAACCAACAAGCCTGCTATCCCAACCTGGTTAGCCCCCTAAAAACTCAGATACCCCATTTTTAAATACAATATACTTCCATAGAAACTACCTTACACTGCGTTTAAAACCAAAATCGCATTTGGATAGAAACTGTTTCTCAGGCAGCTAGTCCTAGTCTTTATAACCCTGCACCTTCTTCCAGAAGGCAGAAGCTGAAAGAGATCATTTCCGGGGTGCGCACAATCCTGCTCTATCTCTGCAGCTTTCTTATGGCACCTGGAAGCATAGATTTGATCCAAGGTGGGAAGAGTGCACCCAATTATTTGGCCCAGAGTACAAATTTGCATATGCTAATTTACACATAAAGGTGCAAATTCTACCCATTTTCAGAGGGAAAAGCAAAATCTGGCTTCATCTTGCTGTCGGGTCTTAATTTACCTCTGGTTGACTTAAGAAGATAGAAGAGCCCAAACTCCTAGCTCCATAGGAAAGGGCTCACTCAAATTAACAAAAATGAATATAGCAAAAGAAGAGCTTTTTTTGAACTTTTCCATGCCTCTGCTTGGGTTATCGGTATTGGTTATCGGTTTGCTTTACGAAAAACGAATTTTAAAAAGCTATTTTAAAAATACAGTGTGCGGCTGGGGTTTCATGGGCGCTGTCCGCCTGCCCTGATGGCAAGGAAAACAAATTGAATTGGGTGGCTTTGAAAGGGAATTGAACCGCTTCACGGTGGATGAGGCTGTGCTGTGTCACAGGCAGCCTTCCTCTAAGTGCCAGCCAGCGGCTGGAGAGCGCCAGTGGGAGGGAGTTGTGGCTGTGGGCTCAGGCCCGACTTATGGGCTCTTCCTGCTGGAGCGTCTGGTTGTCCCCTGTGGAAATAGGGTGCTGGGCGCCAGGTAGGTCCCTTGGGCCCTGCTCCACCGGCAGCTGGGCTCTTTAGCATGCGCTTACGTAAGAAAGAGTCATCCTTGTTGCATCTCAGGATGTCCCAGACAGTTGGGGTATGGGGGTGCTGGTGAGGATTCCATAATTGTATGCAGGAGGCAGGCAGGGGGAGAGGGATGCTTACCTGAACCAGGTGTGTCTCTGGACCCCTTTGCACCTGGGGGATGGATGGGAAAAGGTGGCCTCTTTGTTCTCTGTGCAAGGCACTTCGAGCAGGAGGAGAAGGAAGAAGAAGAAAAGGAGGAACGACCTTCCTTGTGTTGCGGGAATTTTTCCATCAGATGTGCCCCTTTTGAGCCGTTCATCAAGAGATCAGCAGCACCAACAAGAAAATGTTTCAGATTGTGGACTAAGCCCACTGGCCCCAGCAGCCAGGGCAAGGAGCGAGGGGGGATCTCTGTCAGGTTGTTCTATTATTATGCCAAGGTGTTAAGAGAAGGAGCTTAAACTGGAGTCAGAATTGATTGAGGGCCGGCACTTAATTTGCTCAGCCCTTCATTAGTTCTCTGCTTCTTTTATTTGTGTACTGACATGCTTAATTGTGTGCCAGGACTCTGGCCATCTTCCTGCTAATTGCCGCTTTGTTATTCTGGGGGCCGGAATCTCTTGCATCAGAATCCCGGGCAAACCAGTTAATTAAACTTTCCGTTATGAAAAGATCGGCTTTGAAGATTTGCTTGAAATGCCTGCCAGTCAGGCTGGGCTAGGCGGAACCAGGCCAAGTCAAGAGGTAGTCAGAGGGACTGGTCTGGTCCGCTCTCAGAAAGTTCTCCCTAACGTTTAGTCGGAAGAACCGACTGATGCTAAGAGCTAATTCTCCAACTAAGATTCATGTGTTGCAGGAGGCTGGACTGGATTACCCTTGGGGGCCCCTTCCAACCCTACAATGCAATGCTCTATAATGAATTGATTTTAGAAGGCTGTATTATTTTACTGTTGTTAGCTGCTCTGAGCCTGGCTTCGGCTGGGGAGGGCAGGATATAAATAATTTTATTATTATTATTATTATTATTATTATTATTCTATGATTCTGGTGCTGCTAAATGCAGGTAGTGAGCAGGAAGAGGCTGTGGCAGAGAGCAGCCCAGAATAAGAGGCAGAAGCAGAGAAGGGTCAAGAGGCAGAGTGGAGGCAGGCTGATGAAGAAGCCAGGGGGGTCTCCTCCTGTGCGACTAGCTCTCCTCCACCCTGGTCTCCCAGAACCTGAAGCGGTATGAAGAGGGTGGAGCAAAGACCGACAAGGTGTCAGAGTCTCCGATTGCTGGGGGAGGAGAAGGCTCCTTAAGTCTCCTCCTCCTCCTGTCTGCCTCATCAGGGCAAGGTCTACTGGGAAGAGTTGGTGTGCTCACGAGGCCTGAGCTGTTTGGTTTCTTTGAATAAAGAGTTCCCTTCATGGCACGGCCTGATCCTGACTGCTGCTTGCGCTCTCCTTTTCTTTCCCTCGCAGCCAGTGCCAATATTTGCAACGTGGTCCTGATGAGACACACGGAGCTTGAGGAGGGGATCGACGTCCTGGACAGCGATGGGAACAGGGTCGGGTCTTCCAGAATTGCTGCCAAACATGTAGGTGCCGTGGGATTCCCATGGGTGAATCAGGATCGCTTTGGCCCATGGATTCATGCACTGGGAGGGTTGGGGGGGGGATAGGCCAAGAAGGATGGAGGAGGAGGAGGAATCCACAGAACGCAGATTCCAAAGCAGACTCACTTGATCTGATCCAGGCAAGCCACATCAGCATCAGCAGTCCTGCAGGTCCATGATTGATTGATGAATTGATTGGATTTCTATGCCGCTTTCCAGTCAGACAAATCCCAACATGGCTTACAAAACAATAGCATAATAGAGCATCACAGGTACAACATAAATCATATTATGTATAATTAACAAATCAATAAAACATAATAAAACAGTATTTACAAAACAGCAACTTTAAAATATGCTAAACGCTATTATGTTCACATGCATGCACACACAATCACGCTCCCCCCCCCCAATAGCTCAAAATCGATCAGTCTGTTCAGTCCGTTAAAAGACCCCTGCACATCCATTGTCCAGGAGGACTCTGGTCCAATGGAAATAACAGAACTAGACGTTGACTTATTATGCAGTGGTCCAAGGGCTCAATCGCTGCCTCTGCCCTTCTTAAAACTGTTTCTCTCTCAACACACACTTTTAGAAGGATCCGAAAATCATCGAGCCTCTCTGCCTGGGAGTGTTGAGCATGCAAATCTTCCTGTCACCTGGTTTTATTTTTATTTATTATTTATTTGAATCCACACACACACACACACCCCGTTCTCCAGGCAGCCATGTTTCTTGCCCATCCGCCGCCTGGTACAATTCCCTCTGAGAGTGAGGGAACATCAGCAGGTCCTGTCGCTCCCAGAGAAGGGGCCTGTGAGCAGCTGGAGGTTTCTATTTATTTATTAAAAAATATTTCTATACCACTATTTCATAGTGGGAGGGGGGTTATTGGTTTGCTTTTTTCCTTGTTTTTATTATGTATTTTGAGGTGGGTGGGTGTTCCTTGTATTTTCATGCTGTGAACTGCCCTGAGATGGAGGGTGGTTTACTTACTTACTTACTTACTTACTTACTTACTTAAATAAATAAATAACAAAGTGATTTACAGTAAGGCATAAAGCCATACAATAAAAACCATAATAAACTAAAACCAGACATCAATTAGCCACTGTGGAAGGATGTATTAATGACCTGCATAGGCCTAGTAGAATGGGAAAGTTTTCAGCTGGTGTTTAAAAGTCTGCAAAGAAGGTGCCAGCTGAGTCTCTAGTGGCAGGGAGTTCCACAGGCCAAGGCTCCATGCTTTGTTGCTGTCCGACGGGCCTGGCCAGCCTTTACACGTGAGGCTCCCCCTGCCTGCAGAGGGTGTCAGGCGGCAGGTCGAAAGGGCAGCCTGCGGGAGCTTTCCTTTTGCATTCCCCCACCACCACGCATTCTAGCCAGACAGAAAGAAGAGCGTCTTTTCTGAGCCATGCGCCGTTGCCCCCGCAGCCCCCTCTGGTGGGCCTGTGCAGCCAGAGCAGCGACGGAGGAGCAAAGCGCTCTTGTCTCTGCGCTTAGGAAGAGGGAACACGATTCGGGGCCTCCGGAGAGGCAGAGCAGCCGCTCTCGGTCTTTCCAGATGCCCCTTTTGCTCCCCTCTGTAGTTGCCCAGGAAGAACAGGAGAACCTCAACTACAGCTCCAGGCTGGCAGAGAAAACACACAGCTTTATTTTTAATTTTTTTAATTTTAAAAAAGCGAGTGGGAGGAAACTGGAGGACTTTTTAACCCCCGCCTTCCTGAAATTCATTAGCAACTGCCTCTGGAAAGATGCGCCAGCTGTTTCCAGGCTGCCTCCAACACCTGGCTGGTTTCCTTAGGAGCCTCCTGAACTCCGCCATCTGCGCACAACTGCGCTGGGACTTTCCCTGTCTTCTTCTTTTTTCTTTTTTTTTAAAAAATATTATTAAGGTTTTAGACAATAAAAAAGAGGGGAAAAAACATACACAAAACATATAACAACAACACACACAAAAAGCAACACAAAATTCAACAATAAAAAAAAAACCAAGAAAAAAAACCCATAACAATTAAAAACAATATCTCTTTTCCATTTCCATTTTTAAATTACTTACTTTCTGGACTTCCTCATACCTCCCTCTTTTGTATTCCAATCCAAGTTATTTGTCCAGCAGTTTCTTTTCCACTCTTTTAATCCCAAACTTTAATTTAATAAAATATTAAAATATATAACTTCAACTTCTTTAAACCTAATCCTTGGTCTTAGTATCATATAACATTATAATTTTCCCTCTTAATATCGAATTTCCATTTCTTTAAACATCTTTAATCTTAATCTTAATCTTAGTCTATCATTAACTTTAACCTGTACAGCTGGAAACCACTTATTTTCAATCCAACATCGCTCTAACATTCTTTAATTTTGCAGTGTTTCTGAAGATAGTCTTTAAATTTCTTCCAATCTTCCTCCATCGACTCTTCTCCCTGGTCACGGATTCTACCAGTCATTTCCGCCAATTCCATATAGTCCATAAGTTTCATCTGCCATTCCTCCAGCGTGGGAAGTTCTTGTGTCTTCCAATACTTTGCGATGAGTATTCTTGCTGCTGTTGTTGCATACATAAAGAAGGTTCTATCCTTTTTTAACACCATTTGGCCGACCATGCCCAGGAGAAAGGCCTCTGGTTTCTTAGGGAAGGTATACTTAAATACCTTTTTTAATTCATTATATATCATTTCCCAGAAAGCCTTAATCTTTGGGCACGTCCACCAAAGGTGGAAAAATGTACCTTCAGTTTCTTTACATTTCCAACATTTGTTATCGGGCAAATGATAGATTTTCGCAAGCTTGACTGGGGTTATGTACCACCTGTATATCATTTTCATAATATTCTCTCTTAAGGCATTACATGCCGTAAATTTCATACCTGTGGTCCATAACTGTTCCCAGTCAGCAAACATAATATTATGACCAACGTCCTGTGCCCATTTAATCATAGCCGATTTTACCGTTTCATCCTGAGTATTCCATTTCAGCAGCAAGTTATACATTCTTGACAAATTCTTAGTTTTGGGTTCTAACAATTCTGTTTCCAATTTGGATCTTTCCACCTGGAAGCCAATTTTCCTGTCCAATTTAAATACCTCCATTATTTGATAATAATGAAGCCAGTCTCGCACTTTGTTTTTAGTTTTTCAAAACTCTGCAATTTCAGTCTATCTCCGTCTTGTTCCAAAATTTCCCAATATTTCGGCCATTTGACCTCCATATTGACCTTTCTCAAGGCTTTCGCTTCCATTGGTGACAGCCACCTTGGGGTTTTGTTTTCTAACAAATCCTTATATCTTAACCAAACATTAAATAACGCTTTCCTGACAATGTGGTTTCTAAATGCTTTATGTGCTTTGACCTTATCATACCATAAATATGCATGCCATCCAAATATATTATTGAAACCTTCCAAGTCCAAAATGTCAGTGTTTTCAAGGAGTAGCCATTCTTTCAACCAGCAAAAAGCTGCTGATTCATAGTAAAGTTTAAGGTCTGGCAGGGCAAATCCACCTCTTTCCTTTGCATCTGTTAGTATTTTAAATTTTATTCTAGGCTTCTTGCCCTGCCAGACAAATTTAGAAATATCTTTCTGCCACCTCTTGAAACAGTCCATTTTGTCCACAATCTGCAAAGTTTGAAACAAAAACAACATTCTAGGCAATACATTCATTTTTATCGCAGCAATACGGCCCAGCAGTGAAAGCTTCAGATTTGACCAAATTTCTAAATCTTTTTTCACTTCAGACCAGCATTTTTCATAATTATCTTTAAATAAGTTCCCATTTTTTGCTGTCATGTTAATCCCCAAATATTTAACTTTCTTAACCACTGTTAAACCTGTCTCATTCTCTTTTCCTTGGTGCTTCTGCATCCCAAGCTTGTGCCTGAGAAAACCCACGGGAAGCACAGGCGCTTTTGACTGACTTTGCCAAGGGTGATAATAATAATAATAATAATAATAATAATAATAATAATATACAGTCATACCTTCGGGATGAATACGCTTCAGCTTAAATATTTTCGGGTTGCACTCCGCGGCGACCCGGCAGTAACGGAGCCGTTACTTCTGGGTTTCGCCCCTCGCGCATGCGCAGATGCTCAAAATGATGTCACGTGCATGCATGGAAGCAGCGAAACGCAACCCACGCATGCGCAGACGTGCAGTTGCGTCTTATGTTCGGTTCAGGATGCGAACGGGGCTCTGGAACGGATCCCGTTCGCATCCAGAGGTACCACTGTATTTATATGCCACTCATTAATAATCAGTCAGATGGGTGGAATAATAATAATAATAATAATAATAATAATAATAATAATAATTGCCATTGTGTTGGGTGCAGGGTCCAAGCCCAAAATAATCCTCTTCTGGCCCCTTTTGCCTTAGCAGAGGACTGACACCTGTCCAATGAGAATCCACGCAATCTCTTTCAATTAGCCGGCTTTGAGGAAGTCACATGACTGCCACGCAGGTCTCCTGCTGCTCCTTTGCCCCAAACCGCAGCCTCCCAAGGCTGCTTTTTATTTTTATAAGCGCTGGGCTTTGCTGCGTGTGATGCGGAGTTTACTGCTCACTCGCTGGTGCTTCCTGAAGCCATCTGCTCGCCAGGCACCATGGTGGGTTTCACTTTTGCTCAGTCCTGCCTTTCTTGAACTTTGGCGAGGAGGGGGCGGGAGGGGAATCCTGCTGTGGACCCGGGTGGAAGCGGGATAGGATGCTCTGTCTCCCTCACTCACCCAGCCTTCTGTTTCTGTAGCGTGAGACCAGGACTGAACTGCCACCAGGGCTGAGAGTGGCCATTGGCAGCCCTGGCCTCTGGAGCAATAAAACACACACCAAGCCCCCACAAAGGGTAGCAGCTTGAAAAGCTTTGGGGCGAAGGCTCTACGGAGTTTGGGTTGCAGTCTGAGCAGGTTCAGTGCTCAAGTGCCCACACTGGTGGCGTCTTGTTTGGTAGGCAGAAATGGCTCTGTTACAGGTGCCACATAATATTGCTGTTGACATCTGTCTATCTCGAGAGACAATGGAGTTCGCCTCCTGGGGTGAAGTCAAACTGCCCCGTTAGCACACGCCAGGGCAGTGTGTCTCTTGCCCAAAACCAAAAAACATGATTTTAGTATTGTATGTATGATGTAAAGACTATATTTAAAGAAACAGACACTTGGTGGAATATAAATGTCTTGTTCTTCTGTTTTGTCTTTGGGAGGTTCTGTAGAATTGCATACAGAATTGTGTGCGATGAGTTTCTGTATTATTATGCTGTATTATTTTACTGTTGTTAGCCGCTCTGAGCCTGGCTTTGGCTGGAGAGGGCGGGATATAAATAAAATTTTATTATTTTATTATTATTATTCTACTTCAGTCTGCGCTCAAAGTGACTGTTTCTCTTTCTTCTGCTCCCCAGGCACTGCTAGAGACGGCCCTGACCAGAGTGGTCCTGCCAATGCCTATACTGGTTCTACCTCCCATCATCATGTCTCTACTGGAAAAGTAAGTGGCGGCCATCTGGGGTGGGGCGAGGGGCGATGCTCAGAAAGGAAGGAGGGAAGGAACTCCCCTCCCCTACATGGCCGGGATCAGAGGAGTGGTGGCATTGCCCCTAAGAGCAAAGGGCACTCTAGAACCATGTGAAGGGATGCCCAAGGGACATCTAGTCCAACCCCCTGCAATACAGGAATTGCCACTTTCCTAACTTACTCCGGGATGGTGGCAGCCGCTGCCCCACAGAGCCCTTTCCAGAGACTGCCACAGAGCAGCCCATTTCGTTCTTGCTTTTCAGTATTTTGATCATTGAATTGTAGAAGTGGAAGGGACCCCTCAGGATCATCTAGTCCAACCCCCCGTGCAGTGCAGGAATCACAGTTTGACAGCCCCAACAGACGGCCACCCAACCTCTTGAGAACCTCCAAGGATGGAGACCCAGCCACCTTCCGAGGGACATCAAAGCTCCCTGCCTCTCTGCCGCCGAGGCTGAGCAAGCGCTTGGATTAGGGCCCCCCAAGAAGGAAATGACTGGGAAGGGGTGTGAACCCAGAACCACGGCAGCTTTTAGGTCCTGCAGCTGCCTTTCCCAGCCTGCTGCCCTCCAGAAACTGGGGGCTCCATCTCCTCCCAGCCCCAGCCCTTCTTTCCCCAGGGTCTTTCTGCCTGGAGTGGGGTCTTTCTGGGCTCTCCTTTGCCCGACCACGTCTTGCTCCGGCAAGCCTGTGCCAGCCAGCCATGGAAGGCCCAAGGTCCCCTTGCGCTATTCCTGGAAGGTGATGCATTTTGAAAGTAAATTATCATTACAAATAGTTCCATCATTTTGAAGCAAGTATTAATTAAACCTCCTTAATTAGCTGACTGATTGAAATCTGAAATGGGCAAAGAGCCAGGAGATGGCTTCTGAAGGAAGGAGTCAGGCAGTGCAGAAACCACACCTAATGGATGAGCTGGAAATGCCCCCCCCCCACGTTCCAGATGTGGTTAAACTGGAGTGAGAGAGAAGTGCGCTCTTGACAATGCCCAGAGGTACTCTTCACGCGCACAGGGGCTGAGACCCGGCGTCCTAGGATTTGTCCTGAAAAAGAAGCATGTTTCGCTTTATTGGTTATTTAACAAAATTTATGTCTAATCCCCACCCCCTGCAAAAAACACCCACCCCCCAAAGTGGGTTATATAAATAATAGAGAACATTCCTAAGAAAATGCAAGGAAAATCAACCAGACTCTTACAAACAATTTTGGAGAATCTGCTGTGAGGCACAGCTGCTGCAAGTGGGTCTGCTGGACCAGGCCATGGCCCGTCTAGTCCAGGATCCTGTTCTCCCAGTGGCTGACCAGATGCCCCAGTGGGAAACCTGCAAGCAGGACTGAAGCACAAGAGCAACTCTCGCCTCCTGGGGTTTCCAGCAACTGGAGCAGCTCCCATTTCTCAGCTGTTGGGGGTTGCTGTGATCTTCCTGGATTTAAGATCAGCAGAGATCCTGATGATCCTTGCAGTGGTGAAGGTGGGGGCGCGTCTCTGCTTGGACCCAGCAGCCCCTCCCTCCTTCCAGGCCCCCTCCCTTTACCTCTCTCCATCTGGAGGCGCCCATGGCCTCCTCCGGCTCTCCCAGGCTTCTTGGCGTCCCTCCTCCTCTTTCCCTCCCGCTGCGCATTTCAGCTCCCGGAGATGCTGTTCCTTGTTCTCCAGGCTCCTGCATGTTGTTCCCACTGGCGGGCTTCTCTCCTGTGGTTCGGACACTCCAGGGAAGCTCCCAGCCCAGCCAGGCAACGTCTATTTCGAGCTGCCTGCTTGGCGCAAGGACTGCGCCTGGCGATGCTCAAGCTGCAAGGCTACAACCTTCCCCGCAAGCCCCGTCCGTTGATGCTTGCGTAGAAATCAGGAGGCTCCTATTTGAGGAAGCCACCACTTCACGTGTGGGGAGTCCAGGTCCAGAACAGGGAAATCGGCCTCATGGATCTCCCTGTGGATGGTTCCAAGATCAAAGAATAGGAGAGTTGAGAGGGACCCCAAGGGTCATCCAGTCTAACCCCCAGCAAGGCAGGGATCACAGCTGAAGAATCCCTGGCCACCCAACCACCATTTAAAAACCTCCGAGGAAGGAGAGCCCATCTGCTTCCAAGGGAATCTGTTCCACTGCAAGTAAATGAAGAATAAGATGAAGCATTTCCATCTTGAAGAAGTCTATGCTTATTCACTAGCTGCAGTCCTCCATCTCAAGAGGAGTTTCTGGTGGGGAACCTCGGGCCAAAACCAGACTGCCATCCCCTCTGTCTGGCCCTCAGCACTCTCCCCTGGCCACATCCTTCCCCGTGCCACCCCCCAAGTGTTTCTGCCTGGCTGGAATGTGTCCCTGAACACTGCTTGGGCCTCAGGATGGAGGACAGAAGCTTACCTGATTCTTCGCAGGTGAAGCCTAATTCATTGCTCCTCCCACTTTTGCCTCTCGTCCCGCCCACCACTGGCATGGACCCATCCCCAAGGTTGTCCAGAAGGGAATGTGGGCTCAAAAACTCTCTTGCCCCCCTCCCAGGAATTTAATCCCAAGGAGTCCTGTGTGGTTTGGGGTATGTGTGCGTACCCCAATGTCTTCCTGATGCCACAGGGTTTAGACCCCTGTGCCATTTCTGTGTTCTGGATAACTTCCTGTGCTCCTTGCTAGCAGCCTGTGATTCCTGCACTGCAGTCGGTTTTAGCTAGATGGCTCCTTGCGTCTCTTCCACCTCAGTAATTCTGTGATTCCAGCCCTGCAGCAGCTGCTTCTGTCCACACGGGTCTTTGCCGGCTCTCCAGCCAGCGGTCTGGGGCGAAGGTCCACCTGGTGTCCTGTGCCCTCTCGCCCACCCTGCCCCTTTGCCAGCTTCTCCCCGCCTCGGAATCGAGGCATCGGTGGCAGCTCTGTTGAATATAAACATGACACTTTCCCGCCCCGCCCCGAATCTGTCAGTTTGGGAGCCTTCGGTTAGCTCCTGTCATATTTAGTTTAGCATCTCACACCTTCTCGGAGGCAAGTGCCATTCTGGAGCACGAAACCCGATAACTCCTTCGGAGTTCCGAGAGCAACTTCCATATGGAAGACTTTGCAGAGCCCCCTGAAAACGCCGGCAGCCAGCTGCCACATTATGCAAAATGCGAACCACAATTGGCGACGTGCTGAAAGTTGAATGAAGGTGTATTTGCAAGATCTGCGATGCGCTGTGTCTGCGGAGCAGGTGTACTGTCTGCATAACTTTTTGTATGTGTGTCATCGTAGAGGAAGCAGAGACTAGGAGGCCTTCCGATTTTAGACTCGCTTGCCACCCACAGCAGTCTTAGGTCTTGTCAGGACCTGCAGCAAGGGCCAAAGCCTGGCAGGAGCAAGCCTTCGAGGCAGCGGTGCTGAGGATCAGAGTGGGAATCACTAGCCGCTGGGAGCACTTGCAAGAAAACAGGTGCCCAGCACAGCGCAGGCACCAGCAAAGAGTTTCTGGATGGGTAGATTGAGTTAATCTGAGGCAGTTAAAATCAGCCAAGGAAAAGGGGAGATTTAAATCCAGTTTCCCACATCATATATTTTGCAAACAATGGTGGACATATGACCATAACCATGTGAATTTACAAAAAAAAAGGAGAGCATTATTTACACTGCTGCTTTGTTCTTACAACCAGGCATTGCATCTCTTTGTTCTACCCAGTGATGGAGTTTATGAAAACTAAGAATCTAAGGATAGCCTTCTGGATCAGGCCAGTGGCCCATCCAGTCCAGCATCCTCTTCTCACAGGGGCCAACCAGATGTCCCTATGGGAAAACCCACAGGCAGGATCCTTTCCCAGGTATTCGGAAGCATTGTTGCCTCTCGGCTGTGCAGGCAGAGCAGAGCATCCCTCTCCCCCATGAATACTCCCTCTTGAATCTGCATGATTCGCCCACCCAGGAACCACCACCGAGTAGAAGCTCCAGACTGGTGCCTGTTTTATGCATGGTCAAAGTCACAGGTCTGCCAGCACTGTCACTGCTCCAAAGATCCTCGTGGATCTTTGTGGTTTTTAAATGACATGCCAACAAAACAACAAAGCGCAGTGTGCCTCTGTGAACACAGAGGTGGCCTGTGATTTGATTACAGTTTTCAGGGGAATCCATTGTCACAATCAGGGAATCTTTAAGGATCTGTGCTGGATCCATGTGGTTGTGCCATTGGGTGAGCTATGTGTGTGCCAAACTCAGAATCTGTTATTTTACTGACCCAATGAAAAATGAAAACTTTACTTTAGTGGTAGTCTTTGAGGATCCCATGTAAAAACCATGCACATTCAAGAGGACCAGTTGTTGTTTTTTAACTGGATTTGACTTCGTGTCAAGTTGTGGCTTGCCGCTTCCCCGTGGCAGCCATATTTGTGGCAGTGCCCACAACACTTTTTCAAAGCGTCAGATATGCCACAGGCTCAAAAAAGAAAAAAGGGGAAACAGAGATGTGGGGCAAACCTTGGGGGCAAGGTGGCCACACTGGGGTCTCCTCCTCCGCTACCAGATCTAGGCAGTGTCTCAAAGGAGGCTGACCTGGTCCATTTGCCATCCTGAATGTTGCTGCCTTTGCAATTCTGCAACTTCTCCTGCATTTCCACCAGAGAAATCACGGCCCCCAGATCTGTGCTCTGCATCCATGCCGCCGGACTTTTCCTAACTCTTAAAGCATCAAATTCACTGGGGGTGCCTCTGCTAACAAGGCAGCGGCCGCATCCCAGAGGCAACAAGTGTGGGGAGGCTGTTCCCCCGAAGGACGCAGCCTTGCCCCGCTTCCCCTCTGGGGCGGCCATTTGGGGCTTGCTGCAGCCGGGAGAGCCGAGATCTGAAGGCCGGGAGCGGGCGGCCCTGGCGGTTAATTGTGAGTCATTTAGGCTGAACTTTACAAATGGTAGAATCTGAGTTCCCAATTAAGACATTGCACTTCATGTGTTAATTAAGGCTTTTTCTTTAAATCAGGCCACAACTCCTCTTAATTAGGAGGCTATAGCCATTGTAATTTGAACTGGTCTGAGTTTAAAAACACCCATGGCGGAAGTCGCACCTGGGAGCCGCAGCCAGCGAACACTCTAAATTGGTTTCGTTCCCTGGCGGTGATTATGAGGAGCCCAGCAGGGCCGTAATTAGAAGGGTGCAGCCTTTGGGGGGAGAGCAGGAGGGGGCTGAGCGAGGAACGGGCGCTGCCATGGCTCCCAGCGAGGTGGCACGGGCCAGTTTCTCAGCACCACAGCATGCCTTGAGCGCATGGAAAGTGCTTCTTCAGGCTTTGAGCCCAAGGAAGTCCTGCTTTGCACAGCACATGAACCATGGAACTCCCTGCCGCAGGAAGCAGTGGTGGCTTCAGAAGAGGATTAGACAAATTCATGGAGGAGAGGGCCATCGATGGCTACTAGCCACAGTGGCCATGCTCTGCTTCCACAGTCGCAGGCAGCCATGCTTCTGATTATCAGTTGCTGGAAACCGCTGGCGGGGAGAGGGCTCTTGTGTTCAAATCCTGGCTGCAGATTTCCCACAGCCACTGTGGGAAGAGGATGCTGGCCTAGAGGGGCTGCTGGCCTGATCCTGCTAACTCTTAGGTTCTTTAAGCACCAGCTCTGGCGCATTGTGGAGGCCCAGATGCGCAGCTGCTGTGGTGCTGCTTGGGGAGCTGGTGCTGCTTGGGAATGCTTGACGTTGCTCAGGGGGACACTATCAGAGAGCCTGTGTGACCTAGTGGCTAGAGTGTCAGACTAGGACCTGGAAGAGACCAGGGTTCAAACTCTCCCTCAGCCACGAAGCACAACCTTGGACCAGTCTCTGTCTCTCAGCCTGACCAGCCTCCTCCTCATATAACCCTCACAAAACTATGAAGGCCAAGGTCATCCATGGCAAGGGCACCGGCAAGACCAACAGCTGGGGCTTTGTCAGGTTCAAGGTTGTTGTGGGGGTTAAATGGGGAGGAGGAGAACTATGTACGTAATTTTGAGCTCCCTGGAGAAGAGGTGGTCTATAAATTGGGGGGGGGGGGATGCACCTTAGCTAACTTAACGAACAGGGAGGGCAAGGAGATGGGCAAATTCTAGATGTGCAACAGGAACAGAGGGGTTAACTCCAGTCCGCTTGGTGCCATTCACACAGCCACATTGATTCTCTTTTCAAAGCACAGGCAAACTGTGGATGCAAGTTGGGTTTAGCTAGCCACCGGGAGATGGCAGGTTGGGCTGCAAAGCAGAGACGCTGTCACAGGGATCTCTTCAGCAGGTGCCACGCTCTGCCTGCCCAGCCCCACATGCTGTCACAGACTGGCTGGGCAAAGAGGAGTGGTGGAAGGCACACCAGCCGGGGAACCCCCATGGGAACTCCCGGAGGAAGACGGCTCAGAGCCAGGGGACTGTTGGTGGGAAACAGAGGAGAGGTCAGGGGGAGAAGATAGGGAGGAGGTGCCGGATGCTGAAGGGGCAACAGGGTTTAGTGAGAAGGAAGAGCCCGTGACAGGGAGCGGTTCAGATGCCGAGGCTGAAGCAGAGGAGCAGGGTCCAGAGACTGCTGTAGAATCCAAGGGGTCTCCCTCTCTGACAGCTCCCATCTCCTCTGGTCTCCAAGAACTCACAGGGTAATGAGAAGAGCAGAACAGAGACCAGAGGTGCGCAGGCACAGTTTGAGGCTGCTTGGGAAACATCCAGGAGAGGAGGAGCCTTAGAGAGGGTGGAAGGCAGGGACCTTCAGTCCTGGTAACTGCTCCCTAGGGACAAGACTTGCTGGGAAGCATGCTGAGACCACTAGGCCGAGTTGTCTGTTCGGTTTCTTGAATCAAGAGTTAACTTCACTGACAACGGAGATCTGCTTTCTTTCTTGCTGACCTGCATCTGACTCCAGCTCTGTGGGGCTAGCTGACATGCCCTTCAGTGCCCAGGGAGCTGGGGAGGAGGAATTGCGGGGAGCAAGGTGCGCAGAGTCCCGGGAGACACACAGTAGGAAGAAAGCCTGACAGAGGCCTCCAGCCACGAGGGCAACCCTCTCCTTCCACTGCTGGAGGAGGTAGATGCCTCTGAGCCCCACTTGGCTGGGGGTCGGGTGTGGGCTTGGGGATCATCTGGCTGCCACCTTGAGAACAGGGTGTTGGACGAGATGCCCTCCACACCCCACCTTTGGCCCCACCCACCTGCAGCCGCAAGGCTCTCCCGGCACCCTCATGTTCAGTCCATGCCTCTCTTCGCACCAACAAGCCCTTGCAATGTATACCTGAGATTCTGTGCAGCTGCGTCGATCCCACTTTGCAGGCAGGTGTTGCTGAGTCGGAGGTGGCGGTGGTTGGGGGGGCGAGGAGGGATCTCCCTGCTGCGCTTGCTGGTCTCAGACGACACCCCTCCTTCTTGCAGAACGGCTCTCCTGCGGTCGCGGCCCCGGATGGCCCTCCCCGTGCAGAGCCTTGTGTGCCTTGCTGCCTTCGGCCTGGCGCTGCCCCTGGCCATCAGCCTCTTCCCGCAGATGTCTGAGGTCAGTGTCACAACCGCCTCCCTCCTTGCGACGGACGGATGGGCGGAAGGGAGCAGGCTGGGGTGGAAGGACCTGTGCTCTGTGGAGACACTCTGCATGTGCTCTGGGGGACCCTGTGCTTTCTGATTATTTTGTGTCCTGGATCCATTGCCCTATGCCAAGGGTCTGTTGCAGGGGTTGACAGCACGACAGCCGTGGGCCCTTGATGTTTTCCCCGGCACCCAGGAAACTTCTGAGTGCCCCGCTCCCTGCCCCCTTGGCCATAAGTTGCTGATGGCTGCCACCTTTTTCCTCCCTTGACAAATACAAAGCACTGAAGGAGGACACTCCTTTCCCTCTTACCCTTTCAGCTCTTTGTGCTTTTCAAAGTTCAGATTAATACTGTTGGGATCTGACATTTTCCCTGTGTGCTGGTCCCGGGGGGAAGGTTACCGTTGGCGTAGTCAAAGTCCGGTCCTGGGTCACTGGTCTGGAAACAGTTCACAAGGATCGAGGCGAGGTCCGAAGCAGGAAGCCGGGCGGGGACAGGATCACTGGTAGGTCAGGTCTGGGTCCGGGCAAGAGCAGGTACTCAACGACGTTGCTCCCACAACCTGGGACCGGGCTGACTGGCCTTTATCTTCTCTGAGGCCAGGGGCGGTCCCGGCCCCCAGGAGACCTGCCTCTCCTGGCCTTAAGGCGAGCACTCTTCCTGGGAGAAACCAGTTCCCTCCGCCTCTCTGCCCTAAGCCTTTGCATTTCAGGAGAGGCTGGGGAGTTACTGGACCCAGGGGGAGACTCATCTTCCTCTGGCAGGGCCGGGAGAGGCGCACCTGTAGGCTCTGTGTCCTTAATCACCTCCGGAGCTAGAGTGGAATCACCTGGTGCCTGCTCCTGAGGATCCGGCACAGGTGCAGGCGCTTCAGATCCAAGGCCCCGCCCCAGCTCAGCCGGCCCTGGAGGCGGGGACTCTTGTGCAGGCTGGGGTTCCTCCAGTTCAGCCTCTGAATCGGATTCCCAGGCCATCACACCCTGATCTTTTGGAAAATTCAACTTGGGGTGTGTGTGTGTGCACACACTTTCTCTCCTTCTGTATCTCTCCCTCTGTGTGTAGGGGTGATCTGGGGCAAGGGGGAGAGAAATGACCAGAGCAGGGGTCACCAATGGCTCCCACCCCAAAATCCAAATGTGCCCACGGGCCTGAGAAGGTTGGTGGCCTTGGACTGTTGGATGCCTAAGGTGTGGCAGGCAACTCTCGCTCTCTCTTCCTCTCCTGCCACGGTTCCAGTGCCTCTCTGTACCTGTGTGATGTGGGTGCCTCGTGGGTCCCATCCCAGACTCAAACTTTGCTTATAGGTGATCAAAACAAGGGAGGCACAGAAGGGGTGCCTGCCACCCCAATGGCAGCTTTGATACATGCTTCTCCTAAACACCATTATTTGGGGAGACCCCCTGCCCTCTTTTAACCAGGAGCATCATGTTAGTTGATCGTTGGGTTTTAGAGGGTTACCGGAAGGACGTGTGTGAAACACTTGGAAGACCCAGTAAGTGATGTGGGAATGCTGAGGATGATGTTGAGGATTTCCTCTGTTTGCAAGGTGCAGACTGAATGTGGGAGAGGCTGTGGGAGGGAGCCTTGCAGAAAAACACGGCAGAGGGTGTCTCCTTGGCTGGCCCTGAAGTGTGGCGCAGGCCCTTCCTCACCACCGGGGGACCCAGCCCCCAATGCACAGCAGGCACAAGCTGAGGCTGGGTGTTGGGCATGCTGGAAAGAAGAAAGTATCTAAAAGGCAGTGGGGAAGGAAACAGGCCCCAATGCTGCTCCCCACAGGGCGTGTGTCGTCCAGCCCCAACTCTTCCCCCATCCCCACCAAGATCTCCGCAGGAGGGGGTCAGGGCTGCTCTCTCCCACCTCCCTTTGCAAGTCCTTCCTGGGTTGCTTCTCTGGTAGTGAACGGGTTCGTTTCTGGTCCCTCCTCCTACCTGGTAGTCCAAGTGGTCCATTGCAGCCCCCACTCCACTGTCCTGCCTGGGGGGCCCCAGTTGCACCGGCTTCAGTGCTGCTGCTGCAGCAGTGAGGACCATTTTGAGAGAAGAATGTTCCACGGAAGGGGTCCATGCTGATTGGCGAGGCCACCTAGGAGGCTGCAGGCAGACTCGAAGGTCTTTTTGGTGGTGGCTTCTTCAGAGTCAAGGCTTGGTGTGACTGTGACCCTACCGGAACAACAATATGCTGTATTTGATTTACATGGTTGGTTTTAGGGTTCTTGCGTTGAATAGCTCTCGTCTGTTGCTTTAGGTCACCCTGGGGACCTTTGGGCGGATGGGCAGAATGCAGATTCGATCAAACATAAATGGTGATGATGATAATAATTCTAAAAAATTGAAAGGGGGAGTTGAGACGGTGAGCCCAGAGTGTGTGGGGCAGACGGGAGAGAAGTTGTTCAGAAGAACCACCTGGCAGGTGCGGGTACCAGGTGTGGCTAACCAGATGCCCCAAGGGGAAACCAGCAAGCAAGAGCTGATTAGGACTCTCCCCTCCCACAGTTTCCAGCAACTGAGATTCATAGGCGTTGCTGCCTCCAGCCATGGAGCAGAGCCATTGTGGCTAGTGGTCATTGTGGCCTGTAGCCACACATCGCCTTGTCCTCCATGCAGCTCCCCAGTCGTCTTTGGAAGCCATCCAAGCTGGCGGCTGCGAAAGGATTCTCACGTACTGCTAGGACCCCTGCCTTTGGGGGCCAAGGCTTGGAGGCTGCCCATTCTGGAGCAGAGTCCTGAGCCCCAGCCGAAAGAGCCCTCTCACCTTGACTGCCAGGCTCGTGTCAGGCTCTGGCCTGAAGAGGGAGGCCTTGAGGGATGGCGTGAGGCTCTGGAAAGGCTGAGAGCCTCTCTCCTCCTCCTCCTCCCCCTGGTTTGGATGGGAGACAAGCTGTCTCTGCGGATGGGGGTTTGCTCCCAGCTGAAATTCTGTTCCCTGCACAGGCTTCCTTCTGGATCTCCAGGCCAGGAGGGGGGAGGGAGGGAGGGGGGAATAGCTCCCTCTTCCCCAATCTGTTGGAGCCGCCATCTTGCTGGCAGGGCGCCATTGGAAAAGCAAAAGGTTAATGAGCTAATAATTTGCGGCAGTGGGGGTGGGATTGCAGCAGTGGCAGCAGCCGCAGCGGCAGGGAGAGAGGATGACAGTGAACCAGCAATTACTAATTAGATGCAGTTTAACAGGAGGAGCAAGTGACATCTCCTCTTCACCAACTGTCAATAATTAGCGGATCTGGTGAGGCTGAAATGTGTCCACAGTTAAAAGGCTGCTTTTTAATGGAAGGGGGGGGGAAGGGACTCGATAAAAAGAGCCGCACGGAGGTCACTGCCATGGTCCCCGAGAAAGATCTCCCAATCAGGCAGGAAGACAAGGATCCTCTGGGAGCTGCCGCTGTCTGGGGCGGGTGGCAGAGATGGCCCCCGTGGGAGAGGAAGCCAGAGGGGGGGGGCATTGGTTAAACTATGGAACTCTTTCCTGCAGGAGGCAGTAGCGGCCACCAATGGATGGCTTTAAAGGCAGATGAGACCCACTGATGGGGGAGGAGAGGGCTATGGATGTCCACTAGCTACGTCTGCAGGCAGCGATGCTTCTGCAGGCCGGTTACTGGGATCGCCGGGAGGGGAGAGGGCTCTTGAGCTGGGATCTCGCTTGCTGGTTTCCCATGGGGGCATTGGCTGGCCACTGTGAGGCCAGGAGGCTGGACTAGATGGGCCATTGGCCAAAAACATGAAAGCATTAGCAGGATTGCAATAACACTTGCGATGTAGAAATTATTATTATTATTATTATTATTATTAATACCCTGCCCATCTGGCTGGGTTTCCCCAGCCACACTGGGCGGCTTCAAACAGAACACTAAAATACAATAACCTATTAAACATTAAATGGAGAGACTTGGATGATGAAATAGTATGCAGTTGAAAAAGTTGACATTAGGACCCATGGATGGAGGGGAAGGTGGGAAGTCTAGGGATTTGGAGAAATCTCTAAATATGGATATGTATTTGGTAATGTTATAATTCCACACTTGTAAAATCAAATAAAAACTATTTCATAGAAGGGCCATTGGCCGGATCCAGCAGTCTCTTCTGACTTTGGCTGCGAATGCAAGGCCAGGCGTGGATCTGTGGCTCAGGCCTGGCTGGAGCGGCCCAAGGGCAGAGCAGGCATTTTCTCAAGGACCTCGGGGTGGTGTGCCTGGGTCTTCCCCCTCTCCCTGTTTCTCCTCGCAACAACCCTGCAAGGGAGATTATGTTGAGAGACAGACGGGCCGGCTCAAGGCCACCCAGTGAGCTTCATGGCTGAGCCGGGACTGGAACCCGCCTTTCCCCAGTCCTAGTCCAACACTCCCACCGCTGGACTGCACTGCCTCTCTTCTGCTGGTGGTGGCGCTCTTGTGCAGCTTCAGTTCACTTCCATTGTGCAGGAGAGCAGTGACCAGGGTGAATCCTTGCGCGTGGGTGTGTGGATGAGGACTCTGTGGTGGAGAATCTGCTTTGCATTCTGAAGGTCCCTGGTTCCATCCCCAATGAGATTTCCTCCTGGAAACCCTGGAGAGCCACTGCTGCTGGCCAGAGTGAGCAGTACTGAGCTGGGGGGGGGGGGAAGGCAATGGTCTATAGACTATAGACCACAAAGGTTATTTATCCACAATGGGCATCTATCCACTGGTAGGTGGGTAGCTCAATCAGAGCATGAGACTCTTAATCTCAGGGTCATGGATTTGAAATCCATGCTTGGCAAAAGATGTCTGCATTGCAGGGGGTTGGACTAGATGACCCTTGGGGTACCTTCCAATTCTACAATTCTATACTATGACAAACCCAGACAGCATCTTAAAAAGCAGAGACATCACCTTGTCCGTATAGTTTTTATCAGTAGTGATGTATGGAAGTGAGAGCTGGACCATAAAGAAGGCTGATCACCAAATCATTGATGCTTTTGAATTCTGGTGCTGGAGGAGACTCTTGAGAGTCCCATGAACTGCAAGAAGATCAGACCTCTCCATTCTGGAGGAAATCAGCCCTGAGTGCTCACTGGAAGGACAGATCCTGAAGCTGAGACTCCAAGACTTTTGCCACCTCATGAGAAGAGAAGACTCCCTGGAAAAGACCCTGAAGTTGGGAAGGATTGAGGGCACAAGGAGAAGGGGACGACAGAGGAAGAAATGGTTGGATAGTGTTCTCGAAGCAACCAGCATGAGTTTGACCAAACTGCGGGAGGCAGTGGAAGACAGGAGTGCCTGGCGTGCTCTGGTCCAGGGGGTCACGAAGAGTCGGACACGACTAAATGACTAAACAACAACAACAAATTTATTTGGGTAGCTGAAGCTATGAAAAACAAAATACATAGAACAGAATAAAATGCATTACGCAGTTAAAATAATTATTAAAACCAAGCATTCTGTCAGATTAACTTTTCACCCCACAAGCCTTCCTTCTTAAAATTGCCTCTCCGAAAGCAAAGCAAGCCACTCTTCCAGAAGTGTTGGGGGAACCTCTCCCCTGATGAAAAGTTAGAGACCCACTCAGTCTCCCAGCTGGGGGATTTAACTCACTGAGCAAGGCTGCTCTTAAGTCCTCGTAGATTGGACAAACTAGTAACTTGTGGGGTGAATCTTCAGGCAGTTTGCCTCCTCCCCATGGGCAAACTCTTCATAAGGGACCGGGCGATGGAGTCCTTCAAGTGTGGCAGAGCGTGTGGACTGGAGCCGCAGCGTTGCCAAGGCTTTTCTCGTGGATCTGACTTCTTGACCCGTGTGGTGTTGGCCGCACAGTGGGGCTGAGGGGTCTGAATGAGTAGTTTGGCATACCAAGGGGAACATTGGAGGCAGAAGTGTGATCGGCACAAAAGCCATGTTTTAAAATATGAGAGTTCATGTGGCCAGATGCCAGCTCAAAGTCTGTCAAGCTCAGTGTCCAAAGAGAGGCCACATGTGTCAAAAACTGGGTTCTCTAATTCCCATGCTTCTGTTTCCAGCAGTCTTTCAAACCACAGTTCCACAAGCCTGTCAGATGCCCGACTAGAGTCCAGGCATTTTATTCTGCAGAGTTCTTACTCTGACTGTCATTTAGCAATGTTGGGGGGGCGGAGACTTGATAAACTCCCCTGAAAAATTCTTGGACATTTCAAGAGGACACGATGGCCTTTGGCTGTTTCTCATGCATTTGTGTGTGTATAGATACATCTTCGTTGTTTTTAATATTTTGCCACCACATTTCCGGTCTTGCCCCTGGGGCCATGAGGTCCAGAAACACTTTGGAAAGCGAAGACGTCTTGCTCTCGAAAGCCTCAGAAGAAGCCTCAGCCTCTGCCATGGCTCCTCAAGAGCCACCCTCTGCCTGCCCTGGAGTTCGCTGGCCTTGTGCCCATTGCGACGGTGCTCTGCGCTTGAGAAGTCTGGAGTTGTTTCCGATGGTCCTCAAGGCTGTGCTGTAGCCGGTGCCCTTTGCGAAAAAAGAAAATTAGTGACCTTTCTTTATAAACTGACCTTCGCTACAACAACTCCCAGAGTGGCAAACAACTTAATCTAAGGAAAAACAAATACAACAAAACAGTGGTTTGTGAATTCATCTGACAAAAGTCAGCAATAAGAGGGGAATTTGTGCTGGGGAGGAGGGCGGAGGAAGAAGAGCTACACAGTTCCTCGAAAAGGGAAGGGGGAAGGCAGCTGAGGACTCCAGGGGATTCAAAGTGTGAGGAAGGAGATTCCGAATCAACATCGGGAAGAACTTCAGGATGGCAAGAGCTGTTCAACAGTGGAATGGGCAGCCCGTTGGAAGTTTCTTAGCAGAGGTTGGGTGGCCGTCTGTCAAGGATTCTCTGGCTGTGATTCCTGCATTTCAGGGGGTTGGACTAGATGACCATGGGCAGCCCCTTCCGGTTCTTACTATTCTGTGACTGAAGGCGCATCTAAAACCAAGAAACTGAAGTTGGCCCTGCTCAGGCTGAGAGCCACAGTCCCATGAAAAAGGAAAAGTGATGCTCCCAACCCACAGCATCCTTTGATTCAAAGCATTTTTAAATCGTGCTGTTCAGTTGAAAATAGGCTTCCGGGGTGGCGTAGAAATAGCACAAAGCCCCCACTCTCAAGCTGACAGGCTAAAAGGCATGACACAAAAGGAAGCACGCCCAAGAGAGAGGAGGAAGAGAGCAAACTCCAGGCACCGGTTCTGAGTTACAGCATTCTTGCAGTGACCAGCTGGAAGGGAAAGAATGGGAGATGAGCCGCCAAGAATTTCCTCAGAGCTGATGGCGAGGCGCTGCCCTCTCCTCTCCCCCCCCCTCCTGCCGCCTGCTGGGATGCCTCTGCCAGAGAACAGGAGAACAATAAAAGAACAATGCTGCGAGACTCCCAGCCTTGTCAGCAAAGTCCAGCAGAACCACACAAGCCCAGCTTGGGCCAGCTAAGAAGCGCATTCCAGCAGCAGGCTCATTTCTCGGGGGGGGGGAGCAGTGGCATAGCAGGGGGACGGGGGACACCGGGGCACAAAATTGTTAGGGGTGCAAAATTTCAACACCCAGTGCAGCCTCAATACAGTTACGCCCTTCCGTCACTGAGCTTCATGGATAATGGCTTCTCCATGCAAACCAGAAAACTTAACGGCTCTTTTTTTCTTATCTCTGTGGCTGCAACCTCTTGGGTGATGCAGATGCCATTAGGCAGTTGAATGCGCATGTGTCCTCCCTTTGTTTCCCCCTGTCCACCCCTTGTGTGTGGCCCCAGGCACCGGCAACCCATGCTACGCTCCTGGGGAGGAGGGCATCCTCATTGCCTTCTCCTGCCTTGCACCATCTGACTTGGGAGCATCCAGTAAGGGGTGTGGGGGGCTTTGGCTGCTCGTTGCTGCCGGGGTTGGGCCAGGCAGTTTCTCAGCCCGCGCTTTGTGCCAGCCTCCTTCTCCAACTGGGCGCCCTCCAAAGGCTTTGGGCTGCAACTCCTGCCAGCGTCAGCAGCACACAGACTTCCTGGCTGGGACTGATGGGAGGAGTGAACCGCATCAGCAGAGGCTTCAGCTGGATCAGGCCAGTGGCCCATCGAGTCCAGCCAGCATCCTGTCCTCACCCAGATGCCTGTGGGAAGCCAGCAAGCATCTCTGAATCTCTCACCTCACAGGCGGAAGGAGCAGCAAGCAAAATCAAGACCCTGCTCCCTCCCTCTCTTGCCAGCCCCCCTGCCCAGTCTTCTCGCCCCTCACCCTGCTGGCACGCCAGCCCTGTCTGTATCACAGGCAAAGCTCATGGGTCCAGCTGGGGACTTCGGATTTCCTCTGTCCTTCCCCTTGGCTTTGCCTTGACGCTCCCCTCGGCTCCCACCACCCCTTCGCCTAGCATCCGGAAGAATACCTTTGCTGCAAAGACCACCGGAGGGCAGGGAAGTCTGCTGAAACAGGAACTGCCTCCCTCCCTTGCTCCCTCTTCCTGGAGCAGGTGGGTTCCTGAAGTAGCTTTTGCCCTGGTCTTGGACACTTGAGAAACATCCACACTCCCTCTGTCTTGGACCCTGAAACTACTTGAGGGACATCTTTGGGAAAATAAAAGGCTCAAGAGTAATTGTTGTTGTTGTTGTTGTTGTTTAGTCGTGTCCGCCTCTTTGTGACCCCTTGGACCAGAGTACGCCAGGCACTCCTGTCTTCCTCTGCCTCCCGCAGTTTGGTCAAACTCATGCTGGTAGCTTGGAGAACACTGTCCAGCCATCTCGTCCTCTGTCGTCCCCTTCTCCTTGTGCCCTCCATCTTTCCCAACATCAGGGTCTTTTCCAGGGAGTCTTCTCTTCTCATGAGGTGGCCAAAGTCTTGGAGCCTCAGCTTCAGGATCTGTCCTTCCAGTTAGCACTCAGGGCTGATTTCCCTAAGAATGGAGAGGTTGGATCTTCTTGCAGTCCATGGATCACCGGCTTGCCGTGGCGAAGGGGCTTGAATAACTCAGAGAAGCTATGAGCTATGCCATGCAGGGCCACCCAAGATGGACAGGTCATAGTGGAGCGTTTTGACCAAACGTGATCCACCTGGAGCAGGAACCGGCAAGCCAAGAAAACTCCATGGACAAAGGCAACAGGCTCAGGAGTAAACCCTCCACAAATCCAGAGTGGAGTCCCTAAGGCAGTTGGATGGTGCCTCGTACGCCTCCTTTCGGCAACTCCTGCAGCCAAGCTGGTGCCCAACGTCTTGCTCTGCTTTCCTTTGGACCCCATCGGCCAGGCCAAGAGGGGGGTCTTGTCGTCTGGGCAGCCCAGGACCTCCAGACACACTGCCCAGGCTTGTGCCCCGAGAAGGTCACTTTGGTGTTGCTGACGCAGCGGTTTGCTTTCACCCCCAGAGGCGCACTCCGTTGCCTCTCGAGACAGCTGGATGTCCAGAAGAACAAGAAGAATATACATATGTGGACCCACTCTATTCTTGCTTTTCTTATTAAGTTAAAACTGTTTTTAATGTTGTATTTCAGAGTGTGACTTTCCATGAGGTCTCTTGTGCTCGGATCCTGCTTAGGGGTTTCCCACAACAGGCATCTGGTTGGCCCCTGTGCAAACAGGATGCTGGACTAGGTGGGCCATGGGCCTCATCCAGCAGCAGTCTCTTCTTGCGTGACCTGCCTCTCTCCTTGGGCACCTCCCCTTTGCCTTTGCTTTATGCAGCCTGAAATTTTGTATTTTCGTGTTCTGTTGGAAGCTGCCCAGAGTGGCTGGGGAAACCCAGCCAGATGGGCGGGGTATAAATAATAAATTATTATATTATTATAATGTGCCATGGAGTCATAATCTTAAGGACTCTGCACGTTAGCGGTGACCTGAGCCAACCCAACCAACCAACCAACCAACACCCCCCCCCCCGGTCTTCCCAGGGACCCTCCTCGGACCTGTGCATTCTGCCAGCCTTGTGGCCACATCTCATAAGATTGTAGGGTTGGAAGGGACCCCCAAAGGTCATCTAGGGCAATCCCCTGCAATGTAGGAATCACATTCTCATTACAGCCCATCCCACGCCTGCCTGCAGCCATCCTGAGGAGCCCTGGCCAGCAGCAGCAGCCCCTCCTGAACCACAGAGGATGGTGTGGGGCACGGGCCACGGCAGGGGAAGGGGGGAATGGCAGACGCCAGCCACCACCTGCGAAGCTCTGGGGCAGGGCAAGTGTTGTAGCCCCCTGGGTTGCCAAAGGAACCTTCCATCTGTGGAGTGAAAGGGGTGAGGGAGGAACGAGAGCCCCCCTCCCAGCCCTGGAGACCCTGCAATGGCCTCCAGACTATGACTCTGCAAGGGAAGACTTCCCTCTCTCTCTCTTTCTCCCGGTGCCTCTGGACTCCTTGAGACGGGCCTTTGAAACAAGGCAAGCAGGTTCTGCAAGAGGCTCAGTCCAGGCCGAGCCCCCACCCCAAGCGCTGAGCCTGGTCCCAGGGTTGGCGTCCCTTCTGAAGCAGAGAGAGGCTCGTCCGGTGAGGAACTGGAGGCCAAAGGGGTCACGACAGGGGAGGGGGAACCCTCTTGTGTGGCTCAGGAGGGTTCAGCAGCCGGATCCGAGCAGGATCCGGTTTCCTCCTCCTCCTGTTCTCTCAGCTCCTTGCTTCAAGTATGTAAACTATCTGCGTTACAAGCCCCTGCTAACCAGCCCCTACCGCCCCCCAGGTGTGTGGGGTGCTGGTGGGCATCAAAACATTCCTCTTTAACAGAGCCTTCACTTCCTAGTGCCTCTAAGCCATTAAGAGTCCTACAAAAAACAAACAACCTTGTAGAGGCTTGAAAGCTGCTCTCAGGAGGGAGGCACTTTGGAGCAAGGGGTGGGTGTTTTATGCACCACCCGCCTTGCAGCTCCCTGCCCCGCTGAGAGAAAAAAGACCTAGTCATTGTCTTACTTCTCTGGGATCCATCTCAGACACTTGCTCTCTCCCACTGCTGTTGGCAGGCTGTGCCTCTGCCCATGTGCATAGTGACGTCCCAAGGGCAGGGGCAATATCACCTTATCTGGTCTGGGCAGTCATCTCTGCTGCCGGGTGCTGTGCTTGGTCCACGGCCCAGAGCAAAAGGCATATTGGAGCTCTGCACATGCTTCGTAAAAGATAAAGGGACCCCTGACCGTTGGGTCCAGTTGTGGCCGACTCTGGGGTTGCGGTGCTCATCTCGCTTTATTGGCCAAGGGAGCCGGCGTACAGCTTCCGGGTCATGTGGCCAGCATGACTAAGCCGCTTCTGGCGAACCAGAGCAGCACACGGAAACGCCGTTTACCTTTCCGCCGGAGCAGAACCTATTTATCTACTTGCACTTTGAGGTGCTTTCGAACTGCTAGGTTGGCAGGAGCAGGGACCGAGCAACAGGAGCTCACCCCGTCACAGGGATTCGAACTGCCGACCTTCTGATCGGCAGGTCCTAGGCTCTGTGGTTTAACCCACAGCGCCACCCACGTCCCTTGCGCACATGCTTTGACTGAGCAGCAAAAAACCCCTAATGCAATTCTAGGCAGCATCGAAGAGGCATAGTTTGTCTAGATCAAGTCATGGCACATCTCCTCTGCCTTGGTCAGACCACGTCTGGAGGGATGTGTCCTGTTCTGGGCACCGCAATTTAAGAAGGATGTTGACAAGCTGGAAGGTGTGCAAAGGAGGGAGACCAAGAGGACGAAGGGTCTGGGGACCAGGCCTTAGGTGGATCGCTAGGAGGAGCTGGATATGTTTAGCCTGGAAAAGAGGAGATACGAGAACCAACACCAGATATCTAAAGAGCTGTCACATGGAGGAGGGAGCAAGCTTGCTTTCTCCTGCTCCAGAGGGTAGGACTCAAACCAATGGGTTGAACTGATTACAAGAAATGTATTTTGGACTAAACATCTGGGAGAGCTGTCTGATGGTAAGACTTCTTCAATGGTGGAATGGACTCCCTCAGAAGGTGGTAGACTCTCCTTCTCTGGAGGCTTTTAAGCTGAGGTTGGGTGGCCGTCTCTCAGGGATGCTTCAGCTGAGATTCCTGCATTGCAGGGGATTGGACTAGATGACCCTGGAAGACCCTTCGAACTCTAGAATTCTGTGTTTCTGTGCAGGGCTTTTTTTTCCAGCCAAAACTCACAAGAACTCCATTCCAGCCCCTCTCAGGTGGGCACCATTGCCATTCTAAGAGAACGTTCTGGCACCTCTTTTTCCAGAAGAATAGCACTGGTTCTGTGATTCCTGACAGCCAGAGCAATTAAGACCCTCCACAGACTGGGCCTCCATCTCGCTCCTCATCCAAGGCTCAGGGCTCCTCGACACGGCTTCCTGCCCAGTGTTGGAGCAGCAGGCTGGCTTGGCAAGTGAGCGGCGGTGGGGGAAGCAGGAGAAGTGGGGCTGGCTACCAGGCAGCCCCATCTGCTGCTTCCCTCCTCAAGACCCGCTGCTGCCGCAGAGCCGCTTGGGGCTGGCCTGCTCCTCCTTCTGTGGGGCTGCCTCTCCCTGTCTTGCCCACCCCTGGGCCTGACCTGCCTGTCCGTCACGCACCCTGTAAGGCCTTGAAGCAGGAGTTGTTGCTTCTGGGCTCCGTGTGGGGCTGGCAGGGTCCCTGGATGTAGGAGCCCCCTAAGAGGCAGGGAGGGAGAAGCAGGGATGGTAGGTGCGTCCCCTACAGGCAGCTTGCCACAGGGCTGCCATCACCTGGCCCCCAGGAAACTACAACTAATCCAGAATGCGGCACCCAGACTGGTGACTGGGGGCGGCCGCCGAGACCACATAACACCGGTCTTGAAAGGCCTACACTGGCTCCCAGTAGGTTTCCGAGCACAATTCAAAGTGTTGATGCTGACCTTCAAAGCCTTAAACAGCCTTGGCCCAGTATACCTAAAGGAGCATCTCCACCCCCATCGTTCCGCCCGGACACTGAGGTCCAGCTCCGAGGGCCTTCTGGCGGTTCCCTCGCTGCGAGAAGCCAAGTTACAGGGAACCAGGCAGAGGGCCTTCTCGGTGGTGGCGCCCGCCCTGTGGAATACCCTACCACCAGATGTCAAAGAGATAAACAACTACCAGACTTTTAGAAGACATCTGAAGGCAGCCCTGTTTAGGGAAGCTTTTAATGTTTAACAGACCACTGTATTTTAATACTTTGTTGGAAGCCGCCCAGAGTGGCTGGGGAAACCCAGAGAGATGGGCGGGGTATAAATAAGAAATTATTATTATTATTATTATTATTATTATTATTATTATTATTATTCCTCTCTAGCAGCCACTCTTCGTTTATCTGATAGTTTGTTTTTTGCATTTATACCCCACCTGAGGTGCCCAAGGCAGCATCCCTTTCCTCTTGCCCTGATGTAGTTACCTCTGGGCAGGGACTCGGATTTTTGGTTTCTTGGCCTGTGTTCCTCTGCAAAAGGCCATGTATGCTGATGACAAATATTCAGGATTTATTATTATTATTAAGGGGGGGGAGGGAGAACAATTTGTTGAAATGGCATTGGCCAGTCATTCACCTGAGAATCTCTTTATTCACTGGCTTGTGAGAGTCTTGCTCCATCTCAGCCCCTGAGGGTTGAGGACTTGAACTAAGAAAGGCAGCTCCACCTTGGCTTCCGTCATTCCCCTCCCAAGAGCTGTCCAGGTGTGTGTGGGGGGGCTACTTGCCTTATTTCTGTTGCAGACGCGGTCGGTTGTGGCACTCGCTGCCACAGCAACCGGTGTGTGTGTGTGTGTGTGTGTGTGTGTGTGTGTGATGCTGCAAAATGTGAGTGATGGAAGTTGCTATTCCTCCCCTCTCTCTGCCCCTCCCCAACCTCCTGCATCCTTCAACACTTTGGGAGACAACCGCACTTTCTGAAAACACTGTTATTCATTTGTCTCCAAGGGAAGCTTCAGCTACGCTTGTGTAATTAACCCTGTTAAACTGACATTCCTCCCTAAGGACGGAGGGAATACCTGCGTTTTGCTGGACGCCACAGAGGGGGCCTTGGATGGCCAAGAGAATGGCATTTCTGATGGCAGCTGGGAAATTCTTATCTTGAAAGTCAGTAAAAACATATACAGTATTTTTAAAAGAGAAAGGAAATAGGAAGAATGGCAAGGAGCACAAGCCCATATCACTTCCTGGGAGCTGGGCCTCTGGTTTGTGGAGAGAGGCTAACGAAAACCATTCTTGTTTCACAGGAGCCTTGGATGCCCCAGGCCTTTATGGGAAAGGAGTTGTGCTTGGCTAAGGTTTGTTAGCAGTGCTCTGGCAAAGCAGATTACCTTTCAAGGGGAGGTTAGCAGTGCCATCCTGATTCAGTCTGTGCCTGGGGCGTGCAAATGAGTGTTACATCTGCTTGGTCCTCCTCTTAGCCGTCCGCTGAGCTGCAGTAAACATGCCTGGCTTAAGGTGTGTAAAGTAACCACAGTCTCGTACTTGGACAAGCCTTCGAATGTTTATTTTTTCTGGGCCAGAATATGGTGGGCACATTGGGGCACTGGCTTGTTTTGAGTGATTTGTTCCACTTCCCAAATCCTGCAGAAGGGAAGATATTTATTCCTTTTGACCATCCTTACCTGTCCACTGAAAGGGACACGGGTGGCGCTGTGGGTTAAACCTGATCAGAAGGTTGACGGTTCGAATCCCCGCAATGACGGGGTGAGCTCCCGTTGCTCAGTCCCAGCTCCTGCCCACCTAGCAGTTCGAAAGCACATCAAAGTGCAAGTAGATAAATAGGAACCGCTCCGGCAGGAAGGTAAACGGCGTTTCCGTGCGCTGCTCTGGTTCGCCAGAAGCGGCTTAGTCCTGCTGGCCACATGACCCGGAAGCTGTACGCCGGCTCCCTTGGCCAATAAAGTGAGATGAGCGCCGCAACCCCAGAGTCGGCGTTTCCGTGTGCTGCTCGCCAGAAGCGGCTTGGTCATGCTGGCCACATGACCCGGAAGCTGTACACCAGCTCCCTCGGCCAGTAAATTGAGATGAGCGCCGCAACCCCAGAGTCGGCCACGACTGGACCTAATGGTCAGGGGTCCCTTTACCTGCCCACTGACTATTTTATGTTTTGATACTTTGAGCGAAACTCTTTGGAAAGGACCTTGAAGGAGTCTCAGGTCCAGTGCTTGCCATCCCATGAGCTTGGAATCCTCTGCCCCAGAGATGGGAAACATTTGAGAACCTAAGAAGAACTCTGCTGGATGAGGCCAAAGGGGCCCATCTAGCCCATCTAGCCTGTTCTCACAGTGGCCAACAGATGCTGCAATGATAAACCCATAAGCAGGACCTGAACTCAACAGAAACGCTCAAATGCCATGATGGAAACGCTTGGTGCGACTTCGTGTACGGTTCTGGGTACCTCACTGCAAAAAGGATATTGTAGATCTGGAAAAGGTCCGGAAAAGGGCAACCGAAATGATTGAGGGAGTGGAGAAGCTCCCATGTGAGGAAAGGTTGTGGGATTTGGGCCTTTTTCGTTTAGAGAAAAGGTGGATAAGGAGAAGCATGATAGAGGTGTATTGAAAATCATGTGTGGTTTGGAAAAAGTGGATAAAGAAAAGGTTTTCTTCCTCTCTCATAGCACTAGAACTCGTGGGCATTCAATGAGGCTGAATGTTGAAAGGTTCAAGACCGGGGTCAGCAAACTTTTTCAGCAGGGGGCAGGTCCACTGTCCCTCAGACCTTGTGGGGGACCGGACTATATTTTGGAAAAAAATATATGAACGAATTCCTATGCCCCACAAATAACCCGGAGATGCATTTTAAAGAAAAGCACACATTCTACTCATGTAAAAACATGCTGATTCCCAGACTGTCGGCGGGCCAGATTGAGAAGGTGATTGGGCAGGATCCGATCCCCGGGCCTTAGTTTGCCTACCCATGTTCAAGACAGACAGAAGGAAGTCCTTCTTCATGCAGCGCAGAGTTAAACAGGGGTGGCCACCAACTTGGATGGCTTTAGAAGAGGATGAGGCAGAGTCATGGCGGATCAGGCCATCAGTGGCTACTAGTCGTGATGGCAAGTTTTCTCCCTCCTCTGTCAAGGTACCAGTTGCTGTGGATCCCAAGGGAGGAGAGTTCTGCTCCTGCTCTCGGTTCTGCTTCCAGGCTTTACCTGGGCACCTGCTTTCCCTACGTTCTTATCCAAAGCAGGACCAAGAGATGCCTTGGCTCAGAAAATCCGCAACAGAGGAGGTTCCACAAGCTGTTCTTTGAGTGATCCCAAGTCATGAGACACTGAGGTCCAGCTCCGAGGGCCTTCTGGGGGTTCCCTCACTGTGAGAAGTGAGGTTACAGGGAACCAGGCAGAGGGCCTTCTCGGTGGTGGCACCTGCCCTGTGGAATGCCCTCCCACCAGATGTCAAGGCAGTAAGCAACTATCTTACTTTTAGAAGACATCTGAAGGCAGCCCTGTTTAGGGAAGTTTTTAATGTTTAATGCTGTACAGTACTGTGTTTTTAATATTCAGTTGGGAGATGCTCAGAGTGGCTGGGGAAACCCAGCCAGATGGATGGGGTATAAATAATAATTTATTATTATTATTAATCTCAGGGTTGGGCAAAAAGATTCCTGCATTGCAGCAGCTTGGGCTGGATGATCCTCACAGTCCCTTCCAACTCCTCAGTTCTGTGAAACCGCCCTTCTGGGGATTTGCAGAAGTCCTGTGAGCCCGGCCCCAGCTAGGCCTTGCTGATGCGCGGAGGCATCTGGACCCGGTTCCTGAGGCCTTTGTTGTGCTGACGCAGCCCCCGCCGCGCCCTTTGCAGAGGCTCTGTGTGGCTCAGGGCAGGCTCTCCGCTAAGCCCTTCAGCGCCTTCCTTTTAACACCTTGCACCTGTGGGACTTTCATGCTCAGCTGTGCAAACCGAGACGGGGGAAGCTCCCGCCATCCGTGCTGCGGAGGGAAAGTGGAGAGGCTGAAAGCTCCTAAGGAACGTCATTCATCCCTCCAAAATTCACTGCTTCGAAATGTCAAACACGGCGAGATGATCAAAGCCGAGGCAGGAAGAAATGAGGGGGCCCCGTCCCCTCTGGAGCAGGTAATTGCCCTTTAAAGATCTCTGAGCCTGGCAGATGAGGAGGGGGGGACCTCTCCGACTGGCCTCCTTTCCCATGGTGACCAGAAGGCCAGGTGTTGCAGGAGAGGGAGCAAACAGGAGCGTGGCCCATCTCGCGCAGCATCCTGTTCTCGCAGTGCCCCATCTGGGGAAACCGGAAGCAGGACTCAAGGACAAGAGCAACTCAGTTTCCAGCAACTGGTGCTCAGAAGCTTTGCTGCCTCCCCTTGTGGAGTCTCCCTCCCCGCTGTTGCTTCTGGACTCCGGCAGCCCCAGACATCACAGAGTGCCGAGGCTGAAAGAGACCCCAAAGCCAGCTTGTCTAGAAGACCGGCTGCCGTCAAGTCGGGCCCTTCCTGGACCACAAGTGTGGGTGATTCCCCACGCCCCACTTCCCCTGAACTTGGCTCTTTCCTTGGCCCCTGCAGCCAGAGCCACCCCTGTTGAATTGCCGCCCCCCTTCACTTGCTGGTAGGGAGCCTGGTCCCTTCTCCTTCAGAGAACCTGCCTGCCTACCTGCGCCTTTCTCCAAAGGTGGAGCATCAAGCCCAGGCACAAAGCGCCCGCTCTCTGCCTCTCTAGCCACCTTTGCGTGGGGTGCACGCAGCAAAGCAGCCACCCCAAACACAGCCTCTTTCTCCTCCTCCCGCAGCCTGCCCGGCTTGCCTCCACATCCCCAGAGGCCCCTGCTGAACCCCTGTGGAGATGGTGTCCGTGTGATAACACCCGCAGGTAGATGAACCCGCTTTCTGATGGGGCTTAAGGAGTCCAGAAGTCCTTGGACAAGCACTCCCACCATCCCTGGCCACCCTGGAGAACTACTTCCGGTCAGTGTGGACAATACCGGTCAAAGGGAGCCAGTTGGGTCTCTGCCTCTGCCTGCCACCTTGGCCCTGGCCCCTCCTGCCCGTGGGTCTTTCCAGCCAGGATGCCAGGTCTCCGCCCCAGAGTCCCTGGGCAATGTCACAGAAGCCCCAGCCCAGCCACTTGGCCTCTGAGCTTCTTCCTGGCTGCTTGGGGAAGGAGCTGCACCTTCCAGCTGCCAGCAGAGGGGATCTCTGCGGCGTCTGGAGCTGCCTCCTCGTTCCTCCCTTGCACCTCTCAAGATCTTTCCATGTTCTGCTTTGTGTTCCAGTAAGAAATGAAATGGTGAAGTTGCTAATAATGGCTCTAAGAGAAAATATGCTACATCTGTTATGGATAGCAGTACAAAATTAGCTACTCACACCTCTGACACCCAAGATGTCTTCACTTAAAATACCCGTTGGCTTCCTTTACATAACTTGCTGATTATATTTAAAAGAAATACAATTTTGCAATTACTCTTCTTTCTGGTGCGCATCATTTTCTTTTTATGTTTATATATTTCTCCTTCATTAGTGCAGACTGAAGGGTGATTAGATCCCTTCAAACATTTTACAGAGGTTAAACGTTGATTAAGATTTAATTATTACTGTAAATAGCTTGGAATGACATATGGTGCAAAAACCTGACATATGTGCATTTGAATAAATGAAGTGCTATTTCCCAGGATGCACCGGGAACTGTTTAACAGCTTTGCTGAAGGGTTATGTTGCACCTCATGTTAAGACTGCTTGGATGTTATATTTTGTTGGGTTTCTGCAGCTGAAAGCTAAGAACAGTTTTTCCAGTTTTTAAAAACATTGAATATTTTAAATACCTAAATTGTTTTGCACAATTTTTTGCTAATTTGTCTAACTAGGTTAAACATTTTCAAAAGCATTTAGGTTTTCCCATGTTAGGTTCCTAGTATTGTGTCAGGCTCGGCACCGGAGCCAACATACAGGACTTCCGATGTATTAAATTGAACTTATAAACTGCATAAAATGTGTGGTCGCAAGATAAAAGTGCAAGCAAATCGTTTTTTGAGTGACGTGCTGCAGGACAGGAGGGTGAGATTCCTCCAGATAACAAGAGGTGTGTGGCGTTTTTATAGATCCTTGAGAAGCACTTGGAAAACAGAGAGAGAATAATTTGCAGAGATGGAGAGAGAAGGAGGGAGGGAGGGGGAGAGGGAGCGCTCAGAGCGTGTTGGGGAAGAGACCCCTGCGATGTCTTCGCCCTGCTGTGGAGGCAGCATTGATGCAGTTTTTGAGAACGGTTCTCCAAGAAGTTCAAATACAGGGCATTGTTTTCCTGGGTATTTTTGCAGACCACCTCCCACCCGAACGGGAAGGAAAGGGATGCCCCTTCTTCACCTGGCTGACACACCTGTGGGCATGGTCTCCAAGGGCCAAATTAGCAGATACACTGCATCCCAGGCGCATTAAGAGCACTCTTGGAACCCTGAGGTTCATTTGGGTACGACTTGGCCGAGATGGCTGACAGACTGGAAAGGAGGATACGGAGAACCGGGGCGTGTCCACCACCCAGGGGTGGGGGGACAAATTTAAAAGTGGAGAGAGTGAGATGCACATATTTTAAAAAAACAGATATTTCAATGCAGGGCACTGGAGGGGGGTTGTTTTCCCAATTTTCTTTCTCCACCTCTCAACAAAGAATGCTACTCTGTCTGACTGGATGATTCATTGTTAATCTGCTCTGATGCTTTGACCTTCTTGTAATTTAATCCCGTGGTTTATCAACCTGCTCTCAGCTGAGAGGTTCTACAGATCCCTCCACACCTTGTTTTTGGAGATCTTTTTTAAAAAAAACTGGAATGCTGCCAGTTTTACCTACACTTGATCATCTCCTCTTGGCTCATCCTCCTCCTCTGTTGTGCCCTTCCGATGCTCCATTGTTGGAGGGTCTCTGAGACAAACACCACTGTCCAAACCTCTCGCGTCACCCCCCAGAACTCAGCCAAACCAAGACAGTGGTCTGTGCAGTGGTGTTTGGTGCCAGGCCAGGGGAAGGGGTCCTTTTGGCATCCGGGGAGGTGACAGAGGAGGCCCAGTCATGTGCAGCTGCCTCCTTGTGTTATTTGCTGAGGAGCTGCTGTCTTGCAAGGGGCTCTGCTATAATCCGGGTCTCGGGGAAAGCCTGCTGATAGTCCCAGATGGGAGGTTCAAATGGGCCATCTGCTCCTAGACAGTCGCTGGGTAATTAGTTTGCCTGCAACTGGCGGGGCCTTTTTCCCTGCAGAGTCAATGATGTCTAAGTTGTGCTTGCCTCTCATGGTCCTCGCTTGAGGGTTAATGTGCCCACTTCTGGTCTCCTCCGCCAACCTTGGAGTGAGAGTTGTTGTTCCCTTGCTTGCCCTGAATTCGCCAAGGGGCTGAGGGTTGCTTGACATCCTGGCTTCCACGCATCTCAAATGCCTGTCTCCATCTACTCATTTAAATGTTGGGCTGGCCTCTCGGATGAGGAGGAATGCTGGGAGGTTCCAGCCGGGGACCCCCCGAGGGAAGCCTCAGAAGAGGAAGGCTCAGAGCCAGGGGGCTGGTGCTGGGACACGGAGGACAGGCCAGAGGAGGAAGCAGGGCAGAATGGTTGGGTGCTGAACAAGCAACAGGCTAGAGTGAGAGAGAGGAAGAAGAGGCAGAAAGCACTGCAGACACAGGGCAGGCACTGAGAAGGAGGAGGTGGAGATGGAGGCAGCAACAGATTTACAGTTGCTGGGCAGCCCTACTGTATTCAGCTCCCCTCCTTCCTTGTCTCTGCTGGGGACTAAACACTAAATGCCCCACATCTGGCAGCCGTCTTCCACAATGGCTCTGCTCTGCCCCATGGCTGGAGGCAGGCGTGCTTCCAAATGCCATTTCTGGAAGCCATGGGACAGAGCGGGCTCTTGCGATCAAGTCCCTGTTGCAGGTGTTGGTTTCTGTGTGTTGCCATTGTGCAGTGCTGGAGTCACAAGACTGTTTTGCATTCCAGAGATTCCAGGCTGTTGGAAGTCTCACGGAAGACAGGAGACGGAGGTGACGTTACTGGTTTCCTGTTCCTTTGTTTTTCAGTTGCTCTCTGCTCTCACAGAGAGAGGATGTATTTTCTTTTCTGTCTGCGTAGTTAGCAATAAAACCTAGCAATGTAGCTCAAACTTCTCGTCTCTTCCCTGTGCTGGATACTCTGCGGAATGGGGAACGTGCTTGGAGTCTCATCAAAGGCTCAGGTCGTTAATTATCGTCGGAGGGCAATTCTGGAAGAGTTGGTTGGTCGAACGCAGATTCCGACAGCAGGATCCCCATAGGCACCTGTGGCCAGTTATAAGGAAGGAGATTCCGACTCAACATCAGGAAAAACTTTCCGACATTAAGAGCCTTTCAGCAGTGGGGGGGAAGGTGGGGGAGTCTCCTTCCGTGGAGGTTTTTAAGCAGAGGTCGGATGGCCATCTGTCATGGATGCTTCACTTGAGATTTCTGCCTTGCAGGGGGTTGGACTGGATGACCCTCGGGGGCCCTTACAACTCTACGATTCTGCATTCTTGTTGGCCACTGTGCGAACAGGATGCTGGGCTGGATGGAGGGCCTTGGCCTCATCCAGCAACCTCTCTCTTCATGTTCCTGTGTGCTGATCTGCTCCTCCTGACCTGCCCGTGTTTTCTCTCTCTCCCCCTTTGGCAGATTGAGACGTCGCGCCTGGAGCCCGAAATCGCCCGGGCCACCACCAGCGAGACCCTGATCTACAACAAAGGGTTGTAAGCGGAAGTGGAGCTGCCGGGCCTGGGAGACGGAGAGGCGTGGAAAGGAGAGCGAGAAAGACTACGGATGGAGGGGAGGAGGGAGGGAAGATGACTAAGACAATAGAAGGAAAGAGTTAGAGAACCTCGTAGCATCTTCCCACCGCCAAGAGCCGAGCGTAAATTAACACTTTCAGAGACCCGGCATCTCACGTCGGTCGAAAAGATTAATATTTAAAGTTTTAAATTAGTGACAGTAACAGCACAAAGGAAGGAGCGCCAGGGAGGGAGGGAAGGAGCTGAGAGCCTACATCCTGAATCCTCAGCGAAGGGGATTGTCGTGGCCCCTTTCTGTGGCTCCGCTCGGCTCCCGTGCGAACGTCGGCCTCTCTTCTCCGCGGCACTTTCGCCTCCCAGCCTGAGGAGCTCAGCCTCCTCCGCTCCGTTCGGTTCTGCACAGCATTCAGCCCCCGGCGCATGACTTAGAAGAATTAGGTAGGTAGGGCGTCTTGATAATCGTACTCTTTTGATTCAGTGTCACTCTTGCACCAGTCGATGTGCACAGAATCAATCTTAGATCCGCAGCACTCGCTTTGATTCTAAACAAATAACGCGGCCAAGGTCGTAGCCGACGCGCAGCACCCACGTCCCCCACCCACCCGTCCCCCACTGGCCTGAGGACTGCTGCCACACTCCACCACATATATCTCTCTCTCTCCAGTGGGCGAGCTCACAAGTTAAATTTGCCCTGCTCTAATTGCAGCCGTCACTTGGTTGGTCGGAATGTGTGGAGCTCCTGTGGTGGGTCTCCGGATCGTGGCCTCTTCTCACCCTCCGGCAGGAGGTAGCAAAAAGCACTGTTTGCAGGTTGCACACTCCCCATCATGGGATGGGGGGAGCTTTCCGGCTGGCTGCCGACTCCCTGCCCGGCCTCTTGGGTGCCTGATGCGCTGCCATCACGCAGGGCGCTGCCTACACAATGAGCTCCCCAGCCTTCTTCCCCACTTGGCAGCGGTGGAGGTGCTTGGGGGCCTCCCTGCTTCTCCTCCTGCTTCAGCCCCAGATGCCGCATGCAGTGCCATAAAGGGAGGGCAGGCAGGGGGAAAGGCAGGGCAGATGTTCTTCCAGAGGCAAGAGGGAAGGGTAGGTAGCAGCCATCAGCAAGGAGGATCGCTGGGTAGCCCAGAGGAGGAGGCAAACTTCAAACGGGGTTCTCCAATGGAGAAGGAAACAAACTCAGCTGGAATAATAACCCTAGTGAAGAACTTTCTGGAGGTGAGCATCATTTAACAGTGGAACAGACGCCCTTGGACGCTCCTTCCTTGGAGGTTTTTAAGCAGGGGTTCTGAGATTCCTGCGTTGCAGGGGGTTGGACTAGATGAGCCTTGAGGTCCCTCCCAACTGTGCAATTCTATTATTCTAATATGGCGGAACTAAGCCCAGGGTTTCCATTGGCAGCACTCCGTAGATTTGCGCCACCAGAGAGAACCTTGTGACCCCAGTCACAGGGGTGCCAGTCTGCAGTGTTTGGCCCACAGCAGGCCGCAAGCGGTGGGGGGGTCTGCTGTGCTGCCTGCTTTGACCCCTGGAAAGGGTTGGGAAGCAGGGAGGAGACGTTTGTGTGCAAGGAAGTGGGAGGAAGGAAGGACTGATGCTCTTGCTGCTCACCTTCAGAACTCTGCATTAGAGGAAGAGGAATATACAGCGGTACCTCCGGTCTTAACCAGAGGTTAATTCGTTCTGGAGGTCCGTTCTTAACCTGAAGCTGTTCTTAACCCGAGGTACTATTTCTGGGGTAGTGGAGTCTGTAACCTGAAGCGTCTGTAACCCAAGGTACCACTGTACAGTCATACCTCGGGTTAAATGTGCTTCAGGTTGAGCGCTTTCGGGTTGCACTCTGCGGCAACAGTTTTGCTGCTTGCACATGCGCAGATGCTCAAAATGATGTTACATGCATGCGCGGAAGCAGCAAAACGCGACACGCGCAGATGCGCCATCATGTCTTACGCTCTATTCAGGATGCGAATGTGGCTCCGGAACGGATCCCGTTTGCATCCCGAGGTACCACTGTATTAGATTTTGCACCATGGAAGAGGCAGCGCACACAGCCAGACAGACCCTGAGATGGGAGTTCAGTGGGTGCGCACACACACTGTGTGCTGAGCGGTTGCATGGGGGGCTCCCCCCCACCACTGGAGAGGGGGCCAGGTCACCCAACCCCTGCCAGGGACCTCCTCTGCTGATGTGCAGCCCATTCCCTCGCTCTTCCTAGATTCCTTGAAGTTTGAACCCCATGCCTGGTTCCTAGGAGGAAGGAAGAAGGGGCACCCACAGCCCCTCTGTGGGGTTGGGCCAGGTGGCCCTGAGGATCCCTTCCAACTCTGCAACCCTGTGACTCTCTATGTGCCTCGCACCACGAGGCGCTAGTCTGGGAGTGGAACGAATCCGGGGGTCTCTTTTGGATTCCTTGTTCCAAAAGCATTAAGAGGGTCCGATTGCTTGGCTTCCAGGGAGGGCTGGGGAAGCAGCCGCCTTTCGTCAGAGATGCCAGCCATTTCAGGGAGCCTCAGTCTCAGGTGACCAAAACAGGGGTGTGGGCTGTGAGTCATGCAGAGGATGGCGCACAGATCCTCAAAATAGCTCACTTTTACAGAGAGTAAGCTCCTCTGTATGTCTGCAGGTCTGAAGACCTCCAAGCACTTTAGAAGTGAGCCTGCGGCAGCTGAGAATCCTGCCTCTGGGTTTGGCCACTGTGAGAACTAGACTAGGCAGGCCTTTGGCCTGATCCTGCAGCTTCTCCTTAGGCTCCTTCGTAACGCCATAAAATTCAAAACAATTGCAATTAGCTGCACATTTATTCAAAATCTAATTAAAACTACTTAGTTTAATTAATTCAGCAAAGCAGATGAACTTGATCCAGTGATACCAGCTTTTCGAAGCCTCATAATCATTCACACCTCCAGTGCCCCCATTCTGCCCCCCCTTACCTCTTAGCAAACCCCCCCCCCCCGCCCAGGCATCCCACTGCGCCCCAGGAGGTAGGAGCACCCGTTTTGGAAGGCCTGAGCCAGATGTTAATATGCTTTGAAATCTCAACATGGTTCCAACGTGGGGTTGGAATGCAGGAAGTCCTAGAACGGTGGAGTTGGAAGGGACCCCAAGGGACATCTAGTCCAACCCCTGCAGTGCAGGCATCACAGATACATAGGTTTTTGTCCTAGGCAAATCCCCTGCTGCCCTCCTGGCCTGCCTTCATGGGGGGCTGTCAGGAGGGAGGCCTTGAACTCCCCTAGGATCAGAGGGATCTGCCTTCCACTGAATGAGGCCGTTGGTCCCTTGAGCTCAGAGTTGCCTGCTCTGCACTGACTGGCAGAGGGATTGAACCCAGGGCCTTCTGCATGCCAGGCAGGGGCTCTGCCGCTGAGCTATGCGGTCCCTTCCTGTCTCCCACCCACCCGAATGGTGACGTCTCAGGCGCTTCTTGAAAGGGGCACCTGTGAATTCCACAGCTCTCGTTGGAAGGGACCCTTTCCTGATGAGTGTTTTCTGCTATCAAGTAGCCCCCTTTCCCCTGCTGGTCCCCTTGGCCAGAGGAGGCCCTGATCCTGCCTCATCTGGCCCCCTGCCTGCGTTCATGGGCTGGGAGCAAGGGCTGTTTCACTCCCCCTTCCCTCTTGGAGAGCAAGCAAACGTCCGCTTCCCTCAGCCGGGGCACCAAGAGAAGCCTGAGCAAAAGCCCGCAGCCGTCCGCCTAAAGGCTAATTAATTTTTCCGCCTCCCCAAAGGTACAAAGGGGAGCCTGTGATCTTGGGACGGCGTCGGCGGCGTTTGGTGTTTTATCATTTCCCATAATTGGGGAGACGGGGGAGGGGGAGGAGCCCCCGCCAGGGTGGGTTGCTCACCTCCGCAGCCCGTAATAATGAGATGATCATCCCTCTTAGCTTTTAATTAGAACCGAGCAGCTAATTGATTTCTTGGGTATGTTAATTAAGAAATAATGAGGACGGCATTGCAGCAGGAAGAGGCGGCAAAGGGTTGGGTGTTGGGTGAAGGAGGAGGAGGAGGAGGAGAGGCCTGCGAGGGTCCCAGGGGTGTCCCAAAAAACCTTTGCCATTCCAGCTTAAGTGAGTTAGATTTGCCAAATTGCAAGGAAGGAGATTCCGACTAAACACCAGGAAGAACTTTCTGAGGGCAAGAGCTCTTTGACTGGGGGACAGACTCCCTCAGAAGGAGGTGGCCTCTTTAAGCAGAGGTTGGGGGGCCTCCTGCCAGGGCTGCTTTTGCTGAGATTCCTTCATTGCAGGGAGTTGGACTAGAGGACCCTTGAGGTGCCCTCAACTCTTATGTTTCTATGAAAGGAGGGTCCAACTAAGCAGTAGGAATAACTTTCTGGTGGTAAAACCTGTTCAGCAGTGGAGCAGACCCGCCTTGGAAGATGGTGGACTCTCCTTCGGTGGAGACTAGATGGCCCTTGCGACAAACACACCACAACTCTACTGCTCCTTGATTCTATTATCCATGTCCAGTCGGAGATCTGTGGGGAGAGGCTTCCCCTCTTGCCCACCCTCCCTCCCACGAAGGCCCCCCACCATTGGCACTGGGGGGGGGGGGTTTGACCTTCAGCCAGTTCTCTCCGGAGGCTGTGCGTGGGCAGGATGTGTGCGGAGAAGCCAGCCCCCTCCCCAGCCAGAATATCTGCCTGCCTGCCTGCCCCCTCTCGGGGGGGGGGGTCCTTTGCCCAGGGCTCCTTCCTCCACGTGGGGCGAGGCCCAGGCCAGACTCCCCAGAGCTGACTTCCTGGCATCTTGCAGGGGAGCCGAAGGGCGGGGTGGAGGCCAGCCTGCAGGAATGGTGCTGAGCATCATGTGTGCCCCTTCTGCTATGGAAGTGCATTGGGCAGCAGCGGAGGGGGACCGCCTTGTGAATATGCACCTGGGGCCTTGGACGCAGCAGCTCTCGCCTCCTTCCTGGAGGAATCCCTTTCCTTGACCCATTCAGGTACCATTTGGCACGGAACCAAAATGTAACCTTTTCGTTTGAAAGAAAGAAACAAAAACCCATTTATCATGGGATTGCCTGAAAAGGGGAGCCAAGAGGCAGCCCCTGAATGCCTGTGTAAGTTCTGACTGCCCCGAAAGGGCCACTAATCTCAGGGTTACGCAGGAGCCACTGATCCAGAATTGGGGGTGGGGGGTGGGAGGGACAGGTTCTTCCTTTGTTTCCCACCCACTGAATTCTTTTCCTGGAGCTCATCACAAAGCCGTATGCCAGAGGGCTTGGGAGTGGGGGCATCTCAAACACCCCCACCCCCTTGGCTTGTGATCCTTTTCCTGCATTGCCCATTCCTGGCCACAATGTTCTCAGGAACATGGCGCATGGGTGCTGGCAGCCCTTGGGGAGCAGCCCATGTGCAGGAGAGGACCACGGCTCTTGCAGGAGCCCAGCCATCAAACGGAGTGGCCAGGCAGGTCCCACCTATGTCAGAGGGGGCAAATCGTGGGCCTGGCTGGGCTCCAGACTGCAGCTCCCCAAGAGGCTTGGCTGGCCAGGCAGGGGCTGTGGTCAGAGTTCAGGGCAGCACTTGCGCCCAGGGCCTGAGCCTCCCTGGGCCTCGGCACCCGGCTTCCTTCTGGGGGGCCTTAGGTGGTCCTCGGCACCTAGATTTGAATGCACCTTATTGCTCTCTCAAACTGCAAATAGTAACTTGGAGGAGGGTGAGAAGGCTCTTCCTTGTCCTGCTCTGAACTCACTTCGTCTTCCAGTGACTACGATCACCTGACTGTCTGAGCGCAGATACCTCTGTCAATGCCAATCCACTTGGAAGTGTGCACAGTGTCCTTTTAACTTCCTCAATAGATTTATTGACCGTGACACTTTATGTAACACTTCTAAATGTCTGGAATAAAAATGACACAGCTAAGTGGCTGCTCTCCTGGTTGGTCTGTGGCTCTTTGCCCGCAGGTTGTGTGTGTGATGTGCCCACCTGGGCCAAAGTGGCCAGGTAGATGCCTCTGGGAGGGTGTGGCGCCTACACTGGCTCCCAGTATGTTTCCGAGCACAATTCAAAGTGTTGGTGCTGACCTTTAAAGCCCTAAGCAGCCTCGGTCCAGTATATCTGAAAGAGCGTCTCCACCCTCATCATTCAGCCTGGACACTGAGGTCCAGCGCCAAGGGCCTTCTGGCAGTTCCCTCACTGCAAGAAGCAAAGCTACAGGGAACCAGGCAGAGGGCCTTCTCAGTGGTGGCACCTGCCCTTTGGAACGCCCTCCCACTAGATGGCAAGGAAATAAACCACTATCTGACTTTCAGAAGACATCTGAAGGCAGCCCTGTTTAGGGAAGGTTTTAATGTTTGAAGTTTTATTGTGCTTTTAATATTCTGTTGGGAGCCGCCCAGAGTGGCTGGTGAAACCCAGCCAGATGGGCGGGGTATAAATAATAAATTATTATTATTATTATTATTATTATTATTATTATTATTATGGCTGCTACCCCACCCCATGCCTTCAGCCACTGACCTAGATGGTTTTTCAAAGAGGCAAATGAGAGAAATTCACTGAGGAGACGGCTGTCGATGCCCCCTAGCCAGAATGGCTATGCTTAGTGCCAGTTGCCGGAAACCACCCAAAGGGAGAGGCCTCTGGTGCTCAGATTTGCTTACAGGCTTTTCATAAGAAGCATCTGGGTGGCCACTGTGAGGAGGCTGGGTGATTTGGGGGCCCCTTGCCCTGATCCAGCAGGTTTGTCTTTATGCTCTGAGATTCATTTTACCACACCTGCCGGCAGGACCACCTGTGGCCTGCTGCTCCCTCTGCAAGCCTCACCTGCAGGGCCCTCCCTCCTCTCAGGCTGTGGTGAAGGCCAGTCCCTGCCCCTCAGCGGCTCTGCTCAGATTCCCAGCCCACGCACAGAGTGTCACCTGCCTTTTATCAGTCATCCAGGGGCACTTCCAGGCACGGCGGAAGGCAAATGTGTTTTGAGGCGGCCTGGACATTCAATCCCTGGCGCAGGTGTGAAGCCCTCCTCAACCAGAAAGCCCTCTGCATACCTGCCATACCTGCAGAGCGCCAGCTGTTCCTGCATTCAGTGGGGGGGGGAGGTCTCTCTTCTGCCTGATGAGTGGCAGGAGCATTAGACCCCTGGCCTTGAAAAGAGGCAGAGCAGCGAAGGAGGGAGAGCTGTCACCCCTGCTCCATGATGGGGGATCTGTGTCCGTAAGCCGGCTGTGTTGTCACCAGGCACAATGGAGGAGGGGCCATGGAGGAGCTCGTCTTCCCTGAGGTCAGAGGTGGGGGCGCGTGACACCCACTACCTCCGCCTCTTGAGCCCTGCCACTCAGCGGTGTGAGGCCTGCTTTTAGAGAAAGACACAGAGGGTCCTCTCAGGTCCCTGACGCTCTTCTGGGAATGGATCCCTCGCCTTCAAGGTTCCAGCCTCAAACAGGAGGAGAGGGCCAGGGCCTGGTGTGCAAGCTCAGCGCCTTCCCCAAGTGTCTTGCTTGCTGCAGCTTGTAGGAAGGTGAGGAGAGCCTGCTGGATCAGGCTCATCTGATAGTAGTAGTAGTAATATTTATTATTTGTACCCCACCCATCTGGCTGCGTTGCCCCAGCCACTCTGGGCGGCTTCCAACAGAGATTCAAAATACATTAAAACACCAGTCATTAAAAACTTCCCTGAACAGGGCTGCCTTCAGATGTCTTCTAAACGTCAGGTAGTTTATCTCTTTGACATCTGGTGGGAGGGTGTTCCACAAGGCGGGTGCCACCACCGAGAAGGCCCTCTGCCTGCTTCCCTGTAACTTGGCTTCTCACAATGAGGGAACTGCCAGAAGGCCCTTGGGAGAGGGACCCCGGTGTCCGGGGTGGAGACGCTCCTTCAGGTATACAGGACCGAAGCTGTCTAGGGCTTTAAAAGTCAGCACCAACACTTTGAATTGTGCTCGGAAACGTAACCCAGCCTCCCGTTCCCACAGTGGCCAAGCAGTTGCCCAAATGAGAAACCCTCAAATAGGACACAAGCACAAGAGCAATTCCCCCCCCCCGCGCAATTTCCAGCAACTGGTATTCAGAAGCATCGCTGCCTCTGGCCGTGGAGGCAGAACAGAGCCGCCATGGCCAGTAGCCGTCGATAGCCCTCTTGTCCTCGTCCATGAATTTGCCCAATCCTCTTTTAAAGCAAACCAAGCTGGTGGCCATCATTGCCTCTTGTGGCAGGGAGTTCCACAGTTCCACCAAGCTGGCTTGGTCTTGTCCACAGAATGGAAGATGGCAGGGTCCCCAAGGGTGTGGTCTACAGGCAGCTGGCTTCAGCCACCAGGTCCATTGGCCAGCCAACTGCGTCACAAAGACATCTGCAAACAGGGGCGCCAACTTGAATAAAATACGGGGGGCTGGTAAGTCCTGCCCCACATAATCACATGGCAGGGTGCACCCTCACCATTTGAATGGCCTAGCCCCCTCAAATATTTTTTGGGGGGGCCAAAGGGAGCTTGGTCCCTAGGGGGTTGGAGCCTATGTCTGCAAACGAGACATGGTGGCTGGCAACATCGACCTCACCGTGTGGAAATCCCTTGCGGTCGACCGCAGTCCCTGAAGACAGGTAGGCGGGTTTTGCATCCACAGCAGTGAGAAGAGGACCAATGGCCGCTGGGAGGAGCGCAGAGAGAAGAGACGC